TGGTAAGACAAAGTCTTTCATTTCCCATTGCTTTTGTAATTGCGACTGATACTTATGATGGGCCACAGGCTTTTCAATTTCTTCTTCTTGGTTCTTTCGGTAAAGTCACGTAGAATGGAAATAATAAAAATAAAACATAATAAAATAATTCTCACGACGTATGTTTTATTTTTATTATTTTATTATTTCCATTCTACGTGACTTTACCGAAAGAACCAAGAAGATGAATCCCTGCAGTCGCGAAAGCTTTAAATCGAAAATTTTCAATTTCTTGTTTTCTTATGGCTATTATTCCTCTTTAGTTATCTCTCAACACATTTTAGTCCCTTGTTTTAGTCTCCTCTACAACCTGCCTTTCATTATACACAAGTATAAGTGCTCCAAAGTATTCATTCACCTCTTCCTGATACCATATTCATTAATCACCACCTGTGATGCTTAATTGTTCTGTATAACCACCATACCTCTACATTTTTCATTTTCATTCATTACTCATGAATCGATCTCTTCCGTATCTGGTCCCTTATCTCTGCTTCAGATGCAGATAAACTGGTCCATGACTTAATCTCATCTCGCATCGACTCTTGCAAAGTCTTGCTCCTCCCTAGAATGGCTAAGAAGGTGCTTAACAATCTGCAGCATGTTCAAAATGCGGCTGCTTGGGTGATAATCAGAACACCTCCTTTAGATCACATACGCCTGCGTTGGCCTCTCTGCACTAGCTTCCAGTTTCACATAGGATTCAGTCTACAAACATACTGCTAACCTACAAAGCTCGGAACCACCTCGTCCCAGCCTATCTTAGAGACACACTGCACCCATGTCCCTTCAAGGCCCCTAAGATCTGGGGATGCAGATTTCCGTTCCCAGGTCAGAGGCTTCGGTCGATCGCGCTTTTTTCCGCATGGCCCCTCGACTCTGGAACTCTCTTTCAGGGTCTCTCGAGTCCGTAAACATTTGTAAAACTTTTTAAAACTAATTTATATACTTCCGTTGATTCAACTATTTGTTAAGAAAATGCCTATTGGCATTCATTTATATTTGTTTCATAAGTTATTTTTGTGCTCAGCGTTTGCCGCTGTGTTTTGGATAGCCCTTTGAGATCCTCGATGAAAGGCGCTTTATAAATTGAATTACAGACAGACCTTGCTTAGCGTGACCCCATAGGATGCCAATTCGTTATAGTGCTTGTCCTGGAGAAAAACTTTACCAAAAAACTGTAAATCCAAACTTCACTTACGAGAACACGCAGCGCCTGCCGCCATCCTTGTGTAATAAGTGGCTCCGACACAGTAAGTAGCTTCTGCATAATTTATTCAAATCTTGGTACAGCCACCTCCTCTTGTTCTTGTGGATGCTGACCCGCTCTCGTGGCTGCGCTGCCCCACGCCACGTGGCAGGTGGAGATGGCAGGGCAGCAGCGACGGGGAGCTCCTCTTCGATTTTCAACCACCGACCCCTAACGTTGCTGTACCCCCTGCTTATATTCTCTTCTCCGAGGCTAAGCCCCGCCTCTGGCCACGCCCCTCTAAAAACCTTCGAGAACGTTCCAGAGGCTTCCATTATAGATCCGCCCATTCACCTTTCCCCCAGATAGAATCCCTACTACTCAGTGCGTGGACTGTATGATGGTATGTAAATGTAACCCCACAATTATGCAGGAGATGGCGCTCACTTGTTACATTTGTTAACCTACGCTCAGTACGCTGAGTCAAATGGCACTCGGCAGTTTTTACAAAACACACCCGCCCGCCGATGTGTTTATTCCACCTTGATCTCTCTGCCGAATTCTCGTGTTTGTGTGAGCTTTTTGTACTACTCGCGACGACGCTGCCACAAAAGAGTACACGTGCCATCTTGTCCCATATTGTTTCCCAAGCGGCCATCACGCCGTCCCAGGTCATGTATTCCTGTAGTTCACCATTATTTTTTGCTCATTCAAAATACTTCCTGTTTAATGTTTGGGTTGATCTAGGATTCTAGGGTAACATGAAACAGGATGGGTTTTTTGTCTTAAGAACCGTGAGACAAACCCAAGTTTTCCCATATGCCTTTAAGTTTGCGGATTACGTATTTACTTTTCAAGAACGAAACCCACTTGATGGGCAATGGTTTTCTTTACATAATGGTTTGCATTACATAATACTTATTATACCTGAAGACGGCTGCTTGCGTTGTGGCCGAAACGTCGTGAGAATAATTTTATTGTTTTTTTTTATTATTTTCCTTCCACGTGACTTTACCGAAAGAACCAAGAAGATGAATCCCTGCAGTCACGAAAGCTTTAAATCGAAATAAAAATATATATTATAAAATGTTCACCATTTGTATTATTACCGTTACCGATACCCTAATGAAGCTCTCATATTGCTCAAACGTATGAAACAACGCTGTCGGGAACGCATACTCACATATACAATAGTATAATGACCCATTTTAGCTCCGATTCGATTCGCGCTCACTTCTCCAGGAACGTATCTTGAGCGCTAAGCGAGGTCTGCCTGTATTATTACTCAATCTGTAATGCACATACATTGAACTTAAAAGGACAGAGTTGCGGGAGAACAAATAAAAGTCTTAAAATTCCGACAAAAGGTCGACACCGAACGCTGAGGTGCAGCGCAGTGAAAGATGCGGGGGGAGTGAATTCGCAGATGAGCAGAGCCGCAACAGAGAAGCAACGTTCGCCATGTCTAGTTCCAGAGGCCACAGTTTTTGTCAAGGCGGCCACTTGAGGCAGATCTACATACACAGTGTTCCCAGCGTGCCAGACCATTGCCATGCTTCCTTCACTGTTGCTACGTTTGTGGCATATCCACACTCTATGATACTGGTAGGAACCCACTGGTTCCACCAGCCCACAGGGGATTATTGTGTCCGTCCGTCGTGCAGGGAGGGGCTGGGTGGGGAGGGGCTGGGTGGGGAGGGTGGGGCTGGGTGGGGAGGGTGGGGCTGGGTGGGGAGGGGCTGGTCACCCCGTGGTGCCCTTATAAAACTCAACGTTTAACCTACTCACGCCGGCTTGTGCCCGCCCTCACAGTCGGGTATATTTGCGGAATACACCACGTCGCCGTTGACCCTGGCCATTGACCGAGCAACCCAACGTTCCTACCATCTCCCTCCGCAGGAATGTGTTTCCTTTTCCTCTACTCCTCCTTCATGAATGCTATCATTTTGCTCTTGTTAACCTCAATTAATACCGTGTGTTCCACCATCAGTGCTCTTGTTGCAACGTTCCACCAATTCCCACAAACCTCAGCTGCTTCTGTTCATATTGTTTAATTCTACTTCACCTCCAACTGGCACAACTATTTCCCTTCTCGAATAGATCTCTTTAAACCTGTTGAAATTGCCTTCCTTTTGTTTACATATGTTTTTAATTTGTTTTTATCCCCTTTCTCCTAAGCCAGTGTAAAATGTATTAGTCATCAATGGTGAACCACCACTGCTTCCCCACACAATTTCTTGAGTCCAACACATTATTCCGATCTCTTATGTCTGACCGAAAAAATGACATAGGTATTTCAGATCAGTCCCGTGATGTAAAAAGTGGCATTACCGATTATTCGCCAACCTGTCACAAATATATAATACGCAAGAATGGAAATGACTGGACCACGATGCTTTCCGTAAGAAGTTCTGGTCATCAGTGTGTCTAAATCCTGCATCGACGGTCGTTTCATTTGCAGTTAAATTATAAAATGCCATCAATGCTGTTTTTGATTAACTTGTGCCCATCCGATCAACAAGCACAAAGAGAGCGGGGAACACGTGGCAACTGGCTGCCACCGGAGGCAATCGCTGCAAAGCAGAACCGGAGGAGGCTGGAGCGTCTTTGGAAGAAAACTGCTTTCGAGACTGTCCGACTCGCTTACAGAGCCGCCTGCTCTGAGCGTCAATGAGTCGGCTCGCGACCCTCGTGCTCTGTGGCGCATCGTGAAGGGCTGCTGCACCCCAACCATCAATCAACCAGTCAACCCGATCTGTGCAGAGTGCTTGCCACATTCTTCGCCAATAAAAGTGACAATCAAGACGGCAGTTTCTAACTTGAACGCAAGGCATACTCCCGGTCTGCCATCTGAGTTTGATCAACATGGAACCAATGCAAAACTCGAGACCCTGGCACCAACGTCAGTGACAGAGGTGTCGATGTTCATTGCACAGCCGCCAAATAAGACATCGGCGCTCGACAACATCATACTCGATCGTTGCTTGCGCTGCCGATTGTCCACCTGGCAAATCTCGAAACCTTGGGGTCAGCATTTACCTCTTCCAATTCGCCCCCTTCATCTCAATATCCACTGCCAAAATACTTATCCATTCCGTCATCTTTTATCGTCTCGACTACTCTAATTCCCTTCTTCTTGGTCTTACTGCTGACGCCCTTGCTCCTCTCCAGCAAATTCAAAACGCCTCAGCCCGGATAATATTTAATCTTCCACATAACACCCATTCCTCTGCTCTCCTTGCCACACTCCATTGGCTTCCCGTCTACTACCGCTGTTAATTCAAATTCCTCATCCTTGTGTAATGAGAGAGCACACCGACATACGGAGGGTTGCATAGGCATTGCCACATCGGTCATAGCCAATCAGGGCTACGGGTTCGATCTGGACCAAAGTTCATGGGCGGAGCTCAGGGGTACATGCGGGAACTATCGAGAAGGTTCTGAAGGGGGCGTGGTTAGAGGCGGGGCTTGGCTCTGCCAAGGAGGATATAAGGAGAGGCAAGAGGAGGACTCGGGGTTCGGTGTGGAAGCCTGGGTCCGGACTGCATCTCCACCATCTCGTCAGCCACCGACCACGTGGCAGTCGCGGGTGAAGCTCTCCCGATTCCCGGCGCGCTGTCGACCAGCGGGGCGCGGGGAAGCGAGAGCGAGGGAAGCTGCGCAGAAACGGAGGAGAAGAGAGCGCGTGCATGCAGCAAGAGAGAGGGTGACCATCTGAAGAGAGTGCGGAGCCGAGCAGTCATAACTCATAAAGGACGCAAGTCTCAACGTGTCGTGGAAGTCGTTTATTACACTTGTTTAAAAATTGCTTCATGGTTCTGCCCCACCCTATCTCGCTTCTTTTCCTTCTTATTAGGTCCCATCTCGCCACCTGCATTCACAATCTCTCTGGTCCCTCACTACACCCCTCCTACCTGTGCTCAGTCACGTTTTTCGTTCCTCAAGCGTATCCCTCTACTACTTCCTGTCCTTGTCCTTAAAACGTTCACCAGCCTTCTCTCTCATAACTTCGCCCCTCCCTTTCCCTATCATCACCCTTCCTTGCCATCCCTTCCCCAACACTCAAACCCCATTCCTTTTCCCCATTAGCATTTTTTGTAAAGCGCATTCACAAAAGCACTGTATAAAATCCCAGATAAAATAAGGTCCACACGAATTTTTCTCCGTCATTTCTCTTTTGTATCCTTTCAATTCACACACTCCTAAAAAACTCACCACCCCCCCCCCACCTTCTCCCACGTGACTCAAAATGAGATCATTTTACTACACGTAAAATTTTAGTTTTCTGCATTTGAGTTTGTGGCACGTCTTGTCATGACACACGATGTCTACTAGTTTAAGGTTTTCCCGAGTGAATAAAAGCCCATAAAAATATCTCCAGTTGATCTGTCGACCGTTCGACTGTTCCAATGCAATCTTCAAGCTGGGCAGCACCTCACGGGACTTCTCAATCCTGCACATCCAGTGGGCCACACAATTCCACAGGGCATTACAACAACACTGCACGTTGAGTATAGGATATACAACACACACAGCTATGACCTCACCACTGCAAGATAACAACAACACTGCAGAGCAGGGGTGTAATGATGCACCGATTATTATTTATTATTCAACTCAGAAGTATTGACTCGTGTATCTAAGAATGTATTTTGTATGTCAATGGTTCACTTTATCCCTGCAGCCACCAGTGGCGGCTACATTTACCGCAATGTAAACAACAAGAATGGAATCTCGATGGCATCGTGATCATGGAATGTGACGACTCTTAAAATCGCCAGGGAGGGGGGCGTGGTGCACCATACTATATACGAACATCAAAATACATAATAGCAATCACGAACTTCTGTTTGCTTCCTGATTGGTGATTTTCTACAAAATATCAACTCCTATTAAGTTCTATCGCCATATTAATCTTCTTAAATTAATCGTAATGCTTCAATGGACACAATCTTATTAAGCTTAATATGCCCTTATCCTCAGCTTTCACCGACAATACCCTAATCCTCTGAAATGAGATATGGGAATCTCACTAAAACGTAAAATCCCACTATTAACACCAAATTTGATTCCTAATGTTAACTGAAAATTTCAATCTTCAGTCCTTATACAAGACCAATCACTGTATCAGTCAACCTGCCTTCGGATGATAGATGTATTTACTTGTTAAAGATTCCGTTACTTATTTGCCGGTACTCTACAGACCCTTAGTACAAGGCATGCTGGTGAACTGGAAGTCTGTTTTATCCATAATCTCTGTGCCACACCTCGTAATACTTGACCACAACACAAAACCCTCTTGCCATCCATTAACTGCGCATGTAATTTCTTCCTTGCATCTATTTATTCCACATTATTGCAGCGTCGCCTTCACCTGTTTGCATCTTGCGAGACTTCCGTTTGGAAGTCTCCCCTCTATAACCTTTGGTATTGTCTCACTACCCATACACCATTACCATAAGTTTGAAGGCATTTATACTTTACTCCAAACTCTTTTTACACTTTTAATAACCTCCACTATTTAAAATATTGAAAAGTGCCAATCGCACTACACTATCAAACAATTGCACTCAACATGGTCCCTATAATGATAACCAATATGGGTTGCATGCACCATTTTATCACGTTCTCTAACTCCGATGACTGTCTTTTCTCCCCGTAGGACTTACTTATTTTCCAGTCGTAGACACCATCGAATATAATCTGCTTTATAGGCTACCAGCGCCACTGACGTGCTCCTGTCCTGCATCTGTACGCACAATTCCTCTCACGTGGTTACGACACATGGTCACTACTTCTCCGACTCGCAATTGTGTTTGATTGAAGTGAATGCGAGCAAGAAAGTTACTGTTATGGGTGGGTGCAGGGACATACCGGTGGTCTAGGTTCCAGACGCTGAATTGTATTCTGCTCTCCCAGTTGGCGTATGGGTTTATCTTGTGCTGATATTGACAGTCTTGTTTATTATATGCACCCTGAAAATGTGGAGAAAAATTAGACCACCTCCCATCAAATATGGGTAACCTCGTCCTCCGGTATTTGATTTGACCATGAGCAGTAATTCCTCTTGGCATTGTTCATGCCACCAAAAGACGGCGTTGACTTCTTCTTTAGTGACATCTGAAAAAACATTATCTGGGAAATTCTATTCCTCCTGTGGTGAAAGATATTGTGTTTGCTATATAGGTCTGTGTAATAACATATTTACACTTGTTTTAATGCTTTTGACTCTATCGTGCATTATGGCTCCTGGGAGCTACCGTTTGTGTTTGCTGCTCTCATACTCCCATTGTTAATCACCTATCATATTCTCACCCATCTTCTTATCTATTTTCCAATCTACCATCTTCTCATCTACTATATTCTCATCTACCATCTCATCTATCACCTCATCCACCATCTCATCCACAATCTTCTCATCTACCATCTATCATCTTCTCACCTATCATCTATTCATCCATGTTCCTCTTACCCACCATTTCACGGACTTTTCCCCATTTAATTATGCAGTGTGCTTTGCCCTTACAAACGATACAAAAACATGATTGGAGTGCAAAGTACAAGAAAGGTAAACAAATCACCCAAACGCATACAACTAAACTATCCCCATCCTACCAAGCAAAGCCCAGTGAGGTATTCACTTATTTTTCAGTAGCGACCTGGCCACTACTGCATCTCTGTGGATCATTGTTGGGTATATGTGCATAAAACATGCCTTCATATGGCAGTGATTTCAAAGCCTTAATGTAATCTGGGCAACTTTTTCTGAAATTCCTGCTTCATAAAACTTGAGTACTGCATTTATTACACAGTTTCCAATAACTGCAATTACATGATTAGTCATCCCGTTATCGATATATTATTATGGTGATATAATGCAAATAATTACCAGTCATGTAGCCAAGTAACAAGTAAACCCGTAAAAACAAAGTTTTTCACTATAAATCCTTTATATGCGTGGCGGCTAGAGTCCTCTCGTCCTCTGGCTTGAGATGGCTGCCACCTATGGGTCAGATGATTGTCTGCCACCATTAAGCAATTGGTAATTAAATATTTAATTTGTTTTCCCTAAACAGTGTAAAATTTGGGATTTTTTTTTCACGAAAATTAATTGTCACACACAACGAGTCTGTGTGGAAAATGTCAGCTCGATTGGATCACGGGAAGTGGGTTAAAAAACGAGCGAAAGATTTGCATGGTCCTAAGCAAGCAAGCGAACTTAATATAAAGGATTTAAAAATATATTCGCCTGTGGAGGACGCGGGGATCGATCCCGCGACCTTTGGCATGGGAAGCGAGGGCGCTACCAACTGCGCTACTCAGCCACGGCCTGTGGAGGGGTTACGCTCTGGGCTCTTACACTCTGACGTTCAGCCAAAGCCATGAATGCGTTCTATTTGAATATATGTAAAATACATTTTTTTTGCCTAAAAAGTGTAAAATTTTGGGAATTTTTTTTTCACGAACAATAATTGTCTGGCACAACGAGTCTGTGTGGAAAATGTCAGCTTGATTGGATCACGGGAAGTGGGTTAAAAAACGACCGAAAGATTTGCACGGTCCTAAGCAAGCAAGCAAGCACGCGAACTTAATATAAAGGATTTAAAAAGAGACTGCCACGCACCTGGCAAGAGAATTGTCCATTGTTGTCACATAACCGCACTTCCACAGCAGCAGACCTATCGAAGTAATCCTGATTGAAGCATTGCGTCTTCAACTCATTCCTTATCAGCTGAAGCAGCTCCTCGTATCTCTTCTGGTGCTCCATTGGAACTTTATTTTTATATGCGACTGCCTTAGAAGCAAAAAAGAAATAAAGTTAAACAAAAACATTCCATGGCAAACATTTCACCTTTTTCCCAAGTTACAGTAATAATAATTCGTAAGCAAAGCCACCAGGGCACCATTAAACCATCACAATGCTAATTATAGTTATGCTTGATTTGCAACAAAATAACTTCCCTTACCCACCAAAATTCACTGGAATATTTCACCGACAATGAGATGAGGACTTGCCTTATCGATGAACTTGCTGTAATTATATGCCACTGTTGATAATTACACTCTTTGATATGGCCATATATTCCTTTGCCTTGCTTTCCTTAAGCGCTATGGCATGTAATAATTACTTGACATATTGTTGATTCCCACGCTCATAAATACAATATTTGATCATTTGTGTAAAGACTAAAGGCGCAGCCCTGCAATTGCTTGATAACACCCCATTGTTAATGAAAGGGCCTCTCCGAGAGGGAGCTTTAGAGGGGTGCGTTTATCCTCGGCTTCCATGCTGACCAGACAGACGACAGTGAGGTTGGAGCACCCACACTCTACCCGACTGCACACGGCTTGACGGTTATACTCACTGTAGGATACACATATTAATATTTTTATTTTACCAGATAAGGCCCACTGAGCTATACAGCTCTTTTTCAGAAGTAAAGTGGCCACAAATGACAGTTCAAGTGGCTTATCAAGTGGGAATTTATAGCAGCCAAATACTCGAGATGCACGTTTATAAATGTGGAGGGAAAACCGGAGGACCCAGAAAAAAATACTCACGGGAGGACACAAAACCTAACCCACGCGTACCCCGAGACCTTCCTGTAAATCAAATGGGATGGTTCCAATGAAACTAACATAATTTTAAAAAAACTTAATATTGATCCAAAATCGTGACAATGCACTGAATCATGGCGGGTCGGTTAACCGTTACAAGCATGTTCACTATAAGTTGAAGTCTTATTTGTCATTATGCTTGTTAGTTAATTTTATATTTCTGACGATTTTATCCTTACAGACTTATTATTTTCTCATCGGTCTCTTACCTTGTAGGATAAATGGAAAGAAATCGCTTGAGAAAATGGAAAGGAATGAAAAGAATAAACACTGTTAACTTTGAAAGAACCTCAAAATTGTAGGTTAGTGATAAAACGCAAGACTGGATTTACTGTGGGTTGTCAGCAGACATTGCAAAATGTTACGAAGCATCCTACGGATGTATGAAATAAATGTACCCATTCCGGATGAGTGTTTCGACCTAAAAAAAAATTACATTGGATTTCTTGATTTGAAGGCCCAATTTGGGATATTTGATATTCATTTTTGGATTTAAATGATGAAGCTTTCAATGACTCTTATTTTTTTATGTCCTAAACATAACGCAATACCGTTAAATATTAATAATTACTCATATGGGCCAAGAATGTCTATGTAACATGCGTGACGTCACTCCACGTCGATCAGCCCCCCTCATTAATAATCATGAACGGGTGACGTCACTCCACATGAAGGTAGAGCGGAAACGAAAATTTGTTCACGCAAATTAGCTTTCATTTTGACCTTATTTATGGAAAGTAAAGCGAATAAGGAAATCAAAGCAGCAACTAATATCACGAGTCAATCAAGGCTGTGTGTCCCACGCGTGACATCACTTCACATGTCCCCCCCCCCCTCATTATTATTCACGTGCGCCTGCATTCTTTGACTAACGCAGGAGGTCGAGCGGCTATAAAAAAAAAATACGCAAATTCGCTTTTGATTTTTGTATCTTAATAGAAAGTGAAGGCAATAAAAAATTATATGCCGCATCGCAGTGTGTTTGGTGCCTTCATTTATTTCTTCGGCACGTCCAACAAAAGGCAAGTCTACTTTACGCTTCCAAATGATGCTACAATAAACATTTCTCTGCTACTTGGCAGACATTGTATCGAGCTCCAATTGTTTTCAACCCCAGCGAGCGAAAGCGGAAGATCAGCAAGTATCAGAGCAGTGGATTGCAAGTAATTGAACGCCCGTTAAAGACGGTGCTACTGTGACGTTATGTCACGTGTTTCATGACTTAGTCACGTGCGACAACCACTGCCATTAATGCAGTGCTGCGGTCAAATGCTGCGAGGTGTGTTATGGCTTCCTTTTGTGCAACATTCACTGCCATTAATACAGTGCTACAGTGAAATTCAGTGAAGTGTTTTATGACATTATTTTTTCCAATATTCCCTGCCAATACATTTAGACAAGATACAATTATACGCTGATCAATTTATTCGTAACTCGAATGCTTCTCTTTGGTCTTCGTTATTTGCTAAGTTACTTCAGACAGTATCAGCACTCTACTTTCTTCACTCTTCGCTATCAAGCGTCCATCGGTGAAGATACATTTTCCGTTAACAGTTTCAGGTGATTTGAAAACAGTGCTAAAGTGAAGTTAAGGGTTTTTTCAAATTATACGTCCACAGAGATTGATCGCCTTTGCAACCGAGGCGAAATCGTCTTCACTCCCGAGAATTGACCTCGCTCCAAGTGACGTCACGTACTGAAACGACGACAAATTCCGATAATTCCTGCGTATGCGGTGACGATCAACAAGCCGCAGGGTGAGACTTTTGAAAGTTTGGGTATTTATCTCAACGGACCCGTATTTCCCCATGGCCAGTTGTACATGGCTCTGTCTAGATCTAAAAGTCCTCAACGGATTAAAGTGTTCATCAAGGATAGCCAACTGCAGGGAAACCTTTTGAACAGTGATAAGAGATTGACACAAAATATCGTGTACCGAGGAATCTTCCAAAGTCCTTAATTTAATTTAATAATTTTAGAAAATGTTCTTTACGTGTTACGTTTCCCAATCAAATTAACAATCACGCAATAAAACGTTAATTGACATCTTTAATACTACAGCTTCTGTCCTAGGACGGGCTAACAAGCTAGTCACATATATAAGAAGTAATATTCAGATTCATCGGTAAAACAATTTTTTTAATCCACAATTGTATAATTTGAATGATTGAAGCTAAAGTGAAGTTCATGTCTCACAGCAAATTGAGAAAGCATGGACATGACACCTGGGAAGTGATGAAACGCCACGACATCATCTTTAGGATAAAAAAAATCGAATCATCTGTTAATTAATATCAAGGCCCAACATTTGGATTCTTCAGATTAATCCAAAAATATTGGAAAACATCCTCATGCCTTAAGCACACCTCAGTTCCACCCGTTGTCGCATACACAATAAACTGACAGCCTTGCTGTTTAAATCCGTCACTTTTTTTTTGCCCCCTTGGTTAAGCCACCACGGCTGAGACGTTCGACTGAGAGCTTCGACTCATGCGAATGGCTGCCCAGGATTGCGCACGGACACTGGACTAGTAGCCGTGAGCAGGAGGCGCCGATTGGTGGAACCGTTTGAAGGAAACCAAAGCGCAAGAAATTCAGGAACAAAAGGGAGAGTTGGTTGGAGACCTGTTGGGGGAAATTCGGGTTTATGTTGGTCTAGGGCAGTGGTTCTCAGAGTGTGGTGGTCCCTCCCCGGACAACCGGTGGCCCTCAGTGGTCCTCCAGGTGGTCCGCAGTGGCTGCGATGCAAACGCAGATTGATCTGGACAATAATTTCAATGTTTATTATAACCTTTTGTTTCGGACATCCTAATTAATATTTTGTGAATAATATTTCATTGAAAAAATTAGGTTACGTAAACTACCCTGATCAAACTACCCTAACCCTAAGAAAAAAAAAACTTATAGCTGTGTTTAAAAAAAAATGTTCTGGTAACATGAATGATTTTGTATTACTGGTGATAAGTGAACGCATTTTCTCACCAGGGCTGGACGGGGGGCTGAGTGGCCCGATAGCAAAATAAGTTTGAGAACCACAGGCGTGAGGAGGCTGGGGATATAAGGAATCGGCCACGGCAGATCGGGGCTCACTTGGGACTCTATGCCACACGAGTCACGTAACTGGCTTCAAATAACAAGCCATTTGTTAACCACGTGGTAGAGTCGTCCTTTACATCTACAAACCCTCGCTATGCGCGAGTTCTGGATTCACTAAATGTATGTTGATTCCCTATTCGTGACCGGCCGGGCTCCAGTGTTCGCGAGTCTACGTAGTGCCGGACCAACGACACCAGGGAGGTGCGAGCAGAATGTTGTTACATTTGAAACGGTCTGCAAAGATTAAGGAAGCCCTCTCGGCTGCCCACTTCATCCTCAGTCTCGCAGTGATCCCGTTTTGAACTCGCTATTGTGCACCTTTACTTTACACGTACTTAGTCGACTCGTTTATACATTTTGGTATGAATGAGTCGACTGTGAGTTCCGTTGAGAAGGATGTGAATGCAAGCAGGGAAAGTGTTGCGGCGAACGCTACCTCCCCAGAGTGCTCAAATGATAACTGTGCATTGTTATCAAGCACCTGCATCTCCCGTGGAGTCATCCTCACCACCACCACCACCACCTCCATTGTCGTCAAATCATCATCGGTAATAACCACAAACCCATGTAGTTCTTTATAATATATTATTTATTTACGTATTCTAGTAAATGTTATTAAGCATTAATAATTTCCCCCCTACGTTCACTCGTACCATGAACGTAATCCCATTTTTCCCATCAGAACAAGGTTTCTGCATTTGTGAGCATTTTCAAGAACGTAACCCTTGCGGATAGAGAGGCTTTAACTGCATTATGAAATACGTGTACAGCACAGACGTACGTCGCTTAAGTAACCCCGCATCCGCGTTTTGCAGCGGTGGCGCATCTCTTCCCGCTTATGCTTGAAGCGGTTCTCCACACCTGGGCACACACACAATGTACACGAACATCCATATTAGAGGTGGCTTTTAGCATACATAACAAGATCAGATTAATTATTTATACTGGAGGAATTCGATGAGCTATTAAGCTCTTTTTCACAGATGTCCAGTATGGGCGGGTATGAACGTTGTAACAACAAAAAAATACAAGAACATGATATGAGTGCAAAGTACAATAAAGGTAAACAAATTACCCAAACACATACAAATAAAACTAAACCATCCCCACTCTATTAGAAAAAGCCACTGAGGTATTAACTGATTTCAGAAGCGACCTGGCTACAAATGGTAGCTCAACAAAGTGGGCCATCATTTGGACATTTATAGCAGCAAAATAATCTAAATAGTTTCGATTTAAAACTTTCGTGACTGCAGGGATTCATATTCTTGGTTCTTTCGGTAAAGTCACGTAGAAGGGAAATAATAAAATAATACAAATAAAACATAATAAAATTAAATTATCACGACGTTTCGGCCACAATGCAAGCAGCCGTCCTCAGGTGAAGAAACAGAGCTGTCCTAATTGTCCTGAGAATTTTATTTTATTGTTGTATTTGTATTATTTTATTATTTCCCTTCTACGTGACTTTACCGAAAGAACCAAGAATATAATCAAAATAGTCTTTATGCATGTTTCTAAATGTGGAGGGAAAAACCAGAAGACCCGGAGAAAAAATCCACGCGAACACGGAGGAGAACATGCAAACTTTAAATATACAGGCACCAGGGTCTGGATTGAACCCCGGGCCTGCATACACCAGGCGAGGAAGATAACGGTGATATATTGTCAATCCACTGCTTTATGAGAGCCTCCTCCCACATGGCGTTTTTACCATACTTTGTGGTGCTGGGCTTTTTTTTTCCTGCGCTGCCCTCTGCTGGCAACGTAGCCCCACACGGCAGCATATACAACTCTTGTTTAACGCATGGGGGTGGCTCACAACAACTGTGCAGGCTTTAAGCCTGCGTGGCATCCGACATTCGATCTTCTGGGACTTTTAGGGGAGCCTTGGGGTTTGCTATGAGCAGCCTACGATGTAGTAAAAACCGCACTCCTGAAGACCCTGCAGGTGTGCAAGAGCTTCCGGTGGGCACCCACGAGAAAGTGATCGATGTCCTTCTCTGCACTGCCGGAATCATAGATTCAATGTCCAGCGATGCAGATCAGGCCATTGGAACCAGTGAACCCTGCAATTCTCAGCTGCCTGGACATTGCAAAGTCTAAAAGTGAGGCTGCCTTCTTATCCTTGGTCCCTGACCCGCAGTGGTTTGATACACATCTCAAAGGCAGTCCTCTCGGTATAAATTATCCACACTGAAGGGCATCTGGGGGGGTGGAGCCTAGCATAGGTTTCCTTTTCCTCAAGATCACCGACCTCGGTGGAGAACGTAGACAGCGACAAGGGGCACCCAAAATATTGCCCTCAACCTCATTCTCATCGTACGCTCACTGACCGCAGTGACCCCCCTGCCACTAAAGGAGCTTGTGCATCTTCGACTGCCGGTGTTCACCCCCCACGCTTTGCCAGACCAGTAGCGGTGTAACCACCACGACTATCTGGGCCTCCCTAGGGAGACAGCACCTCGGACAGCGCAGCTCCTTTAAACTTTAGTCTACACAGTTGCCGTGATATGATGGGTGAGTAGTAGAGTGATATCATAGTGGGAATTCTGTTTGAATTCACAAGTGCACACAATGGCACCCACCTTCAAACCACGTAGGGTCATCTTGTCGGGATTCCCTTTCCGAGCAGTCTTCAATGGAATTTAGAAAATTCTTTAAGATATTTGTTAACTTTCCATTAGGATCATTCCGAAAAATTTCAAGCACGTCGTGTGTGCATCTTTCAAAATGAACCATTGCATGAGACACGGCATGCACACCCACTGAGGCACAAAAAAATACAATGCATAGCTGTTAGATGCAGGTCTGTAGAGACTCAATTTTACAAGCCAGGTCGCCCTTACAAAAGAGTTCCGGATGAAAAGAAAAATCACATTTACGATTTTTATAGATTATATCAGATTTTTGGGGGGATTTTTAGATGTTTTGATCATTTACATCTCATGCCAACAACGATGATGTCACCCGACGTCACATAGTTAGACTGTATACCACTTATTTAAGTTTTTAAGATTCCTACATGTTGAATGTATGCACCTTCCTGCCATAGTAAATTCTTTGTTTGTGCAAACTTTCATGGCGAATAAAACCCTTTCTGATTCTGAGGTGCGCGCACACAAACACTCCCAGCACGAGGCTGCCTCATGACACATCGCGGAGGATCGCTCCGCTACACAAAATAGTCCTGCGGTTCAGTTTGAAAGTCAGAGTTTACGTTTTAAGTTGATGTTAAAAATACATTTTATAGAAGCTGGTTCGTTTTTCTGGGTGTTCGTAAGTGGGGTGTTCATAAGTCGATGACTGTCTATACAGTACAGTTAACAGTGACATCGGTTCACGGTTTTTCGGATAACGTTTTGGTTTTGACTAACGTTAGAAATGTGAATAACGGTACGTTGACGTTATGCACGCGGGCACCAATTTCGGCCAATCAGAGCGATCGTAAGTGGAGTTGTGCATGCCTCAGCCAATCAGCGATGTCCATTTATGAGCGTTGACACCTCGATTGGCTTTGTTTACATTACGTTGTTTGTCTTGGCAGTGGAAACAGCTCTCTTGCAGACTCAGTGATTTTTTAAATTTATTTTTCAACTTACAAGTGAATTCGATTAAGTGTTATTTGAGTTAACAGTAGTTTTCGTGGAACGGATTAAAAACGCTAACCGAGGGCCTATACTGTATTTTCTTTCAAGGCAGGGTTCATGAAGAGTGTTTCGTTTTTTTGTACTTGTGTAGCTACTGCCAACTTGTAGCAGCATCACCAAAGAGTTGTTCAACCTAAGAGAGGACGCTTTGTATGTTGAACCCGTTGTTTGCCAAAGGCCTAATAAAAATGAATTGCAAAGCGCCCATGTCTGTGTGGATGTTATGGTGTGTGCTAGGTACACTCACCTCCTGTCCAACGCTCGTTATGTTTTAAAATAACCAGGCAGGTATTCCTGTCGAGCACAGAAAAATACTCCTCATCCCCCACCTCTGTCCCATCCTCCTCCAAGCAGACACGCAGAGGCCCATCCCTTCTCTGGAAACAAAGGCGGGGGGGGGCAAGCGTCATTACTACAAGAACAATTTGTGACTTCATTGTACCGATGAGTTCTAATAATGCTGAAACCGCTCTATAGCTGCATCTCTCTATCACTGCTGCTGTATGTCAGTCGGGTCACTTTTCTCAAATGTATTTGATGGGTGACATTAAGACCAGAGGACCACAGTGCGGTTATTCAGGAACCTTTGATGGTTGTTTTCATAATGCTCAAAGGCTGAACATTTTGTGGACATGGTGTGTGTGCAGTATTGTACGAAAATATTTACTGTAGTTCCACCTATGGTGTATTCGTTGGCATGTTGAACTTCTTTCATACCATCCAGAGCCAACCGTGATAATCAAAGGTGCAAATTTAAGGGGCACATATGATGTAAAACCAGTCTCTTAACAAGCAGAATATGTCGACGAGTGAATGTCTTAAGCACAGCATATTGTAACACATCATTTATATGCCATTGGAACCTCCTTTTCCAGTAGCAAAATATGATAATTGGTTTTTTGAATCTTTTATCTGGCAACAAAACTGACACCTTTTAAATCCTTTATATTAAGTTCGCTTGCTTGCTTAGAACCGTGCAAATCTTTCGGTCGTTTTTTAACCCACTTCCCGTGACCCAATCGAGCTGACATTTTGCACACAGACTCGTTGTGCGTGACAATGCATTTTCGTGAAAAAAAAATTCAAAATTTTTACACTGTTTAGGGAATTTTTTAAAAATATTTAATTACCAATTGTTTAATGCTGCCAGACAATCATCTGACCCATAGGTGGCAGCCATCTCAAGCCAGAGGACGAGAGGACTCTAGCCGCCCCGATGCCACGCATATAAAGGATTTATAGTGAAAAACTTTGTTTTTACGGGTTAATTTTTTTATGCTTACCCCGAGCTCTCATACTCTGATGGTGCATTGTTTTTGAGTTGTGCGCCTTTTGGCGTCATCTGGTCCAACCCATGTGAGACTAGGCTCTAAGGAAAGCTGTCTCGGGTGTGGACCAATCAATTTCAAGGACAGTGCATACATTATCAGAGTTGTGTTTTTGTTTGCATTCCGACTGCAGGTATTGTGGTCAATGCAAACATGACTCCTTGTAAAAAAGGTGTCAGTTTTGTTGCCAGATAAAAGGGTAAAAAAAACAATTATCATATGCTTCCGCTTATTAAATTTTTAGTTCTTTTAGTAATTTTTGAAAAAGGTATTTACATTATTTTATGATTAGATCCTTGATGAAAAGCCCTATATAAATGTAATTCGATTTTTTTTTATAACCGGCTCGTAAAGGACCATCCACTTCACAAGTCAATGACTTGTCCCGATTTTGGGGTTGTTTCACCATACTTCACCATCATGGTCAATAATGGCGAAGCATTTTTAAATCCTTTATATTAAGTTCGCATGCTTGCTTGCTTGCGTGCTTGCTTGCTTGCGTGCTTGCTTGCTTGCGTGCTTGCTTGCTTGCTTACGACCGTGCAAATCTTTCGGTCGTTTTTTAACCCACTTCCCGTGATCCAATCGAGCTGACATTTTCCACACAGACTCGTTGTGCCAGACAATTAATGTTCGTGAAAAAAAATTCCCAAAATGTAACAGTTTTTAGGCAAAAAAATTTATTTTACATATATTCAAATATAACTCATTCATCGCTTTGGCTGAACGTCAGAGTGTAAGAGCCCAGAGCGTAACCCCTCCACAGGCCGTGGCGGAGTAGCGCAGTTGGTAGCGCCCTCGCTTCCCATGCGGGTTCGATCCCCGCGTCCTCCACAGGCGAATATATTTTTAAATCCTTTATATTAAGTTCGCTGCCACGCATATAAAGGATTTATAGTGAAAAACTTTGTTTTTACGGTTTTACTTGTTACCGTTAACTTTGGTTTCGTTTGAGTTTTCCCCGTGCTTCATTGAAGCCCTGTGCTGCACGCGAAGGACGACTCGCACGGATGATCCCAACCGAGCAAAATACTCGGCGCACTCCCCAGATTGTTCACAGGTGAGGGGGGGGGGCCTGCGTGCCAGCACGTGGGGAAGGAACCCAGCTCTCGAAGCAAGTAACCATCTAGACAGCAGCAGAGTTGTTAACCCACACGGCTCATCCGTATTCTTGTACAGGGGCATTTCGTTTTCAGCTCCATACGGCGTACAGCCGGTTCAATACGGGCAACAACAAAAAACGTGCCCGTTTCTCCCTCGTGATGGGACTTTTCAGGATGAACTGAACAAACTAATACTCCTCCATTCACACAACTCACCTCTGCGAGCTTCAGCTTCCTCGCTGCCTTCGTAAGCAGCTGGTACAGGCTGACGGCCGCCACGCCGAATCTCTGAGCGTCTGACGGGACCCGCACCCTGAACATGCGGGGAGAGTCCCCCTCCATCGCAAACTCGGACCCGACGCGTGGGTGGTGGTGGTGGTGTGGGTGGTGGTGGTGGTGGTGGTGGTGGTGTGGGTGGTGGTGGTGTGGGTGGTGGTGGTAGTTTGGGTGGTGGGGGGGATGGTGTTCGTGAGATGTTACTGATACAGAGGCAGTCGTTGATGGTCTAAGTGGCGAGTATCGTGTCGTGCCGTTACAGCCTTCACACACCCACACACGCCACACACACCTCACCACACAACACGCACTCCACACACCCCACACCACACTACGCACACCACACCACACTACGCACACCACACACACCACGCACACCACACCACGCACACCACACACACCACACCACGCACACCACACACACCACACACACCACACCACGCACACCACACACACCACACCACGCACACCACACACACCACACCACGCACACCACACACACCACGCACACCACACCACGCACACCACACACACCACACACACCACACCACGCACACCACACACACCACGCACACCACACCACGCACACCACACACACCACACACACCACACCACGCACACCACACACACCACACACACCACACCACGCACACCACACACACCACACTACGCACACCACACCACACACACCATGCACACCACACACACGACACCACGCACACCACACCACACACCACACTACGCAAACCACACCACACACACCACGCACACCTCACACCTCACACCACACACACCACGCAGACAGGGAGCGCCTGCGAGGGGAGCGAAGTGAACCGAAAGCAAAACCCAAAAAGGGGGAAGGAAGTGAGTTCAGAGTGCGGAAGTCTTCACCACGGGGAGCTGCGGTGGTGGGGGAGCTTTGGGTGGGGGGGAGCTTTGGGTGGGGGGGAGCTGTGGGTGGGGGGGAGCTGTGGGTGGGGGGGAGCTGCGGGTGGGGAGGGAGCTGCGAGTGGGGGGGGGGAGCCGTGGGTGGGGGGTGCCGTAGGTGGGGGGGGCTGTAGGTGGGGAGTGCTGTGGGTGGGGGGAGCTGTGGGTGGGGGGGGGGGGAGCTGTGGGTGGGGGGGGAGCTGTGGGTGGGGGGGGGGAGCTGTGGGTGGAGCTGTGGGTGGGGGGAGCTGTGGGGGGGGTGCTGTGGGTGGGGGGTGCTGTGGGTGGGGGGGGGGCTGTGGGTGGGGGGGAGCTGTGGGTGGGGGGGGGGAGCTGTGGGTGGGGGGGGAGCTGTGGGTGGAGCTGTGGGTGGGGGGGGGGAGCTGTGGGTGGGTGGGGGGGTGCTGTGGGTGGGGGGTGCTGTGGGTGGGGGGGGGGTGCTGTGGGTGGGGGGGGGCTGTGGGTGGGGGGGGGAGCTGTGGGTGGGGGGGGGGAGCTGTGGGTGGGTGGGGGGGAGCTGTGGGTGGGGGGGGAGCTGTGGGTGGGGGGGGGAGCTGTAGGTGGGGGGGGGGGGGCTGTAGGTGAAGGTTGCTGTGGGTGGGGGGAGCTGTGGGTGGGGGGGGGGGGAGCTCTAGGGGTAGGCACCCTGGCCGGGTCTCCCTGAGCTTCGCCTTCTTTTAGCAAATAAATCGTGCGGTGCACAAGTTGACAACAGCAGCCACTCAACATGTTCGGTCGTCACAGGGACATTAGCACGCCCGTTACGGTGTCCTGGCCACAGCCGCAACTGCCCCCCACGCCTTTACAAAGACATCGAACAAGCAACCGCAGTCACGACATGCCGATATTGCGCACGACCTTTGCATCGTATCGCGACTCTTCATCGCAACGATAACTCTGTGTAGCAATTTATTTATTTTTGTTCCTGGGTAGTAAGCGCTATTTCCTAATTGATTATGCTTCAAAAGTACAGAAAATGGCTATTATTCCCCACAAACTTTGCTTTTGTGACCAGGACAGTGATATTTAGAAACTTACATATTTTTCAGAACATTCATGATAGATTCAGTGCTGAGTAAACTTGGAGTAACTTCTAAAACATTCTAGAACTTTCCAGTAATATAAATAGTAGTAGAAATACAGGGGCCTTAAGCCCACCAGTTCAGTTTAGTTCCATCTGCCTAAGTGGATACATATGTGCATTTTTCTGAGATGGCATCAAGAGGCTGCAAGCATCCGTCAGACGCATTTTGCTATGTCTGCGGCCAATTTATCAAGACAAGAGCGAAAAAGTACTCTTTGGAAGCATCTGCTAAGATGTGTGAGAACTACAAGGCATATTTCGGCATGCCTGTCAGGGATCAAGACAAACCCTGGGCACCTCATTTCACCTGCGAGCAATGCAAAAAAAAAACTCTGGAAGGTAAGAGAACAAATGTTTTACAATTTTTAATGTTATTGAAAAAATATATACGTGAAAAATGTTGCGAGAATCTCTTACACATTAGTAATGGGTAAAATAAATGTATTTTTGTAGGATGGTAGAGAGGGGAAACGAGAGCCATCACGTTCGCTATCCCAAGAATTTGGCGGGAACCCACTAACCACTCAAGCAACTGCTACTTCTGCATGGTGGACCCTTCCAAACATCGGACTGGCAAGAATGGACCTGCTATCACGTATCCAGACCTTCCTTCATCCATCGCCCCGGTGCCACACTGCCATGAGCCCCCCGTGCCCACTCCTCCGGAGAGAGAGCAGCCGTCTTTAGAAGAGAGCAGCAAGTCAGAGAGCGAGGAAGACGTTGTAGATCCAGATGACAATTTCAGAGGTTGGAGCTGAGGAGAGAAACCCATACTACCCCAACCAAAAAAACCTCAACAACTTGATCAGAGATCTTGGTCTCACCAAGTCCAATGCCGAGCTTTTGACGTCTAGGCTCAAGCAGTAGAACTTACTGGATAAAAGTGTGCAAATCGCAGATCAGAGGAAGCGTTACCAACCTTTTTGCAGCTTCTTCACCCGTCAAGATGGGCTCTGCTTCCGCCAAAATGTGACCGGTCTGTTCGAGGCAATCGGAATCGCCTGTAACCAGAATGAGTGGCACATCTTCATTGACAGCTCATCCAGGAGCCTCAAAGCCGTGCTGCTCCATCATGGTAACAAGTACCCGTCTCTTCCCCTGGCTCACTCGGTGCACCTCAAAGAGGATTACAACAGCATCAAGACCTCGCGGGATCCCTTGAAGTATGATGAGTACGGCTGGGAGGTCATCAGAGACTTCAAAATGGTAGCATTCCTGATGGGTCTCCAAGTCAGTTTTACCAAGTTTCCCTGCTATCTTTGCCTTTGGGACAGCAGGGACACCAAGGCGCACTACCACAGGCGGGACTGGCCACAGCGGACCGAGTTCTCTGTGGGTACGCACAACGTCAAGTGGGAGCCACTGGTGGACCCCCGGAAGGTGCGGATGCCACCACTGCACATCGAATTGGGCCTTATGAAACAATTTGTCAGAGCTGTAGATAAGGAGTCGACAACCTTCAAGTACCTTCAAGACTTCTTCCCGAAACTGTCTGAGGCAAAGGTCAAAGCCGGTTTCTTCCTCAGACAACAGATAAAGAAGATCCTGGAGTGCAATGAATTCCCCAAGAAGCTCACTAGTAAGAAGAAAGCAGCTTGTTACAGCTTTATCACAGTGGTATGTGGCACCCTGGGCAATCACAAGGTCGAAAACTCTGTGGAGCTGGTTGAGACTCTGGTGAAGAACTACGGTCAAATGGGCTGTAGGATGTCTCTCAAAGTCCATATCCTTGATGCTCATCTTGATAAATTCAAGGAGAACATGAGAGCGTACTCGAAGGAGCAAGGCGAGTGCTTCCACCAGGATAGACTGGACTTTGAACGCTGCTACCAAGGACAGTATAACGAGAACATGATGGAAGACTACATTTGGGGACTGATTCGTGAAAGTGATTTACAGTATAATCGTAAATCTCGAAAAACTACTCACTTCTAAATATTTTGTCGTCATTTTGTATGACTTTAGTATAAATACATGTGAATTTTGATTCATATGTTGTTGTTTTTTCTGACTTTATGTGAACAAAAAGACAAATTCGCTCGTTTTCTCATTGAAAATAGGTAAATTTCAAAACATCACTGTCCTGGTCACAAAATCTAAGTTTGTGGGGAATAATAGCCATTTTCTATACTTTTTAGGCATAAGCAATTAGGAAATAACACCTACTACCCAGGAACAAACACATTCCTGCGGAGGGAGCTGGGTTGCTCGGTCAATGGCCAGGGTCCCCACCCTCCCCTCCCCACCCAGCCCCTCCCTCTCCACCCAGCCCCTCCCTCCCCACCCTCCCCTCCCCACCCAGCCCCTCCCTACCCAGCCCCTCCCTCCCCACCCTCCCCACCCAGCCCCTCCCCACCCAGCCCCTCCCTCTCCACCCAGCCCCTCCCTCTCCACCCACCCCCTCCCTCTCCACCCAGCCCCTCCCCACCCAGCCCCTCCCTCCCCACCCAGCCCCCTCCCCACCCAGCCCCTCCCTCCCCACCCTCCCCTCCCCACCCAGCCCCTCCCCACCCAGCCCCTCCCTCCCCACCCAGCCCCTCCCTCTCCACCCAGCCCCTCCCTCCCCACCCAGCCCCTCCCTCTCCACCCAGCCCCTCCCTCTCTACCCAGCCCCTCCCTCTCCACCCAGCCCCTCCCTACACGACGGACACAATAATCCCCTGTGGGCTGGTGTAACCAGGAGGTTCCTACCATTTTTATACATATACGGCACGGCGATGCAACGGCATATCGCGCCAACATCGTGGATCTTGTACCGCACGATACACACACACATATCGTGGTATCGCCATATCGCGATATATCGGCGATGTGGAGGTAAATCCTCTGGGCCTGACACCGCGTGGGTGCTGGGTGGGCAGTGGCAGCCTCGGATCCCCGAGCGATCGCTTTGCCGCTTGCGACGCCCTTCCGCTGCGGGCTCCAAGCCACCAACACCGCTCGCTCGCTCGCACCGACCGCGCCATCCATCAACAGCAGCAGCAGCAGACGACGGCGAGCAGCAGCATCAGCAGCAGCATCATCAGCAGCAGCAGCAGCATCTCAGCCATGGTGGTGAAGGTTTACTACACCAGCGTGGCGGCTTCGCGCGAGGTGAGAGGCTCCGCCGTGGAATTGGCGCTGCGCGCACTGCGGGTCGTGCAGCTGGGAGACCCCCACACATCACCACCATCATCACACATCAACACCATCACCACCATCACCACACATCAACACCATCACCACCATCACCACACATCACCACCATCACCACACATCACCCCCACACATCACCACCACCACCCCCACACATCAACACCACCACCATCACCACCATCACCCCCACACATCAGCACCATCACCACCATCACCCCCACACATCAGCACCATCACCACCATCACCCCCACACATCAACACCACCACCATCACCCCCACACATCACCACCATCACCACCATCACCCCCACACATCACCACCATCACCACCATCACCCCCACACATCACCACCATCACCACCATCACCCCCACCATCACCACCATCACCCCCACACATCACCATCACCACCATCACCCCCACACATCAACACCACCACCATCACCACCATCATCACACATCACCCCCACACATCAACACCATCACCACCATCATCACACATCACCCCCACACATCAACACCATCACCACCATCATCACACATCACCCCCACACATCAACACCATCACCACCATCATCACACATCACCCCCACACATCAACACCACCACCACACATCAACACCATCACCATCAACACCATCACCACACATCACCCGCACACATCACCCCCACACATCAACACCACCACCATCACCACACATCACCACCATCGCCGCCGGGTTAGAGGGGACCCCTAGGGTGGTGAGCTGCTACCCCAGCCGCCCCGACAGGAGGTGCATGCCGAGACAGGAGGTCTGCACAGAGGCGGCGGGGGTTTGCTTTGAGAGCGGGTTCTCTTGGATTGGGGTGGGAGTCTCTTCCCTGAGACTAAAAACTATGACAACTATTTGTTATTTTATCAGCCAACAGCCCACTGAGCTATGTAGCTCTCTTTCATGCCTTAGGAGGCGACCTGGCCACCACAAATGACAGCGCGACGAGTTTTGGTGGTTACCGCGTGGACATTTCTAGCAGCCAAATGCTCTAAACGACGCGAGGTGGTGATGTTGATCCTAAATGTGGAGGGGAAAACCGGAGGAGCCGCATAAAAATCCACGCAAACTCCAAATATACAGCAACAACAGGCGTCGTGATCGAACCCACGGCCTCCTGTATACCAGGCGAGGTAGTTAACATCTCCGTGGTTTCACTCCCTAAGGCGAGGGGGGCCCCCTTCCCTGAGACGGGGGTCTTTGAGACAAGGGGGGCTCTGGGCTCCTTCCCCGAGACGGGGGTCACCTTCCGTCGGGAGGTTTCTCGTGTCCTCAGGGATCACTGCGATGGGGGGCAGCTCCCTGAGGGGGTCTCCTCCCTTCTTCAAGACAAGGGGCTTGCTCAGTCAGAACCAACCCATGGCCACGATTTGAATGACTTTCATTGTATGCAGCTATACAATGCAAAGGGGTGGTCCAGATGTATTGTGACCCCTAATTAATTGACCCCCCCCCCCCCAACATTTTTTTCCCGTTGCATGTTAATTTCTGTTTTTATAAACCTTCCTTAACTTTTTTGAAAGTTTTAGATAATTCAATGGGGGTCACAAGACGATCTGGACCACCCTGTACTGTACATGCACGGCCCTTCTGTCAGTCTACTGCTAAATGAGGGCCTCCCTGACGCCGTACGGGGTTGTTATTTGACCATACTTCACCACGCTGGTCATTGCGGGTCGGTAAAGGCTGAGAGCATAGACGTACAGTATAACATCGCCCTTTTCTGCCCACAACGTAGCAAACCGCAGCCAATGATACCTGTTGTGCATGGGGGTCACCCATCCATACACGTGCGCCGTGGTGGCTAGGAGATGTTGACTACCTCGCCTGGTATACAGGAGGTCGTGGGTTCAATCCCGACCCTGACGCCTGCTGCTGCTGCTGCTGTATATTTGGAGTTTTCCTGTCTCTCTGCCCGTGGACTCGTGGATTTTTCTCCAGGTCCTCCGGTCTTTCCACATTTAGAAACACGCGTTTAGAGGATGTGGCTGCTGTACATTTCTGCACGGTAAGCCACTTCGTTGGCTATTATTTGTGGCCAGGTCGCTTCTGAAAGAGAGCTGTAAAGCTCAGTGGGCTTTACCTGGTTAAACAATAACAGTTAAGTATTGCTATCCAGGCTCAAATCCGCTCAGCTCCAGGAGAAAGCGCACACATTCCGGGTGATTTGAACATTGGCTAATTGTATACAGTACCGTGCACTCTGCACAATACTGGCTTTATGTGCACAATGCAATGTACACACGCACAGTATGCATCAAGCATAAAGCTGTTGCAGTACTGCACAGTGCAATCACGTGTACAGGCTTCGGCGTGCTTAAGACTGGGCCGGTTATCTGAATGTGATGGAATGCAAACTCTGAAAGTTATTAATATACACGTATTCAAAATACGGATCTGGCAAAATTAGGTTGTTTGACATTGATACGGTAAATTTCGCACTTTAATGAGTTTTAAAGCCATGTTTTAAAAATAATATGCCCCAATGTGTGCCCAAGATCCTCGGCAGACTCTCAGCTCAGTTGTGGTCTACTCAAGCCAGGGCATTAAAGTGATATAAATATTTTCCCATTATTTATATTTTCTATGGTTTAATTTGAAAGCAACATCAAAACGTTGTGACTTCATGATAGGCGATCACAAAAAGTGACCTGATAAATTGCAAATCATTTTTTATCCGCAATATACAAGCAAAATTAATCTTCATCATTGTTGCAGTCCATGTCAAACTGACCCACATTACTGTAGCACATGTAAATAGTATTACTATTTTACTAAAAGTGCACACACTGCACTGCCATATCATGTTGCATATACCGTACGTGTATAAACTGCGAGGGAAGGTGCATTTTAATGCACGGTGTTATATAACTGTCCTATGACCAAAAGCACCCAGAGGCTCCGCAACAGGGTCGAGCCTGATTCGTGCTTGGATGGGTGACCAACCGTGTCATGATAGGGTTGTGGAGCTACGAGGTGGGTAGCAGAGGGAAGTGGAGCAAAATCAATTCTTGTAATGTGACCCTTCACATCCAAATCTGTGCCCCCCACGTTAAAAAAATCCTGCACTGCCACTGGCCGGCATCTTGAAGTATGGTCATATATAAGCCCCCGCGATACGCACGGTGTGGGGAGGCCGTCATCCAGCAGTGGATTGACAAAAAGGGCTGTGCGTGTACAAATGGGCCCAAAGTGGAACAGTGCCTCCTTTGTTTGCCTGACATTTCGGTTAAACATTACATGAAAAACGGTTATAGGGCTCTTGGTTGCTACTGGAGTGGTTACGATTGCTTCACTTTTTTTATTCTGCAACCATTAAAGAAGATGTATTCTTCACTACATGAAATGGTCATGCGTATATGTTTGCATGCATTGTATTTAAATAGATATGCAAGAAAAATGTATTTAAGATCCATAATAGAGATTTTTTTGGTTTAGATCGCATAAATATAAATGTATCGTTAAACCCACAACATTAACAATTCGAGTACGAATTGTAAATGTTGTGGGTTTACTCTCCAACACACCGGTGTGCTGAACTAGTAACGAATCGGCATGTTTTGTTTACATTACAAACCTTACTTATTGGCTGTGTCGGGTGGTGGCGGGTTTAATGACACTCATATTTACGCGAAAGCCTACGTGTTAAACATTTATTTAGGAACTGTGGCGTTTCCTTAAATCTTCATCTTCCCTCTTTGCGCGAGGTACCCACTTGGTTGGAGGCAGTGGGGCCCTATTTCTCTTCTTTCCCTTTCGTGTGGTTCCGTCGCACCCGAATGGATGATAACCACCTGTTTTTGTTCTACCCCTGTTACCAGAACTAAGAACTGTGGGATCCCAAGTCATGTTCAAATTCCAACAAGTCCCCCCAATTAGATTATCACATGAGGAAAGCCAACAGGATTTGTTTGAGGAGCATCACCTTACTGTGAGGACTTTAGAGGCCAGATATTGTCTCATTTGCAAGAGTAACATGGGGCATTAGTCTACCAGTAGGGGGCGATGATTGCTATGTATATAAACTCTATTGAGTAACTTGTGGGTGATTTACTAATTTGGAAAATTTGGGCCCTGATGCCCACAGACAATGGCCCAATCTTACATATTATATCAGAGGATATTTAAAGTCTGCTGTGAAGCAGGCAGCACATTACTGTCACAGTTAATGCACCCCCACTAAAAATCATGGCAGCTGCTGACTTGGAACTGTGAACCTCTGCAGCAGGCTGCGACCGCCACCGCCCTGTGACTTCACATCTTCAAATCATTGTCTCCTCAAAGGCATGTGTTTTCTGTGGTTGCTCTGGTTTCCTCTCACACGTATAAATACTTATTATTTGGCTGAAAACATCTTAATATTTAGAGGCCAACAGAACTTGGGTAATTGTTGGCACCGGCTCAAAGTTTGGCTGCCTTTCAGCTTTGTGGTTCCTCAGCGATTGTTGTTCAATGTGCAATTTCCTTCCCAAATTTTACTTCCTCACTGTTGCAGTTCATGTAAAAATTACCAATACACATTACTGTACCACATATATGGTACATGGTACAATATGTGACCAACATACATGAGGGTTTGCTTTGCTTGATGACGTGGTGTATATAAATATTGGTTCAGAACGCTCATGGTCTGAATATTCTTTTGTTTCAGGAATTGAATAGGTACTGCCCCTGTTTTAAATTATATTATACTCATGTGCGCTGCCTTAACAACGACACCACCCTGCTTTGTTTGAAACGGCAAACAATCGGTGGCTTTGTGACCACCCTTGCCTTCATGCACTTGTGTGTCTCTGTCCCTCTAGCCCCATGTTTCACAGTAGAGTATCCCTGCACATCTCTCCATGTCTCCACGCATGCCCCTGTACCTCTCCGCCTCGTTGTGTCCCTGAATATCTCTGTATGTCTTCACATCTCTCTCTGTCCTGCCTTATCTTACTATGTCCACCATGTCTCTCCATGTCTCCTCATGCACCTGTTTGTCTAAACATATTTCCCTTCCTATCTTCCTGTGTTCTTGAGTGTCCTTCCTCATCGCCCAGTATTTCCCGCACAATCCCATATGTTCCAAAAATATTGGATTTGCTGCACATGTTTAAATATCTAGGAGCAGTTTCCTCAAGGATGAAAATGTCTCGAGAGGCTTGAATAACAAATGTAGCCTGTTTTACTTGAGCTATACGGTGCAGCTTTTCTCCAGTATTGTTGCTTATGGCACTGCTTATTCATTTATTTCTCAGTTTAATGATGATTGGAATACTAGGGAAATCAAATACATTTGGATCTAAAGTGAATATGCAACTTTATGAAAATATATATTGTCATTATCAAATGCATGATGCAAGAGTGGCGCAATTGGCTGGATGAGGTCACATGGAGATCACTAGGGCTGTCATCATGACACACCAGACATTAAAATGCAGCAAATGCATAAATGCAAAAAGATTAACGTAAAACTTAATTTTTTACACTTTTCTAAATGGGTTGATTGGAAAGCATTGCATAATCCGCGCGTATGCAGGATTTTTCTTCCTTGTTCTTATCAAACTCCTTATTTACTGTAAACATCTTATTTACGTAAACAAACAATTGCAGATTTTTAAGCATAAAAATTTTAATAGTGTTTTACCGTATCATACAGATTATAAAGCCCCCTTCGTTATTCTAAAGATTTAAAATTAACTTTTTTTACTGCAAACTTTAGATTTTTTTCAATACCAGTAGCATCCCATCTTTCATTTCATGGGCCGCGCTGCCTATTTCTTGAGAGCTCTTTGGGCTGGACTATCCAGACATGTGGCAAGAGTGAGTCGCAGACTATCTTCGCTTGTGCCTTGTTATAACAATGAAAGCTTTATGCCATGGCATTAGTGGCTCAATAAACTGAAGAAAACAGAAGCAACGGAACGGATGTGTCATTCGTGAAGCTTAAGTTAAAGAGGTGCTCTTTTTCCTTGTACGCAACGCTTTATTTTTAATAGTCAAGACTTTATTTTTAATGTTGCACAACATCCCCATGTTAAACCAAACGGTACTGTTGCCTCACCACTGTACACTTTTTACTGAGCCAGTGAAGGCTAACGAGGCTAAATGTGAGTGTGCAAAAGTTGAGGTAGGCCCAAACCACACCCTCCCTGCTCTCACCTGGGAGCATGTCACCTCAGCCCATCACGATGCGTGTTGGTTGTGCAACAATTTGCAAACCGGGTTTGAATAAGACTTCTGTGTTGTAATGGTTAGCGCGCTTGACATGCAATCGAGAGGTCACCGGTTCGATTCCACCTCCCAGCACGGCAGTTGAAACGATGGAAAAAAATCAACATAAAAATCTTCCTGCCTCTATCCACCACAGTCGATCGGCAGGTCGTGTGTGGTGGGGTAAAGTGTGGGTACACAAACCTATTTATTTCAAGGCGTCTGGTCAGCGTAGAAGAGTAGACCAAATACCCTCTAAAGCTCCCTGTAGTGGAGGCTCTTCCGCCAGCAGTGGCGTGAGCCAGCAATATCAGGGCTGCACCTTTAATTAAGAAACGAGGGCACAGATGCTAAGGTTTGTCCATGCACGCAAGCCAATCGGTGCATTCATTCATTACTAAAATTCCACTGGAAACGATGAGCGATTCCTAACTTTTAGCACCGTTAATAAATTCTGAAAATGATTACTGGTTCTCGTTTAACAGCTCTAATAGCAATGCACCTATATATATAAGTTGTCTGTGAACAGATCTTCTTCTTTCGTATGGCTGATGTAGATGCAGAGCAACAACTACAATTTCACATGCAGGTGGTCAAGCCAGATAACTGCGTCAGGAGCAGTTGAGTGTATCGCTGTAATATCTTTTTATTTGTGGATCGGCCATTGCGTCGTTATGTTGTACGGTCTGTTCTGGAGGATCACAATCGCACACGAGAGTTTTTAAATTTCCATTTGTGCATCCGGTATCCGCATCTTCCATGGTTTGTGCAGATGTGGTTTAGGGTGGACCATGAGCTTCGTGGAAGATCAAACCCAGGGATCTTCTGCGTTGGGTCTTTATGAACAGATAACAATCACCTAAAGCTTTTAAACTGCAGTCCACTCAAGATTTGCTGGCCATAAATATTTTAATCATTGCCACTTTACAACCTACACCACTTGTAATGCACAAGCTGTTGATTACACGGTGCCTTAGTGGCCGAGGTGTTTTCTCCACTGCTTGGTATGCAGGAGGTCGTGGGTTCGATTATAACCCCGACGCCTGCTGTATATTTGGAGTTTGCACGTTCGCCCCGTGGTCGTGTGGATTTTTTTCTGTGTCCGCCGAGTTGTCCCGTCCACATTTAAAAACATGCCTTGAGATTATTTTTCTGCTTTAAATTTTCACGTAATAAGCCACTTCGTTGAGCTATCATTTGTGACCAGATCGCTTCTGAAAAGAGCTAATAGCCCATTGGGCTTTCCCTGGTAAATGAAATATTTAAAAATAGTTTGGTCGTTAAATACTCTGGAAATTATGATGCCATACAACTCGTGCGCTTGTCAATTACTCCAGAAAACCATATATCAAAATACTAATGGGGAATAGCTATTTATTTATGGGTTTAATTATTATGTCTAAGTAAGTGTAAACATTTGTTATTGCGCATTCTTATGCGTCCAGTCCGTCATGAATACGTGCAAATTATTTAAAAAATATTCTGTCAGGATATAAAATATATATTAACAAAAAATTATATGACCCATGATAATCAGAGTACAATGATATTTGACAACGGATGACGCGATTATCGCGGTTTTTTAAAGAGTGCATTATATATCATCATTGAGGCAGTGACATTGCCCAGCAGAATCACATTCACTGCATGTTGCAGATTGATGGTACCAATCCAGCAGCTCCCCTGGTTATTAAGCAGGGGTATTCACCTCGCTGACCAGGGGACGTAAACAATCCCATGGCAGTATTAGCAAGAGTAGACTCTTGCATGATGGCGTAATGGCCCCAATTTGTAAAATTATTAGAATTACCTACAAATTACTCAATTGGAAAATATCCATCTTAAAGGTTTTTTGAGTTAGATCACGTAAATATAAATGTGTCGCTAGACACGCCACCACCAGTTAGTTTGCCACGTAAAGAAAAAGTGCCAATAAATTAGTTAATACTTCACACAGTAAACCCACAACAATTACAATTCGAGTATGACGTTTTACTGATCATTACAACCACCTAATAAAGCTGGTGTGCTGAAGTAGTAACTAATTGGCACATTTTGTTAACGTGATAAACCTTACTAATTGGCTGTGTCGTGTGGTGGCGGGTTCAACGACGCATTTATATTTACACTATCTAATCTAAAAAACAGCTTTATTATGGGTAATATTGGTCGCGAAAGCCTACGTGTTAATCTGAATTGGAAAATAACATAGCATTTATCGCCCCCTTTTGCGAAAACTTGGCAGAACCCTCCTGAAAAATTATGGTGGAGCTTTCCTGGGTAAATTAGCATTATAGTAATAATATCGCCATACCACGGAAACCCTAATACACTGTGTGTGCAGCACCTCCGATATTTTCGTAAAAATATTACACTCAGGGTTTTGCAGGGTCACATGAATTGACTCGTATGCCTGTACCAGGCACGAGACCTTCCAGAAAGTTCTACCTGGGTTCTCATCCCCACTTCCCGTTTTATGGTGACAATATTTAACGTGTTGCCGTAAACATCCTAACCAGAGCATTTGTGCCGGCCGTGTCTTTGCGCAGGTCAAGTCCAATCAGAGCGAGGTACAAAGAGTGCTGGAGGCTAAGGGGTTGAAGTTCGAGATGGTGGACATTGCCGCAAATGATGAGCATCGGCAGAATATGAGGAAGCTAAGTGGGAACCCCACCGCCATGCCACCACAACTCTTCAATGAAAACGCCTACTGTGGAGTAAGTGGCTTTGATTTTTCACTTAATCCACAGTCTGACCAATACTGTTCAACATCGTCATTACCCATTGTCAATCCACTGGAGGATGAGAGCCTTCCCGTGATGTTAATAACCCTCACAGTCCTGCAATGTCACAGTCTGTCTCATTTGTGCACATGAACTGCGTTCATCGTTCAGTCACCACAGTGTCTCGTCCTGAACGGTGTCTGGTCCATTGCCTTGTCTCGGTCTTGTCTATCAACCATTAACCCTTTGAGCGATGAGTTCTGCCAATGTCCACCTACTTTACTTGACAGTCATTACCACGTCTTTCCATAATAGAGTTTTTTTAGGTGAGATCGCATTAATATAAATGTGTCGTTAAACCCGCCACCACCCGACACAGCCAAATAGTAAGGTTTGTCACGTCAACAGAAAATGTCAATTCGTGAGTAGTACAGCACATCGGTGTGTTGGAGAGTAACCCAAAAAACCTCGTATGGATAATATTGGTCGCGAAAGCCTGCATGTTATCACGTCTTTCCATTTGTGTTTTGTTTCTTGACTCATTTCCTTATTTTTCTGTCTCTTTGTAAGTCCCAGCATGCATCTGACCAAGCTTCCTTTGCACACTTTTCACCTTTGGTTTTATTGTATTTGTCATTGTCTGTGTTTGTAATTATTGTCGTAGAGGGCAATATGCACCGATTGAAAAAGATTCTCTTCAGCCACATTGGTAGACCGATGTTCATTTTCAAATTAAGTTTTCCAGAAACACACCATCCTGTCCTTGTTCGCATCTTTATTTCCTAAATTTCGACTCCAATCCACGTTTGTTCATTGTGATAGGTTTAAATATTCACTCAAATAAAATGTTGTTTCACTAAAAACTCAACACACTCAAGAACACTGACTTAAAATACAACTTTATCAGGGTGATTGCCATTCTTCAGAGCACATGAAGAATGGCCATTGCTTGAAACGCCATTGATTATATATTTTTTCTTTTATGGCAGCTATTCACAAGTGTAAGTGTTTTGTTTACAGTGTCTGCATCACTGGCAAGGAAGCATCACCAAATAATGTGTTTATTTTGTACAGCACATTTGTTTCCATGATCTTTAGTTTGCTTATATTAAACTCGAGTCCAGCTTTTCAGCCTCCCCTTTGAAGTTATACAATAATTTCCTGACATTCAACTTCATTGACTATTATCATGATCATGTCAGCAAAAATAAGATGGTAATGTTTCTCAATGTATGTGTATGTCCTTATTTCTCCAAATACATTTCTCACAAAATATTTTCTCGTTGCTGATATTCGGAATACAATATATATTTACTATAAGTGGATTTCGGTCTTGCGGTTCTTTAGCCCCATTATGAAGGCCGCTGGGTCCACATTATTCGGCAGCAGTCCATTTTTGGCGATTATCATGTCCCATCTCTTACTGACGTTTCCACATCATTCCTCTACATTTGTGTGTCTTTTATACTGCATCAATCCATATTTTTCTGGCGTCTTACTTTGCCTTTGTGTCCTGTGAGCATTGCCTTTTTGCTTCTGGATTCATATTTGGTGATGGCATTCTTCTGACATGACCACACCATAGCAGTCTGCCTTGCTCAATTTCTTTTCATATTATTATGAGTAATACAGCATTACAATTAACTACATCAGGTTCTTCACACCTCTGTAAATATTGAGTTGTTGTTTAAGTGTAAAGCAGAAATTATGGGCTTCACCCAACAGGTTTGAGAGGCACAGCAAATTTGAAGTAGATTTGTTAATTGTGTAACCCAGTGGGTGGCTCTGTCGAGGTTCAAATTCCCATCAGATAACATTCCAAAATTCACTGGACCTGCCAACCACAATCGATTGCCATTTCGAGGTGTGATACAAGGTGCGTTTTAGATGTATTTACTTTTTAGTTTGATTATTCAGAATTGTGCCGGGATGACAGTTTAAATTTAATTATTATTATTAAAATGATTCTTTCCTGTCAAGCAACTATTGTCTTCTTTTTCGCGATTGTATAGGACTATGAGAAGTTTGCTGAAGCAGTCGAGCTGGACAGCATTGACACCTTCCTGAAGCTCAAGTGAAGACATCCTCTTCACAGGCCTCGACCTGCATCTGTTAACCCTTTTGCTGTGCTTAACTCTCTTCACATTATACTCTACGGCACTGGTCATTCTTTTTGTTTTATACTAAACCTTGATGACTTGGTCTGCTCGGGGTGAACCACCATGATTTTTTGATTATGCAACATTAATTGCTATCTCTACACTCAATGCCATTCCTCAAACATCTCTTGAAACATCTTGTTACAGTATTTATCGCTTATTGTTTGATCGTTTGCATATTAAAATCACTTGCGTCATTCCTCTTGCGCACATTAAAATCACTTGCGTCATTCCTCTGCTGGTCGCACAGCCATGCATTCCACAATACATGGGGTACTGAATGCACAGCAACATTCCTAATTTAAAGCGTGTTCTTTTTCACAATAAGTTAAGCATGAATGCAAGTATTTGCCACGCGTATCACCGATGCCATTTCTTAACCTTTTGTTCGAGGTGCTTATATTGCAAAATCACCACGTTCTGCAATCGCCATGACTTGTATGCAAATGTAATGCATTATAAAGGTGTAAACATTTTTCTCTCGTTTTCTTGCCAGTCTGAGTGCAAAGCAAAAAAAAATTTGAATTCTTTCCTCCGCCATCACTATCTAGGGAAATATGGGTGGGTGTAAACGTGCGTCTTTGTGCCACAGCCCGCTTAGCTGGAAAATAAATGCACGTTCTCTAGTTCTGTGGCAAGAAGTGGTCTTTGTGGAGGCTTTATGAAGTTTTACGTTAGTGTTAAATTCAATGTGGTTGTAATCATTTAATAATTACTGTTTTTATAATTAGACATTAACAATTTTCCCTTTCCCCTTGATTTTTGGAATTTATACTATATTGAATTGGCTGTTGGTTGCCCTCAAAGGGGGAGGCACTTTGGTGTTGGTCCAGAGTTTGGTGCCACAAACAAAATTCTGGTTGATTACAAAGGAGGTGGTTCACTGGAACATAACTTACGTTCACACAAGTAACACTTTGATGGATTAAAATGAAGGGCACATTTATTTTGTAGTCGGCAGAATGTCATTTCATGAAACACTGCATGTTTTCTTCCTCGACTACAATTTTGTTTTGAAAATATCGATTTGGTTGGACAATCGTGAAAAGACAACGTGCAAATACATAACGCATGCTAAGATGCAAAATCATAATCATTCAATAGGCTACACCTACATCGTATTCGAGGTGAACTGCGTATTTTTCACTGTGGCATATGTTAATCATAATAGTACTTGTTTTGTCGTGGCCACAAAGCATCACTTGCAGTTGAAAGGGATTCCGTCGACTGGAAATAACGGTCTCATGACAAAGCTTGCATGAAATACGTAATTATAATTCCCATTTTTTGCTTAGACCTAATTACATAATGAAATTCCATGGATGTGTCCGGACACTGGAAAAAAAAATTAAGCATGATATGCTTTGTATCGCTGCATTAAAATAACACTCAGTGCTTAAAAGCTTGGCCTTTATGCCAACAATATTTATCACATGTACGCAGTCCTCGTGTTGAGTCTTGTTTACTGGAATTTAATGTTGCAGTTGCATTGATCTGCATCCACTGCTTGTCAAATAGGTACTGTGAATAATAGACCCACGGAGGTGATTTGATTGCATTTCTCTGCTTGTCCACTGCATCCTTCCAGCAGCAATAAATTTTATTTTTTGAATCTAAATCGCTTTTTGAGTGTTTTGGTACTTGACTCGTCAACATTTGCTGTCATGAATGCGAATTTTTCCTCATTTCTTTTTTTACCGAAAATGATGTTCCACTCGCAATGTGATTCTTCACGTGCCGACTCCACAGGGGAATATTGACACCGCTGAGACTGATGAAAAGATAATACCTCTCGTTTGATTTGGAGAGTGCTCCACTGTCAAACTGGAGCTGGTCATGAGCATACTGCCCCCATCTACGACTGTCCCCATTGGAAAGTTGAAGAGGCAGAGTGATGACAATACCCAGTGTTTTGTTTTAGCTGATGGTGAAGCCCCACCTCTGCATGGCACACTCCAGGGTTTGCAGCAATTTCCAACTCTTGAGTGAGGAAGTGGGTAACAGATCGGCATACATCGTAGCATGGTTGACCTGGAGGGAGCAATCTCTTGACTGCACCCAGGAAATTGATAAACCTATTGTATCTACCAGATATGAATGGAAAATGTCAGTCACACTCGTACGCATATCACGCACATACAAAACTGTTATCCGTGGTGACATGAAGCATCATTGGGGAATATCCACAATTTTACTTATCCACTGGGTACATTTTTTCTCAGATAACCCCGCTTGTAATGAATTTGCTGTGCGATCCCGCATTCAAAATTGCGGATCTACGAACGGCCGATGTTGATGGAGAGCAACAACGAAAAGTAATACGTTGCGAATAGTAACGGCGTAGCGGGTTTTATTCATGGATATATCGCGGGTAAAAGGACGCCGATTTGCTATGGGGTAAAATCACGAAAAACACCATGGATAATAGGAAGAAATAGGGTCGCAGCTGTTAGGAGTTTTCGCGGACTACAGCGAATAGGGGTCGTGGGTAACAATCGGGCCACAGATAATCGGAATTCTCTACTCGAACAGTGGCGGCTCCTGCAAAATCTCTCAGGGGGGGCAAATGTCTGGATGATTGATAAGGATAAGGTCCACCCATGCAATGGATAAATTAACAGCTTAAGCATGTAAAGGCAACTTCACTTCTTTAATAGTAATGAAAAATAAAGTGACTCTTACAATACATCTTGTTTGTTTCTATACTCACTATTAAAACAAACCACTCAAGTTTATTTTATTAAAGATTCCACTAGGTGGCCACACATTATATTGTTGGATGAAACGTGCTTACGTATGATGACGTAAGCACGTATGATGACGTAAGCACGTTAGGGCGAGCCCTCCCGGAAGCCATAGAGAATGCATTGGAGCGCCCCCCGGTCGAAAAAAAACATCTTTCCATGTAAGTCTATGGGGCCACTCGGGGCGATTCTCAGCCGGAGTGAAATCGCCCAAAAAGAGGCGGTACTCCACAGAACGTGACATGACGCTGATTGGACTATATCCAGAGGCTGCAGTGACGGCTAGCGTGACTCTGTGGTTCAATGACATTGGTGGTGCGTCGCCCAATCGCCCTAATGAAGAAACCGCCCCTGTTTAACTCGAACACACGTCAGACATCATGTCAAACAGCATCACCTGAAAACAGAGCTGCTGTAGAGAACAATCCTGAAAAGCTTCGCAAGTTCGAGTGGTTTACGTGCTCAGAACCACTCTCAAAACACGTCGTTGTCGTTGTTGAGCTTCCATCTCTCCAGGGTCCAAGCTCCCAGCTTCGAGTGCGGGCCACCAATTGGAGCCGCTCCATCGGTCGCCGGACGAGCGGTGGAGCCCTACCAGGGGGGGCCAAGGCACCGGTTGCCTTGGCTCCCCCTGGTAGCCAAAGCTACGAGTTGGGGGGGGGCCTTGACAGCCACCACGAGGTTCAACAACAGTGTTAAAGAACAACAAGACTTATTTGAAATGCGGTTTAAATGTATTTTCATGGAAATGTTTTATTTTACGTCCCACGTTTTATGTTAATTTAACGAGAGCCGTGACGTGATATTGCAAAGAGGTCGTGGCTGCATTGTGCGAAGACGGAGTGCCCCCTACAGCGTTCAATGTTCGAGACCATGAGCGGAACGACGATGTGATGAGGCAAGAGGAGCCGCGATAAATGATCGCCTCCAGGTGCGACCGTGCGAGACAAATCAAACATTGGGGCCCCACCTGACCAATTGCCGTGAGCTGATCGTGTCGTTACCACGCCACTGGCTCCACCAGGTGATTTGCTGACAGCGTTGCTGTGTTCCCCTCAACCCAGGAGGCATGGGATGACCCCGAGCCTGCTTCTTGCTGGAGCTCGCTTCTGAGGTCACATGGCCAGTTCATAATTGCATCGTTGTGCGTATAAAACACCTACCAAATGATTGTACGAGCTGCACTGTGAACATCGGGGATGTTTAAATAAAAAGTCAGCTCTTATTTGCCGACACGTTGTGCGCTCACACGCAAAAACGTGACAGCAATGCGACACATCCTAGACAGCGAAATATATTTTCATTCATGTAGATATTCCTTGGTTCTTTCGGTATAGTCACGTAGTTAGAAAATAAAATAAAAACTTTTTTTGTCAAATATTTTTTGAACCAGAAAATAAATAAATGTTTAATTTTTTATAAAAAGTTTTTATTTAATTTTATACCTACGTGACTTTACCGAAAGTACCAAAGAATATGTAACATTGCAGTCACGAAAACTTAAGATCCATTCATGTAGATATTATATACCTTCAAGCAGCACGCAAACACTACAGCGCAGCTACACACGGATATAATTATTGCTTTAAATACATTGATTTGCATTAAACCTGAAACACTAAACACACGTCTTTTTTGTTTACGGTGAGTGACATGGCAGCTCCTGTAGCCCAACATCTGTGACCACCCCTTTCCAACAAACGGAAAGACACTCAGTGTCCATTAACGCACGGCATGCAGGGTAATGTGAGGACAACAACAACAACAAAACCTGTTTCGGACTATTCTCTTTTGTCTGGAAAGTGCACAAACACGGCGTTTTAAAATCGGTTACCAGGTGTGCAAAGTGTCATCAATGCTCGCCAAATGTGACCTTTGAACATTCCCATTTAGACCACAGCCGCTTGTGCTGCAGTCAGCCCTGTTTATGTTTTATGTGTTTGACACACGGTTAAAACAAGCACATGCAGAACAAACGACGGCACCACCCATTGGTAATTATTGCAAACTCATGCTCACACAGAGGTGGGCAGCCACACTTGGGACACTGCGGGTGGTGACCTCATAGCGAACGGTTCCTGCTGGTTATTGGTGACATCGCAGGCACCGTTTCAGTTTCATTTATTAGGATTTACCCTGTGAGCCATTCAGCTCTTGATTTGGGTTCAACCGCACGCGACACGTTATTTGCCAATTATATCAATCATGACTGCTGCCACGCTACATGAAGAACCGACAAACCCCGTTTAACATACGAGTAACTTAAATGCTGTGAAACTACTTGCTCAAGATTATCCAATTACAAAATCCCAACCTTTTTCATGTCCACTCATGACAGACATGTCTTGGAAAGTCTGATAGAAGATGTTATCACAAACTTACAACCCCATACCGTATAAAAGCAGCATACCAAAGAACAAATCACGTATACAAGCAGCATGCCATAGAAGCAGAGGCGCGCAACTATGGGGTATATGTGGCAGCGTTATGCGACGCATAGGGGCCCAGTCGGCCACAAGGGGGCCCCGAGTGAACAGGTAAACAAGCGAAACATGTGAAGAAAAAATATCCTTTTTTGTAATTTATCAAAAATTACCTGCGGTCTACCATTGACCGGGCCCGATTAACGCGTCTGGCTATCATCGCAGCATGAAGATGCGCGATCCACCCCCTTCGAGAACATTCTCAGTGGTTCTTCACCTGAAATAGCACGCACCACCTGGGGGTGTGCGAGACATGGGCACATTTTTTTTTAAGGAAAATCACAAATTAAGCACGGGCATGTAACTACAACGACTTTGTTTAATTAAACCTGTCTATTTATGAACATTATACATTCTTTCATGATTGAGGACCAAAGGGGCGCAAGGCTGCAGTACAGGTTAAGAACCACTGATCTGAGATTAGGTTTTCCCATGTTTTCTGGCAACAAAACAGTTGTGTTAAGATGTTAAAACACCAAACTGAAACCTTTTACAAGGAATCATTTCTGCATTAACCACAATAATTGTGGTCAGAATGCGAACAAAAAACATACTCTGATAATATATGCATTATTTTTTAAACTGATTGGTCCACACCAGAGACAGCTTTCTTTTGAGCCTCGTCTCAAACGGTGTTAGACCAGAGGACGCCATGAAAGCAAGACGCACGATAACTTAATTGTGAGTCTCGTACCTTTAAATATTTGCATTAATACTGTCACTGCTAGACTGTCTTCCTCTAAACCCAATACAGAGTGCAACTAAATAATATATATAGCATAGTTATAACCTACATGTTATTGTATACGGGTTCAAAACATTCGTAATTATTTCATACCTGTCAACCCATACGGTTTACCCGTGTTCTTGTACAGGGGAATTGAGTTTCCAGGTCCATACGGCGTACATCAGTTTCAATACGTTTGTGTTTCTGCCTTGTGATGGGACTTTGTAGGATGCAAGTTGACATTTATAAGGGAACGGGCTGACCAATAAAGTCTGAATTGGTCTGTAATAAGGTAGGGCACTGATAAGGGATTGACAGGTATGTGTAGTGTATTGTGTAGTGTATAGTGCAGTGTATAGTGCAGTGTATAGTTTAAACGTTGAGATTCATGAGGGCACCACGGGATGACCAGTAATGTCACCGATAAGGGATTGACAGGGATGCTATTTCAGTAAACGTCAGTCGGGAGGAGGGAGGCCCACAGTCGCATCTTGCATCGCCCCCCGGTGAAATCGGTCGTTGTGCCCCTGCATAGAACTCCCCTTATCCGTCCCGATTCGATTACTTCAATTTTGCGGATGCTACAGTTCATCATGAGTGCACCATTATACTCCACCTATCCATGAGAATAAAGCGAAACTGATCATGTTCTGCTCACAAATTCCCGAATAGCATTTGCCCTGTGACAAATTCCCGAATAGCATTCGTAAAGCTTTTCGCAGCACATAATAGATGTATAGTTTCCACCAAACCCCTCTCATCCGCGGAAGATTTGCGGATAAATCGGAGAACGCTGGAGCGCTGCGTTGTTATTCCTGTCACGCGGGGTGAAGTGCGGCTGCACGCCACTTCGTCTGCACGGCCAGTGGGCTGCAGCACCACGCATGCATGCAGGCATTGCACAAGCTGCGGTTGAACTACACTCATGCACGGATTTCTCAATGCATGTTGCGAATTAATGGCTGAATTCATGAATAAAGTCTGTTCTCCTCTAGTGCCGCGTGTTTTTATAACGCGAATTGGATATAGCGCGATGAATGTATTCGGGATCACATTTTTTTTTATATAACGCGGTTGTGAATTGGATATAACACGATTGAGTGAACAGAACGATGTTGCGCGAGTAGGAATAGGCGGTTGTACGGCTGCCTCGGCATAGCATCGCACAAGGCGGAATGCTGCTGGATGCTTCTAGATGCTACTCACGCGCCACGGTCTTTGTTCAGCCTGCGTACACATCTCACGTGTTATTGTGGACCGTGCTTTCCCCATATATTGTATGTTATTTATTATAACGGGATTTTTTCATAACGCGGGTTTTTTCAGGAATGCAACGACTACACGTTAAAGGAGAACAGGCTGTACTCCAAAATACCATGAATTGTACAACATCTTGTGTGTGTGTTTGTGTGTCTCCGAGGCTCGTCTAAGAACGTTGGGGAATGTCTGGACACAAATGACATCCACCTCCGATTAGCACGGTTGGCTTCGTACGGTGTGAAAGAAGTTCCACATACACACATCCACGGTGGCTGCAACCCTACGACTCATGGATATATCGTGCACATCGTCAGTGGAGTCACACTGCATCGGATAATGCAATCTCTTAACATTTTCCTCATTTAATCATTATAATGGTTCGTGATCATGAATATGCACCTTATTGGAGTTGTATTTTGACGCATCATTTACTGCCGTTAAAGTTTTGACTTTAAACCACGACGTGTCTGACAGGCCCGTGTAAACACAACGGTGAGTTTCTTGAACAAACGAACGTGGGAGGAGGGGGCAAAAACAATGAGCTGTTTGTCTGACAAGACTGCCACGGTGACGGGTAAGCTGCATTTCCAATTCCACCCCTTGTTCAAGCAACGCCCAAAAGCTTGATCCATCAATTAGGCTCCGCGTCTTCATCAGGAGCTCTATAATCCGCAACTGATGAGGCTGGATGTTTTCCGTCACTCGTTTCTTAATCCATCGCTGATTGGGTCCCAGGTGTTGTGCGTACGCAATCAACGTTAAATGTTTGAAATCTGGTTTTGACAACGCTTCCAAACCGAGTCATTCGTAGCAACACAAGAGGTACAAACATAATGTGCAGTATCCAATGCTGAGACAATTGGAACATTTTTTTTAAAATCTGCTAATAACCTGGTTGGCGACTGCTCGGGGTAGCCTTTATCCAGCAGTGGATCAACGATGACTGACCTCAATGCGGGCTGCAGTAATATCCACGGTGGAGAGATGTTAACTACTTCGCCTGGTTTACAGGAGGTCGTGGGTTCGATCCCGACCCTGACGCCTGCTGTATATTTGGAGTTTGCGTGTGTCTCTCTCTCCGTGGCCACGTCGGTTTGTTTTCCCTCCACATTTAGAACCATGCGTTTAGAGTATTTGGCTGCTAGCAATGTCCACGCGATAAACCCACTTCGTTGAGATCTAATTTGTGCTAGACAGGTCGCTTCTGAAAAAGAGCCATACAACCCAATGTGCCTTACCTGGTGAAATATATATGTTGTCTAGTTTAGTTTAAATATCCACATAACGCTCATAACAATAGCAGGTAGGTGTTATGACGTGTCATAAAAGGCCGACCCCCTTTCCTGCTCACCGAAGGCGTGCGCACATCGCTCACCACGCAGGAGGCGTGGGGCTCACTGATCAGTGTCACTCATCCGAGCGAGAGCAGAGGTAAGCGTCACGTGGGCTATTCTGCGTGGCGAGCTTCGAAAGCGATCGCTGTGTTGCAGGTTGATTTTACACGAAAATAGTTTTCTCTCGGTTATTATGGAATGTTGTCTTTTCAAACGTTTACCAGACATTGTCGACTAAAATGATTTGTGAAGACCTGTTTATAATAAAAACACTGAGCTGTTTAGGCATAGTTACAAGATAAATGCAACTAGCATTTTACGTATTTTTTTTTACAAATTGCAAGAACTGTATTTGGATTACTGTTTTATTTAAAAAAATGTTTATAAATAAACTATATGGGGGGAAACGGTAATATTCGCACGAAAGCAGACCCATTAGATTTTTTTTTTAATGAACAATCCGGGTCCTTTTGACAAGGACGTATCCATCAGGTCAGATTTTTGGCAAAAATGTGTCAATGTCACCAGGACCAACAATCTTGGACAACGATTGCGTTCCAACTGTTTTGACGAGATGACAACGTGTCCCTAGCGTTTCCACCCAGGTCCACTGTGCACACACAGCGCGATATTTTTAACGCGGGATTGCCTCGAGATGATTTTGCAATTTTTGCAAAACTCAAACTGTGGTAGATCTTCTAAGTTCATGAGTACTGTTGTGTACTTGTATGTTTTATCCTCCATTTGCAAGTGTATATCGTGGATATTGTCTCAATTTTGAATGGTTACATGATCTAAGATTCAGTTAGTGAGTACAACAGAATTTCACCAAGTATACTGTGAATTTCCAAAAATGTTTTGCTTCTTCAGGAAGATTAAACCGTGATGTTGCTTTGTTCCGTTTGCCTAGAGACGATGCATTTGGCAGGGATGTGGTGGTGCGTGTTCTACCTGAACGTGGCCTTCACCTGCGCGATGATGCGAGAGTACTACATCGCAGCCAAGGAAATATACTGGGACTACGCACCATCGGGGAGGAATCTTATCAAGAACATCAGCATTTCCGACGATGAGTATGTTTCCACGTGATTTTGTTGTTGTAATAATAAGAATAACGTTTAGTTTTATACAGTGTCGTAGTTCGCTGAAATTACATCTCACGATCGCTGAGAATCTGCAGACGAGCTGGATGGTGGTAGCCAAGCGTCGAGCCGGTGCCACCAAAAATCGCCCAGGCTCCGTGAATTTTTTGCTAGTAGTGTGCTATGTCTTATGTGTCATAAGTAGTAACTTCATTGTAATGACACTTAGATGTATATATTTTCATAACGCTCACTCACCCAAAAAAGCCACACGGAGTCCATTTGGTGTTTTACCTTTAGATTTGTACAGCCAATTAATGATGCGTGTTTATATACAAGTGGGAGGAAACTGGAGCACCCAGAGAAAACCCACCAACCCAGCGATTTCATTGACACCACTTTGGACCCTTTGTCATTGTGCTGTACAGTAACTTTGTGGCCTGTATTTATTTTAGCTACTTGAAAATAACGTTCTAATTCCCTGGAATATATGTGCCGCAAACCCCACTATATATGTGCAGCAAAATCCACTTTTTCGCTCCTACATCTGTGCCCCCTACCTTTACCAACTGGCACTGACCAGGTTAGGAAAGTGTGGTCTCGTAATACTCGTAGAGAACGCACGAGACGCGTTGTGTTTGTGCATTACCCTCAATGAACCTACGATGAATGGAGTAACCAGCTTTGTGGATAACTCATGCAAAAGATACTCTTTGTTGCAATGAAAAGAAAATGCATGCATCATGAATATGGGTTAGTGCAGAGGTCGGCAACCCGTGGCTCCGGAGACGCATGCGATGGCTCTTTGGCTGCCCCCTTGCGGGCAGCTCTTAAAAAAAAACACGTTAATTTTAAACGTAATTTTACATAAAGATACATGATTAAATATGGCAGGGAATGGGTAATTTTGGAATGTCTTAGTGACAATAAAATGTACAACAATCAAACTGTATTGCTAAAATATAACTAGGGAAAAAAAACTAAATAGACGCCGTTGATTCAATCACATATTTGTTTATTTAAGTCAGAATTTGTCATCAGCTGTATACCGGCTGTGTCTGTATTTGTGTAACTCTGCGCGTGATGCGGCTCTGGAACTATTTTGGTCAAAGAAAAAAACTGAAAAAATGTCTCTTCCTCTTCTTTGAAAGGTTGCTGATCCCCTGGTCTAGTTTAGCTCAAGCTGGGTACTTTTCTTAATGATACATTTCTCACAATCAGATTGCAGCCAAAGCGAAAATAGTAAATCCATTAATACACGTTACCCAAATCTATACGGGCACCTACGAGCCCCTTGTCTACACGAGGCATAGGTTTTGATACGTTTACAAATCGCCTTTCACTGCTGATAATTGTTACAGACAAGCCAGATTGACTCTGCAAAGGGGGCCGGAGCGTATTGGCCGGATTTACAAGAAGGCGGTGTACATCCAGTACACGGACGGCAGCTTCACGCAGGAGATTCCCAAGGATCCGTGGCTCGGATACCTGGGCCCCACCATCAAGGCGGAGGTGCACGACGTCATCGCGGTCTACTTCAAGAACCTCGCGTCGCGCCCGTACAGCATGCACCCCCACGGCGTCTTCTACAGCAAAGCGTCAGAAGGTCGGTTGGTGGTGCAGGTCTTCCTCCTCTTCTTCTTCTCCCCATCTGACTGATGTTGGTTTTGAGCAGGGGTCGGCAAATTGCGGTTCCGTGCGGTTCTTGAAGGACTGCTTTGTGAGGTTATTTATCAAGGACCATCACCGTCTCGTATTCACCATGTGCATTGCAACTCTTGAAATATTGAGGGTTTTTTAACCGAATGGAAAAAACTACATTTATTGTTATTTTGGTTGCCGACCCCAGATGTAGAGAAAGAACTAGAATTTTCCATTGAGGTGGTTGAGCCAGAGAATTGCGTCAGGATGCCTCCTTCATGTTTAAGAATTGGGCATTGCGTCGTTGTATGTTCCACGGTCTGGTCTGGGTCACCACATTTGCAGAGTTTTTAATTTTACATTTAAATGACCCATCTAAATTACCTCAAGAAACTAACTGCAATCAGATTAATATCCTCCAGTTATTATGAGCGTATTTAATTTTGCTCATGTAATTGTAAACAATTTTTTGTAATGTGAAGTTTCAAATAATTTGACCGCATGGGAACTGAAACTACCACTACAATCCATAATATAGGTTTTTTGGGTTAGATCGCGTAAATAAAAATGTGTTGTTAAACCCACCACCCGACACAGCCAACTAGTAAGGTTTGTCAGGTAAACAAAACATGCCAATTAATGACGAGTTCAGAACCGGTGTGTTGGAGAGCATACTCAAAACATTTACAATTCGAGTATGACGTTTTGCCAGTAATTGCAATGCTTATATTTACGGGAGCTAACCCAAAAAAAAACAACCCTCCATTATGGATACTATTGGTGGCGAAAGCCTCCGACGTGTTAAACTACCACTGCCACGTGTTCGCGGACATAAAACCGACCACAATCATGGCCGGTGGCCACAGTCAGCTCGCCCGTGTGTGCCTCTCTGACAGGCGCCAACTATCCAGACGGGCAGGAGTTCGGCTCGAAGGGCGAGTTCGTGCTGCCCGGCCAGACGCACACCTACCACTGGATGGTGAGGGACGAAACCTCGCCCGGCAGCGACGACCCCAACTGCTTCACGTGGATCTACCACTCGCACGTCAACGAGCCCAAGGATGTCAACTCGGGCCTCATCGGGGCCCTGCTCACCTGTCGCAAAGGTAGCAAGTGCCGCCCCCCCCCCCCCCCCCCCGCTTAGCCGCTTGATCTAAACTCTAAAACAGTCTGTGCGACATAAAATACATCTGCATCTCCGCTTGTCTCTTTACCTCAGAGACACAGAACTATAAACTAAACTCTTTTTTTTACCAGGCAAGGCCTACTGAGCTATGTAGCTCTTTTTCAGAAGCGGCCTGGCTATCACAAATGATAGCTCAACGAAGTGGCTTATCGCGTGAAAATGTATAGCAGCCAAATACTCTGAATGCACATTGATTCTAAATGTGGAGGGAGAAATCGGAGGACCCGGAGAAAAATCCACGCGACCACGGGGAGAGAGACACGCAAACTCCAAGCATTCAGCAGGCGTCAGGGTCGAGATCGAACCCACGAAGCCTGTATACCAGGCGAGGAGGTCAGCATCCCACCACCGTGGACCCTCGATGCCAGTTTGATGCCAGATGCTGTGTACCGATATCGAGTTATGTGTTTGCAATCGCTTTGATTCCATAATGTGAGAGGGTTTTTGGTTTTATTGCCTTTTTGTTCTGATCACTTTACGTTGTTGCTGCTGCATTTTTTTTACTTGCTTTGCTTTTTCCATTTTGATGATCCGAGTCACTTTTGCAAATGAGACACAATCAAAATCATTTATCTCGACCGGAAGAATCCGATGAGCTCTGAAGCTCTTTTTCACAGATGTCCAGTAGGGGAGGGTCAGAAAGTTACAACAACAAGCAAAACAAAAACCGATAGGAGTGCAGAGCATAGGGCAGCTAAGCTCGACTATCCTGGTCTCCTGAGTTCTCAGATGGTTAAACAACATCAACTTGACGTTGTCACCAATCCTGCCGATTTAAGCGGCAGGCTGCGGATTTTTCAACAACTTGTACCGCGTAACAATTTTTGAAACAAATCTATTGTACCGTTTCGTAATTTTACTTATTTTGAAGACATGTTTGCTCTTCGAATGCGTACGCGGTCAAAAGGGGTTCAAAAAAGTTGGCAGCCTGCCGCCCCCGTTGGTAGGGGTTGGCAATTGTGCTGCCAGTCCTCTAACGTTCAATCTGCAGAGGGGGAGGCAAAGACTCAGAACATGTATTTAGACTGCAGGAGGAATCCGATGAGCTATGAAGCTCTTTTTCACAAATGACCTGTAGGGGTGGGTCAGAACGTCACAACAACAAACGATACAAAAACACGATAGGAGTGCAAAGTACAAGAAAGGTAAACAAATCACCCAAGCGCATACAAATACAACACTAAACCACCCCCATCCTACTAGACAAAGCCCATTGAGGTATTAAATTACTTTTCAAAAGCGACCTGGCCGCAAAGGCAGCATCCATTGTCCCACTTCCAATAAAGTCACGCTCTTTGTTAGTAAAATGTTTTTAAAAAATGTGAGCAGGAAACTCTATTTTGCGTCCTTGGTAAAAAATAGCCAACAATTCTTGGCTGCTGTGAACTTTTTGAGGAATCCTACTTTTGGGAACCGCCGAACGTCAAGACGTGGGCGAGGACTTCATCTTGATGTTCACCATCGTTGACGAGAACAACAGCTGGTACCTGGAGGACAACATCCGAGAAACCATTGCCGACCCGCGCAGTCTGGACCGGAGCGACCCGCACTTTCAGAGGAGCAACTTCAAGTCGAGTAATGGACATTTCTCGCTCCGGATCCACACCTCGACACCGCGTACACGTTTACAATGTTGTATCGCACGGCTAACGGCATCGTGAAGTTTAATATTTTTTTCGCTGGCGTTGAACGTGTCAGTTTAACACGTAGTAGTAGGCTTCCGTGACCAATAATGTTATCCATAATAGAGGGTTTTTTGGGTTAGATCGCGTAAGTATAAATGCGTCGTTAAACCTGCCACCACCCGACACAGCCAATCAGTAAGGCTTATCACGTAAACTGAATGTGTCAATTAGTGACTATTTCAGCACGCCGGTGTGTTGGAGAGTAAACCCACAACATTTACAATTCGATTCTAATACCGTGACGTTTGGCCGGTAATTACAACCAGCCTCATCAGGCGACAGCCAGAGTTGTGGAGAAATCCTCCTCCTGTTTTGATTCTTAAATCGAGGGATACATTTGACGAATGTGTCGTTTCCATCACCATGCGTGTTTGTCACGTCCGCTGCACAGCTGCAAACGGATTTGCTATTACCGTATTTAAATTAGAACCAAACATTCAGTCCGGAGAGAAATTATTGTTCTTCTCGAGGGAAACTATTGAGACAGGGTGTCTTTTTTGGCAAGATCAGGACAACATTCAGGGATAAATGCAGGAGGATGGACAGGATATGAAATCTAGCGCTGGTGGATATGCACGTGGCCTCTAATCCAGCACTGTGAAGCCAGTGAGGGTTGGTGCAACACACGAAACTCCCTTCCTGTGGGTGTCAAGGAGGAGCCATTCCCTGGATTGCCAGTATCCCATATGTGTAAGATAGAGTGCTCATTTGTGGAAAACATCTTAATAAAAGAGGACTGCAGAGCTTAGGCAGCCGGGCTCACCACCTGGTTGCCTTCTAGCTCGTGCCTGTGGTTCCCTGGGCGATTGTGAGATGGAATTTTCATGAATCATGATGCTATATGCAAAACTAATAATTATTATATGATTACATTATTATTAGAAAAAATATGTATCGTCTTGCAGTACGGCTTCCATTGTCTGAAGATTGAAGACTGCCAACGAAGCTAACCATTGCCCTGTTGCGCATACCCACGAGAAGCAACTTTAGGTTAAACTTCATTTTCATATCATAACTAAACTCGTATTTTATTAAATGTTGATGATTGTTGGGAATGACCGACTGCATCATGCATATTTCAGATTGACAACAACAGCAATACATATCAATGTGTGTTAACCATGTCTTAGATAGTGTTGTGCCTGTCATGTAACATTCACGACAGCACTTCTGTCACAGAGCATGCAAGGGTTTCATGGCTACCATGAGAAGCGCAGTCTTCAAGTTGTCTGCTGAGTTCATCGCTGCTTTACGAGTTCACTTTTACTTATCTGGGGCATGGCCCATGGAACTAAACGGCTATGAAAGTACCGTGGTGATGTTGGCTAATATGGCACGAAATGTGTTGCTATGTTTTATTTTTGACAACATATTTAATAAACTGAGTTACTATGTCGTCAATTATCGACAACATTTAAAATAAATTCTATAATTTCCTTCATTAGCAACGACATATTAAATAATTTCAACGAATTTCAGTAATACGTGTGTTGCGGATATTAAATTAAATAATACATCTTATGTTTGATTGTTGACAATATAAAACAATGCATACGTTTGATAATTATAATCGAGGACACGTGTATGTATGCACTCATTCGCACCATATATAGCCAACGATGATAATCGGAATTATAAATGATAAAAGTCACAGGTTCAATGATCAAACATACATAAATATTCCGCTATTGAAATGTTGGCGATTTCCAACTGCTTGTGCTTACTCAAAAATATCATGGTGCAGGTTGAAACGCTTTGCATGGGATGTGGTAAAAGTACTGTGGTGATGGATATATTACAGGTGCCACACAGGGCGAGGGGATGATACTAAAAAATTAAGACATTGAAAACCGAATGTATAGCGGTGAAACAATTTGAAAAGGAAAACGCACAGCAGCACAGACAGCCGGTCAGACAGGACTGATCAGCGGATCTAAATACACGATGATGGACGACATCAAGCGGCTATAAAACTTGTGGAATCTATAACTATTAAATTATAACTGTTTTTATTTTACCAAATAAAACCCACTACTGAGCTATGTAGCTCTTTTTCAGAAGCGACCTGGCCACAAATGACAGCTCAAAGAAGGGGCTTATCACGTGGAAATGTATCGCAGCCAAATACTCTAAACACGTCCATTCTAAAAGTGGATGGAAAAATCGGAGGGACCCGGAAAAAAATCGACGCGACCACGGGGAGAGAGGCATGCAAACTCCAAATATACAAGTGTCAGGGTCCGGATTGAACCCACGACCTGCTGTATACCAGGAGAGGTAGTTAACATGTCGCCACCTCGGCGTCCTAACAACTCACTGCGCGTTGTTTCAGACATCAACGGCTACATGTACGGGAACCTGCCGGGCCTGAACATGTGCAGCGAGGTCAACGTGTCATGGCACCTCTTTGGGCTTGGCTCCGAGGTGGACATTCACACGGCTCACTTCCGAGGGCAGGCGCTCACGAGCAAGCACCACCGCGTGGACACCGTGGGCCTCTTCCCCGCCACCTTTGTCACCGCCCTGATGGTGCCCACCAACCCAGGCCGCTGGCTCCTCGCCTGCGATGTCAATGAGCACTTTGAAGGTGAGAGAGCTTTACTCACCCTCACCGCTCACTGCCAGATGGTGACCCAGAGTCAATAGCGTAACCAGCATGGGGGCAGGCAGGGGGTACCCCCCCCCCTGCTCCTGGTGGCCAAAGCTACGAGTTGGGGCCGCCTTGACAGCCACCACGAGATATGTTTTCAACAACAGAGTAAAAATAACAACAGAGTTATAAAAAACGCGGTTTACATTTATTTTTATGAAAATGCTTTCATTTACCATGTTACGGTTTTTTTTGGATACCGATTGTAATTTATATGCATTCATTAACTCCACCCCCCGTCTGGCCATCGTACCTGATTGTCTCACAAGTGACGACATCACATTTATCCCTCTATTTAAGAACGAAACAGGAGAAGGATTTCTCCACAAGTGTGGCTGTCGCCTGATGATGCTGGTTGTAATTACTGGCGAAACGTCGTACTCAGATTTTATTACACCGGCGTGCTGTACTAGTAACGAATTAGCATGTTCTACTTACGTGACAAACCTTACTAATTGGCTGTGTCGTGTGGTAGCTGGTTTAACAACACATTTATATTTATACGATCTAATCCAACAAAAACCTCTAATGTGGATAATATTGGTCGCGAAAGCCTCCTACGTGTTAAACTTTAATTTACCTTCCACGCTTTATGTAAATTTAATAAGAGCAGCAACGTGATCTTGCGAAGAGGCACTACGAAGCTGTCTTGGCTGCATTCCCCGAAGACGGAGTGTCACCAACGGTGTTCAATGTGATTAGGGCAAGAGGAGCCATGATATATAATGGCATCTGTGTGTCCCTGCGAGACAAATCAAATGTTGGGGCCCCTCCTGACCGATTCACAATGTCGTTACTACGCCACTTCCCACTGCCAGCACCACTCACTGCGAGGCGGTGGCAACCGTCATCGTAATACTCACAGTTAGGGATTCATTTGATGGCAGCTTCCCGTATTGAAGCTGCAGGCTCAACAAATGGTGAACTCCAGTGGGAAACGGCCCAGCTGACACAGCGCTGTGCAAGATGAAATGGGGGGAGTTGCACATCGCTCCATGCTGTAGTGTTCCAACGTTACCAGTTACCAAAGTAAGCATTGCCACAATAAAAATTCGTAAATTTGCGAACTTTATGATTGCATTGAATTTCATTAATAATAATTATTAGAAAGGTGCGTTAGAACCCCAACGGTCCACGCTGATGTGGGGGAAGGTTGTGCGTCTTGGAGTCTGTAATCTGCGATGGAAAAAAAACTGTGTTTTTTTTGTGCATTTAAGGAGTTGTTTTGCCACGCGTCTCCAATGATCCGCGAAACACGACGGATTATAGGAGTTTTACCTTTCATTTATAAATTTAAATCCAATCGGCCATCAGCATCCACAGTTAAGGATTATAGAATTTTTCAGACTTAACATCCAAAGTGGATTAGGTCTACCGGTCGATAGACCATGTTGGCACAGTTTGTACGACAAAAAATTAAACAAATCTGCATCTCCGCTTGTCTCTCTTCACCTCAGAAACAGAACTATAAACTAAACATTTTTTTTTATATTACCAGGTAAGGCCCATTGAGTTATGTAGTTCTTTTTCAAAGCAACCTGGCCACAAATGATAGCTCGTCAAAGTGGCTTATCGTGTGGAAATATATAGCAGTCATCAAATATTGTACACGCACGTTTCTGAATGTGGAGGGGGAAAACCCGAGGACCCGTAGAAAAATCTACGCAACCGCGGAGAGAGAGGGAGAGACACACAAACTCCAAATATACCAGAGAGAGAGGGATGCATTTGAAGCTCTTCAATATGTATTCAGACATTTAATAAGAATCGTGGCAGGATCAGGATTATGAAGCGTGACGCAGAGCATCGCTTGGAGAGCCTCGCGCTGCGTGACAGGTGGCATGCAGGCCGCGTTCAACGTCCTGGAGTGCGAGGGCACGAACCAAAGCGTGTGGCACTCAGAGGGGAAGGAGAGGACTTTCTTCATCGCCGCTGAGGAAGTGGACTGGGACTACGGCCCATCAGGCGTCAACAACGCGACGGGCGAGGATCTGACCCAGCCTGGAAGGTGAACTCACCACAAGCCACGTGGAGTGTCTGTCAAAGTCGCCACGCTTTAAAAATGTTTTTTTTATTACGCTTGTTTACCCAACAAAGCCCGACTCAGTCTCATGACTCTTTTTCGTTTAGCACGGTTGGCTACGTACGATGCCAAAGAAGTAAAAAATATAGGATATACATTACAAAAAAAAGCCCAAGTGAATAATTTGCGGGTCATTTATCAAATTTGCCAAATTTGGACCATGGGGAATATTTTCGCTATGAGTCGAAGAACTATTTTCAGATTCATACCTGAGTACGTGTACTCATGTAGATGCACTGCCCCTTTTTGTCAATCGACTGCTGGATGAAGGGCCTCCCCATGCAGTGGGGGGCACGAGAGGACCAAACAGTGCGCGTTGGTGAAGGGCAAAGCTCTGGTGTCGGAGCAGAGCAGAACGGCCCATATGGAGGAAGGAGCTACGAGAGAAATTACTTTTAGAATCTCGAGCCACCTCATATCCACACCGGAGAGGAACATTTATCCACCCTGCTACAGAGAGGAATGCTCGTCACGCGACAGTCGACCTTATGCTTGCTAAGAAATAAGTTCAAACCCAAATTGAAAGTGTGTGTTACGTTCTTTATGCAGTCACTCGTCACTGTACTCAGCCGTGCCAACTCAGCACTCTGACCTCTGAGCCACCCCATCCATCTCCCCGCTCTTGTATGCATGCACGTCATTGTCATTCGTCGTGTGGGAACTTTGGCCGTGACTGATCTAGTGATTCCGAGAAGTACTTCACGAAAGGGCCCAGCCGCATTGGAGGTGTGTACAGGAAAATCCTCTACACGGAGTACACCGACGCCAACTTCACCACCAGGAGGCAGCGAACGCCCAAACAAAGCCACATGGGGATGTTAGGTACGGTATGCCGTGAGCTGTGTGTACTCTTCAGCTACTCTTTTGTTTAACCGTTTAAAACAGGGGTCCTCAAACTTTTTAAACAGGGGGCCAGTTCACTGTCCCTCAGACCGTTGGAGGGCCGGACGATAGTTAAAAAAAACTATGAACAAATTCCTATGCACACTGCATATATCTTATTTTGAAGTGAAGAAACAAAACGGGTACAAATACAATATTTACAATGAAGAACAAGTAAAGTTAAATCAACAAACTTGCCAGTATTTCAATGGGAACTATGGGCCTGCTTTTGGCTAATGAGATAGTCAATGTCCGGTTCCATATTTGTCACTGCTAGTCGTAACAAGTGATGCAAGTGTGCATCCGTTAGTCTAGATCTGGTTGGAGATTTCAAATGTTTAATTCTGGAAAAAGTCTGTTCACAGACATAAGTGCTGCCAAAGATGGTTGCCATTTTGAGTGCATGGTTCCTGAGATGAGGATATGTCTCAGAGGGGAGAGATGCATAGAAATTATGAAGGCTGCTTGACATGAATGCGTCTTTCAGAGAGTCACAATTCTGCAGTTCAGCCAGTTCCATTTGGTAAATTGTATCCACATTTTCAATGTCAATAGAAAATGGATTACGGAAAAGCTGTATGTCCTGTTCATGGAGATGAAGCTCTTTAAATCCAAATTGGAACTCCTTTTGCAATTTTTCCAGTGAATCCACACATGTTTTGTTTGGGAATGCAACCAATGGTTTTTCCGCTAACAGATTTTGAGTTGTGGGGAGATGGCAGAAGTTTTCCTCCTTCACTTGTTTGATGAGGAGGCCTAATTTTACTTCAAATGCTTTGACATGTGATTGCATATCACAGATGAGCTTCCCCTTTCCTTGAAGTTGCACATTGAAACTGTTGAGTAGCTCTGTTACATCTGTCAGAAAGGCAATGTGCCATTTTTATTCTGCATCATTGAGCTCTGGTACTTCTTTGTTTTTTTAAAGCAGAAAAGCTGTAATCTGTGGAAGTCATAGAAACGTTTCAAAACTCTCCCTCGACTCAGCCAACGGACTTCTGTGTGATACAAAACATCTTCATAGTCAACATTTAGCTCAGACAGAAATTCCTGAAATTGTCTGTGGTTTAGTGCATGAGCTCTAATGAAGTTAACACAAGATACCACAATTTTCATAACAGAGTCCCACTTCAGTGATTTACTACACAGCGCTTGTTGGTGGATGAGGCAATGTATGGCTATTGGATGAGAATGGTTATGTTTGTCCATCTCTTGGTTAATGCTAGCAATTACTCCTTTCTTAGACCCCACCATGCTAGGAGCACCATCAGTTGTCACACTGGCTAGTTTAGCCCAGTTCAGCTCCAAACTATTCACAGTTTGGCAAACCTTTTCATAGATATCCTCTCTTCTTGGTTCTTTCGGTAAAGTCACGTAGAAGGGAAGTAATAAAATAATCAAAATAAAACATAATAAAATAATTCTCACGACGTTTCGGCCACAACGCAAGCAGCCGTCCTCTGGTGAAAACCAGGTCTGTCGGGGAGACAGCGTCTGAATGAAACAGCACACGAGCTTGGAGCATATATAAGCTGGGTTGGAAACGGGGGAAAGAGCGCCTTGACAAAAGAATTTGCATATCAAGAGGAATTTAGCATATTTATGGGAAATGCAGGAATGTTATTAGTACTACATATGCAGCACGGGCATATGTAGTACTAATCACATTCCTGCATTTCCCATAAATATGCTAAATTCCTCTTGATATGCAAATTATTTTGTCAAGGCGTTCTTTCCCCCGTTTCCAACCCAGCTTATATATGCTCCAAGCTCGTGTGCTGTTTCATTCAGACGCTGTCTCCCCGACAGACCTGGTTTTCACCTGAGGACGGCTGCTTGTGTTGTGGCCGAAACGTCGTGAGAATTATTTTATTATGTTTTATTATTTTATTATTTCCCTTCTATGTGACTTTACCGAAAAAACCAAGAAGATGAATCCCTGCAGTCACGAAAGCTTTAAATCGAAAGATATCCTCTCCTGTAGATGTTCCTTTGATGCTTTGCAGTGCAGAAAGCTCTTCTGTGACTTCGAAATAGTCATTCGTCCCACGAATAAAAATTTGAAGTTGTGCAGAATCACGAACATCATTGCTTTCGTCGAGTGCCAAGGAAAAATAGGAAAGTTTTTTTGTGGAGTTTTGCAAATGCTGATGCAAATTGTCTCCCATTTCTTCAATCCTCCGTGTAATTGTAGGTCCTGAAAGACTCACTGTACTAAATAAATCGGCCTTCTCTGGACACATCTCTTTGGCAACAGAAAGAAGGCATTCTTTAATAAATTCTCCCTTCACGAATGGTCTGCCAGTGCACGCTATTAGCTTGGCAACTTGAAAACTTGCTCGCAGTGATGAAATATTTATCTGCTTCTGCTTCACAAAAGTATTTTACTGAGTTGTTAATGTATTTTTCAGTTTTAATATTTTATCTTTTCTCACTTCTCCGACCAAACAATCATATTTATCTTTATGTTGAGTTTCATAGTGTCGACGTAAATTGTATTCTTTGAACACAAACACTATATTCTGGCATATCAGACACACAGCTCTTTCCTTGTACTGCTTGAAGAAGTAATCATAAGTCCACTGTTATTTGAATATCCTACACTCCGAGTCAATTTTTCTCTTTCTTGACATCATTGTTTCCTAGGGAGTCAAAATTGCTATTAGTAAAATACCAATATATATAGTGCTACAAAAACAATATACCAGCAATAACTTTGCCCACACAGAGACATACAGACTGCACTGCCCATCAATGCAGTCTGATTGGGGGAACTCCGCCCCCTCTCCCTCTTCCACCAATGACCGTCCTTCTCATGTAGAAAAAAAGTAACAGACAGGCAGCGGCGGCAAAAACACCCGGCGGGCCGGATAAATGTCCTCGGCGGGCCGCATGTGGCCCGTGGGCCGTAGTTTGAGGACCCCTGGTTTAAAATAACGTTTACGTCACTAATGGACGCATCTGCTTTTGTAATGGCACTGCGAATAAGGCATCGACTCACAATTGGAAAGTTGTGATTTCAAATCCTGACTGGGGGTCAACTCTACCCGTCATCCCTTTGGATGTTATGAAGTAAGGGGCCATCCATTTAGTACGTACGCATGGAGGGGGGAGGGGGGGTTAACCCAAATGCGTTCGCTTGCGTATGGGGGGGTCTACTTAAAATGTACGTATAGGAAACGGGGGGGGGGGTGAAGCCTCGATAATAATTTGTCTACATTGGCCTTCAAATTAGTTAGATAGTCCGCGGTGGACTGTTTGCTTAAACACGTTAATATTATTAATCCTTGATCGTTTCTGCGTGGATTAAATATCGGCTGTTCTATAGGATTAGGGGGGGGGGGCGTCAAGCGAACGTACGCAGGTGGGGGGGGGGTGTTAAAAGTACGCGTGCGTACAGGGAGGGGGGAAGGGTCAAGTTTTGATAGATTTTTGCGTATGTACTAAGTGGATGGCCCCTAAATACCACTTTGTGAGAAGTCATCAGCAGTTATTCTATGGACAGACTGGCACCTGCCGTGGGAATGGAAAATTTCTACAATTGACTCATTTGACATGATTTCGTATATTCTTTGGGTCTTTCGGTAAATAGATAGAAAAAAGAATAACAATAACATTTTAAAAATGTAAATAAAGTGAATAAAAAAGTAATAAAAAAATATCACGACGTTTCGATCGCAGCACAAGCAATCGTCATCTGATATTTTTATTAACTTTATTTTCATTTGTTTATTTTTATTATTTTATTGTTATAATTTTTTCTATCTACGTGAATTTACCGAAATACCCAAAGAATATGAATTCCTGCAGTCACGAAAGCTTTAAGTCAAGATTATTTGGTATGTTAGATTATGTTGGCGCCTTTAAAGTTTGTGGCAATTGAGAACCCACTGTCTGCCAGTCAGAAGGGATGAAGGCTCCTAAGAGTATGAGGGATGGAAGTGCAGCCGAATGGACTAAATCGAGTTTATTTTGCTTCAAGTGCTCAATCCACGCTTTTGCTCTTTTTCTCTTCCTGCCTCCTTCACTGGAACAAACTTCCCCTTCCACATTGAGCAGTCACATTCACTCACGAGTTTCCGCTCCTCACTAAAAACTCACCTATTTACCCTCGCTCACCCCACGACCCCTTAATCTCCTCCTCATAACCACCACCGTCACTCATCCCTCTTCATATTCTCATTATTTGGCTATCACTCATTCGCCCGTTCATTCAATCCATTAATCATCATTTACATTCATCATCAATTTCGCTTTCAACGAATGCACGCAACACAGATTCACCCCCATTGCTTCCTCTCATCTATTTAATTCACCTCATCTCTACCATAACCGCCACACCATTACATATTATACTGTTGTTAATTGTTTGGAAAGCGCCTTGATTAAGACGTTAAGATACGATAAGTGGCTGGACATTGCAAGCTTGCGCATTACAGCTCAGCATTTTAAAACATATCGTTTGTGCATACGGCTGGTAGGATATTCCAAATCACAAACCTAATTTTTCATCGGTTTTACAATAAATGGTACACTCCTAGTTGTCATAGAAACTTTCCAAAATGAATACAACTGACATGAAAACAAATATAAAAATCCTTTTTTGATCACTTTTCTTTTTGCTTAGAGACTGTTTTGTTATCATTGTGCAACAATCATCTTTTTCTTCCGATTTCCAACGATGATATGTATACGTATAGGTCAATTGCTTATTGGATATTATCCTAACCCAGCCAGCGCATCTATACACACATCTAAAGTCCGATTGGATCCATGTCTTGTTGAAAGGCACCGCAGTGATGAAAACTAGTTTCATAGCTCATCAGATCTCTCCCAGCATAAATACATATTCCGATTTTGATTTATGTCTCCTCCACAGGGCCCGTGCTGCGAGCAGAGGTCGGGGATGAGATCGTCGTCACGTTCAAGAACTTGGGCAGCCGGGGCTACAATATCCATCCACACGGTGTGTTCGCGAGCAACGAGCATGTCGCCAAGGGGAGTTATGGTAAGATGGATCCTTTAAGGTAACAGATGAGATTAGGTAGTTTCAAAATGATTATGGATAAATTAAACGTGATTTTTGTTTAGCATTCCCCTACTTTTATAATGAAACTATATCTGTCTGCAAAACATCATTATGAAATGCTTTGTATTGACGTAGTTTCATCCATTTGCTAACTCAGTATAAGAAGGATTTTTTTTTCAATTGAAAATATTCCCAATTCCATTGTCGTAACATGAATTTCCCATATTTTGAATTAGAGTACACCATCAACAGTTATTTAGGTTGTGGTTTAAACCTTTTGAGTCGGCTCTGTGACCAATAAAATCCCACTCACCACTCCACGACCTCATGGTGCACGCTGGCTGACCAGCAGAGAAGAGAGATCACCATCAGTGGCAATGACTGATGGCTTCATTGTGCATGAGCCTCGAAGACCAAAGTGTGGATTATTCATTCAGGATTTACTTTTAAGAACGAAATGGCTGATAATAGGTTTTTCCCCTTTTTTCTGGTCTAACACCGTTTGAGACGAGGCTCAAATAAAGCTGTCTCTGGTGTGGACCAATCAGTTTCAAGGACAATGCATATATTATCAGAGTATGTTTTTTGTTTGCATTCTGACCACAAGCATTATGGTTAATGCAGACATGATTCCTTGTAAAAGGTTTCAGTTTACTCTTTGGTTATTTCGGTAAAGGCACGTAGAATTTTTTTAAAATAATAATAATAGAATACGACGTTTCGATTGCAACACAACCAACCATCATCAGGTACAAATGAATGAGAAAACAAACATAGCAAACTTGGAAATATAATGCAATACAACACAGAGAGTCGGCCAACACAACAGTCAATATCCCACCCGGTTGATTACGTTCTTCCAAAGATTGCTAAATTTGAGAAAGAGACAAAACATAGACACGGAGACACAACAACAACCGCCATTCACCACTAAGTGGTGGTGATGTCACCACGACGCTTGTGCCAGGCTATGTGCACCTTGAGGCGACGTGAAGTGTCGAACGCCCGCTGGCAGGAGGTCACGGGGCAGATCCAGATGCCACGGGTCGACTGACTGAGACGACTGGCTGATGCACCACCTGTGCCCCCTTCTGTGCCAACTTGCTGTGCTTTAGCCACCCGGCGCTCCGCTCGTTGTTATGAGCGTTACTCCTCCGCCCTCCGTTGTTGTTAGAGGGCAACTGCCTCCAACTGCCCAGTAGCGTCCTTCACGAGCCTCCTCCACAGAGGCCAATCTTGACACCGCTGGTACCAGTCATCGGCAAGTCCACTCAGCTCCACACCCTCCTGTACCACATCACTCCATCTTTTCACAAGCACATGCCATGCCCATTTCGCCTCCTCGATCCGGCCGAACAAAAGCTGTTTAGGCATGCGGTGGCTGGGCATGTAGGCTGCATGGCCCAGCCAAGGCAGCCTTGCCTGCCGGAGGAGTTCACTGATGGGACTTTGCCCAGGTCTTTCAAGGATTTGTGAGCTCCTTACACAATCCAGCCTGGTTAAACCTATGATGGATCGTAGGCAGGCCAGCCTAAATGTTTCTAACCGGTGAAGATGTTCCATTAGCGGGGTCCACGTTTCGCAAGCGTAGAGAAGGGAGGGAATGACCGTGGCCGAGAAGACCTGAAGCTTCGTGCGGAGTGACAGACCAGGTAGCTTCCACACAGCGTTACCCAACTAATGAAAATATAATGGCGCTCGACTGATTCGGAGTGAGACCTCTGCTGTGAAACCGGAGCCGGTCATCAGCACACTGCCCAGGTATGGGAAACTCTCCACTCTCTCCACAACTGCCCTATCACTAATTGGGATTTGTGGGGGTGGAGTGTCCGATGGTACAAAATACCCAGGCAGGTGCTTAATTTTGGTGGGGCTGATGGTAAGGCCCAACCTCTTAGTGGAAAGCTCCACGTTCAGCAGTAGCGCCTCCAACTCCTCCTCTGAGTGAGCAGCAATTAGCAGATCATCGGCATACATAACATGGTTGAGCAATAGGGAACCATCCCTTGACATCACCCGGCATCGATCTGCCTCCCATTGTATCTGTACCAGATGGAAATTCCTCCGGTACAACTATTGAAGGCTTCACGAACTACGTGGTCGAAATAGATGTTAAATAATGTGGGAGCCAGAGGACATCTCTGTCACACCCCAAGGTGTACAGGGAATAGTTACGACTCCCGGCCACGTAGTTTTACCCGGGCCCGCTCACCATCATGAAGGTCCTTAATGATAATGAGCAGAGGGTCAGGGACTCCGAAAGCACGAACAACTACCCAGAGTCCAGGCCTACTGATGGTATCATATGCCTTGACCAGGTCAATAAAGCAGGGATGTAGGTCTCGTTGGAGTTCCCTACACCTCTGCTGTAGCAGGACCGCCCTTTCCTGAAACTGCATTAGGGCTCCGCAAGCCTCTCCTCAGCGTGCCCCTGCAAGGCGATGTTGAATAATCCTTGCCAGGATTTTTCCCTGGCACACTGAGGAGTGAGATGCCCCTGTAGTTATTACAGTCTGTGCGGTTCCCCTTCTCAAAGAGAGGGACCACCAGGGCATCCTTCCAGTCCTGCGGTACCTGTCCAGTGGTCCAGACTGTTGTCATGATGTCATGTCGGGCAGTCTGTGCACAAGCGCCATCCTTTCTCAGCATTTCGCTTGGGAGATCATCTCTGCCCGGTGCCTTTCCTGGTCTCAGACTCTGGATCGCTTTCAGTACTTCCTCAACAGATGGCACCTCAGCCAGCCACTCATAGGCGGTGACTTCTTCCAATCTTTGAGGCACCGCAGCCTCGGCAGGGTCATCCTCACTTTGTCCCACGTTGTTATCCAGGCTGAGGGATGTCCCCTCCCCCAGGACCTCACAGAAATGCTCAGCAAATCTGCAAACCTGTTCCTGGAGGTCGGAGATAGGATCACCCTTCTTTCCCCTAATGATGGTAATAGGTATGGCGCTGCAGGTTACTTTTTTGATGGAATTAAAGAGCGATTTGTGATCGCGGGCTATTGAGGCAGACTCCATCTCCTCAGCAACTCGCAACCACCACCCATCCTTGCAGCGCCTCATGGCTCTCCGAACCTCCGAGCGAAGGCTGCGGTTAGCCTCCTCATTCTCCGACGTGGGATGCTGTAGCCGATGAGAGTGGGCCTGTCGCTTTTTCTCAGCCAGCTCGAACACTGTCTCCATCAGCCAGGGTCTCTGAGGAGGTCTGAACCGTGTACCCAAAGCAGCCATTGCAGCTGCATGAGCCACAGTCCTAAACCTCGCCCATTTCTCCTCGACATCAGGAGTGGGGGACGATTCCAACCCGTTCGTCTTCAGTGGGGGTATAAGTAACCACGACCACCACTCCTCACCTCTGGTTGATGAGAAGGCGAGCTCAAAGTAACCCGGAGCTCACAGCTTCCCACACCTTACCGCCATGCTCCCACACCCCTTCATTCTTTGTTTCAGAAGAAGAGCCACTCCCTGTTGTTTGGCAGTCTCCTGCCCCGAGAAGAGGACTGTCCACCCCTCATGGTGGCGGAAGCCAAATCCGGTCCACCGGACCTCTTGAATACTACAGAGATCCAGGCGGTACCGGTCCAGCTCCCGACAGAGGAGTGGCAGCCTCTCCTTCGCAGTGAGCGTTCGAACAATCCACGTGGCCACACGTAGTGGTTTTTTGTTTTTTCTGGAGGAGCCCCGAGGGTAAGGATTCAGTCTCCTGGCTCCGCCAAATGGGGTTTGGCCAGGATATAGATGTCCTGTCCCCCCGGGGCCTCTGGCACAAGCTTATTAATAAAAAAATTCCGTCGTGGTTTAGCGGTAATTAATTGAAGGTGGAGGGGTTACCAGCCCCTCGTACCCATCCAAAGCCCTCTTTTGGCCGCTGTGGTGGTCACAAACGCCATCAGGGGAAAGGTCAATCGGAATTGGCCCTCCCCCCACAGCACTGCCCACGACAGCGCTGCCCCTTCTGGCATCACGAGGAGGTAGGGGGTTGTTTTGCTGGAGACACAGACAGACACACAAGCAGAGAGAGACTCACACAGAGATAAACAGAGAGAGAGACACACATATAGGCACACAGACAGACAACGTCTCTGTGTCGAGGCCTTAAATAGAGAGAGTGGGGGGGGGAGAGAATAAGAGAAGGGGGGGTTGGGGCAGAGGGGGAGTTGTGTGGAATTCCTGCCCATAGCGGATGGACGAGCTGGACACTGGACTTCTAAACAAACAAGTACGGAGCGTTGTGTGGAATTCCTGCCCATAGCGGTCGGAGGAGAGAATGGACTTATAAACAAGCACGGGACAAGCACGGTAGAAAGCAAATTTACTAAAATTAGGAAGTCTAATGCAATGCAACACAGAGAGTCGGTTAGCATTATATTTCCAAGATTGCTATGTTTGTTTTCTCATTATTATTTAATTAAATTTATTTCTGCGTGACTTTACCGAAATAACCAAAGAGTAATTCCTGCAGTCACGAAAGCTTCGAATCTCGGTTTCAGTTTGGTGTTTCAACATCTTAACACAACTGTTTTGTTGCCAGAAAAAAGGGGAAAACCCTATTATCATATTTTGGTACTGGCAAAAGAGGTCCCATAACGAAATGGCTGTCGGTGTGAGGTCAGTAGCGTCACGAGCGTGGGGCACGCAAGGGGGTGCCTTGCCCCCCCCCTGGTGGCCGCATCTACGAGTTGAGGCCCCTCTTGACAACCACCATGAGATATGTTTTCAAAACAGTGTAAAAAAACAACAACAAGACATTTAAAACGCGGTTCGAATGTATTTTTATTCAAATTATTTCATTTAAGTCTCACGTTTTATGTTAATTCAATGAGAGCAGTGACGTGATATTGCAAAGAGGTACTGCGGAGCTGTAGTGGCTGAATTTTGCGTCGACGGAGCTCCGCTACGGCATTAAATGTTCGAGACCATGAGCGCTAACGATGTGATGAGGCAAGAGGAGCCGCGATATATGATAGCCTCTAGGTGAGATCGTGCGAGACAAATCAAATATTGGGGCCCCATCTGACAGATTGCCGCACCCCCCGAGTTGATCGTGTAGTTACGCCACTGTGTGGGATGAAGGAACCAGCATCATGCTGTTTCTAAATCAAGTACAAATCTTGGACTCGGCGAACATAAAGGAGGCCAGATTTAAATTCTAATGCCAATTACCACTGCTGTGTGTACATGGCCGGAAAACCCAACCCAGAGTGCACATGCTGCAATCTTGCAAAATTAGAATTAATTTCCGGTTCCGCACACCCCTGGCACCGGGCTGGACTTCCTATTTGTAGACTTAAAATGAAATGACGACCTGCTGCAGGATCTATGTGTGTATGTATGTATGTTGAACTTCTTTCACACCGTACGCAGCCAGCCGTGCTAATGTAACCTGGCTAGAAGAGCAGAACCAATTACGACCATCAGAGCGCTCAAAAGGGCAGGGAAGGCAGAAAGGTGGGAAATTTGAGGCTGCAATTTGCAAGATAATTCGTCTAAGCTAGAGGAGAGAATGAGAGTTTTAATATTTTAATTATGGCCTAGTAACCCCCCACAAACCGCATGGCATGGGGAGGGCTTCGTTCGATAGTGAGTCCTCACCCGTGGATATAATGACAGTGCACATTATGGTCTGAAAATATGGATCTCTTCACTGGGTTGCTGGTGGCTCGTGGCTTTAATCTAGCACTGTGGAGGCAGTGAGGGTTAGTGGATCACACACACACACATCCGTGAAACTCCCAAACTCGCTAGGATACAAGGTAGACATATCATGGCTTGCCAGGGTGTGATGATAGTACAGCAAGTGGAACATTTTCATTATTACATATGCACCGGGCATTGAGCGTTGCCCCCTCGCACGCATGGGGTTTCTCCCAGGATTATACTTTCCACCCACGTGTACAGACCAATCACTACTGGAGTCGACCGAATACCCCAACGTAGGGCCACAGAGCTTGGGCAATCTGTTGGCGCTGGGTTGCTGCTTGCTGCCTTCCCCTCTTGTCTGTGGTTTCCCCACGCCTACCTGTAGTTTATGTTTTATTTTACAGAGCTCCACAAGGTGGCAGCAGTGCCCGCGGGAGGCATGCACACGTACCGCTGGGCGGTACCCCAAGGAGCCGGCCCCACCCAGGCGGATGAGCCTTGCATCACCTACCTGTACACCAGCTCGGTCAACCACGTACGGGATGGCCACTCGGGCCTGGTCGGACCGCTGCTCATCTGCCGCAACGGCTCCCTGGACCAGCACGGCGACCAGGTCCTTATCTAGGGTTCTTTGTGACTCGGCGATACCTTTAGGATACATTGCCTTACGATATACTATAAACGAAGCTATTTTTTTTTATTAGACCAGGTAAGGCCCACTGAGCTATCTAGCTCTCTTCAGAAGCTACCTGGCCACAAATGATAGCTCAGCGAAGTGGCTTATCACGTGGAAATGTATGGCAGCCAAAGGCTTGAAACGCACGGTGATTCTTAATGTGGAGGGGAAAAACAGAGGACCCCAAGAAAAATCCACGCGACCACGGGGAGAACATGTAAACTCCAAATACAAAAGTGTCAGAGTCGAGATCGAACCCACTACCTCCTGTGTAGCAGGCAAAGTAGTTAACATCTCACCAGCATGGCGCCCTCTAAGATCCAAGATACTCGTATCATCCATTTTCTAAATGTCATCAAATCGCAATGAATAAATAAAATACCTAAATATAAATAAGCACATTTGTAATGGGTTGCAGTTTTTGATAGATTCAGAGATATAAGAAACCTCATACCAGCGGGTATATCAGAAAAAAACAGCCCTACCTATATTTTGCCCAAGCTCTGTGGTCCTACATTGAGATGTTTGGCCACAGACACCGGAGTACCCCGAGGAAAGCCACGCGTGCGAGGGGGGTAACGCTCAGTGCCCCTGCAGATGAAAATGAACTCACTTTCTGTAGTGCCAAACTCTGGCATGCCAGGAGAGGGTGACCTCGCAGCCCGTCGGTGTTTGGGAGTTTCACGACGTTTGTCCAATCCACCAACCCTGGCTGCTTCCACAGTGCTGGGTTACAGGCCATGCGCATAGCCACCAGTGACCGGCTTCATTACTGTTGTTCACACTATTGCTTCGAAATGTTTTACTTCCCGACTCGGTATTTACGAAATAACAAGCTCGGCAATTAAAGTTGCAGATCGATAGCTATTATCAATTCATGAAAGTGCCTTGTAACATGTTCATCAGCATGGCAGGGACAGTCTGTTCACCTATAATGCTGCGTCTTGTTTTCAGAAACGAGGATCGGATATAACACGATGAATGTATTGGGGAACACATTTTGTATGACGTGGATGCGAATTGGATATAACGCGATTGAGAGAACAGAACTACGTCACACGAGTAAGAATAAGCGGTTGTACGGCTGTCTCGGTGTAGCATCACATGAGGCGGGATGCTGCTGGATACTTCTGGATGCTACCCATGCCCCTCAGTCTTTGTTCAGTCTTCGTACATATCTCACGTGTTATCGCGGACTGTGCTTTACTCTATATTATATATTATTTATAATAACGAGATTTTTCCATAGTGCGGTGTTCTTCAGGAACGCAACTTCTGCATTATAGGAGAACAGACTGTATACCGCATCTACAGACAAGCACACAAAACACATTAACGTTGGGAAATACAATTACAAAGCTACGGTAAACTGTTACGTACAACTTCATTTCTTCCTTCCGATATCAGGAAGCCACTGGGAGCTGTGTATGTCTTTAGAAGTGTTTTTTGTGTTTAGTTTGTTGTCCTTTCCCGCACCTCCGATTTCTCTTATATTTAATAAATATGCATAGCAACCCAGAATTGGACTTGAATATTTTGTGGAGTCATTCAGTGGTGGTATTTCCACTTACAATTAACACATTTAAAAATGTGATCCTTGAATCAAACGTCACATCAAATCACATACCACAAAGCAGGATATCATGAACGCATCATCATAATTCACATGAATCCATTATTCTCATGCCTGAGGTTATTTTACACCTGAAAATATAGGGTGCCACTGGTGGCGAGATGTTAACTCTCTCGCCTGTTTTGCAGGAGGTTGTGGGTTCAATCCAGACCCTGACGCCTGTATATTTGGTCGCATGGATTTTTCTATGAGTTTTGTGGTTTTTCCCTCTACATTTAGAAACGTGCATTTAGAGTATTTGGATGCTGTAAATTTCCACATGATAAGCCACTTCGTTGAGCTATCGTTTGAGGCCAGGTCGCTTCTGAAAAAGAGCTATGTAGCTCAGTGGGCCTTCCCTGGTAAAATAAAAATATAAGTTGTAATCGTAGTGTCTAATGCTTGGACACATGCGACAAAATTGATGCTTCAGCGACAGACGACCACTGCTTCACATGTCCCTGGCGATCATCGCCCGATAATGATAGGTCATGTCTCTACAGAGCGGCACGGACGAGGAGGTGTTCCTGCTCTTCGACGTCGTGGACGAGGGCCTGAGCTGGTACCTGCAATGGAATAAGCAGCAGAACAACGTGACTGCACCCGACGATGACCCCAGCTTCCGGGAGGCAAACCTCCGACACAGTAAGCTGGGCGACGTAACATTCGGGAACGAGAGATAGATGCGTGGGCGTGCATGTACGGCCATTTTTGTCAGCCCGCCGTCGAACGAAGCCCTCCACGTGCCGTGCGGGTCGTGGGGTTATTGGGCCAAACTTTAAATATTAAGGCCCTCGTTCTTTCCTTTAGCTTGGACGAATTATCTCGCCAATTGCAGCCTCACAGTTCCCACCTCTCTGCCCTCTCGTTCCCATCCCTCCCCCTTCCCCTTGTGGGAGCACCTCCCCACTTTGTACAGCATGCAGAGTTGTCTGCTCCATAATAGAGGTTTTTGGGTTAGATCGCGTAAATTTGCGTAAATTTATGGATGATATTGGTCACAAAAGCCTACGTGTAAACAGAGTTGCCTGCTGTTGCATTTGGACACTTTATCAAATTGTATTGAATCGATGTAAATGACCACCATGGCTGTTGGAATAAATGACTTTGTCGCAACCACAGTTGTCTGTTAAAAGAAAGGCTGGATTTGTATGTCATCGTAATCAACCATTCTCAATACACTGCTAGTTGAAGGCCTCCCCCCGCTGGAAATGCCTATCACGGTCCTGTGATTTAATAATCCACCTATCCCATGCACATGTGGTGCCAGTGTCTCTCATAAAAGGAAGGCAGTATTTATATTTCGCAAACATAAATCACTGCCATTGTGTTTAGTCCATTAGTAATAATTAGGGTATTTTAGTCACGTAACAAATACATTCTACTCTCCATATGTGTATGACACAAGTACATAGCATTATTCTATTCTTCTTCATAAACAATGTCCACCGTTCACCAGCATTCAATGTCACTTTTCAGAGTCATGTCTGTTATTTCTGTGCAGCAGAAATTCTGCCCTGTACTGAAAATAGACGTTATTTGGTTCGTTTGATATATTTTGGTCATTGCTTCACCCGTGTTGCATCGGTCATCCACCATGCTGAGTGCACATAGCCTGGCACAAGTGCCGTGGTCATGTCACGGCCACTTAGTGGCGAATGGCGATTGTTGTCGTTGAGTTAATATCCTCTTATAGTGACATAAATGTGGCATGAGTGGAATATCTCATTTGTCGCACTTGTAAGGAATACTAAAAAAAAATGCACATTATATTCTGTAATGATTCCATTTTCATTTTTCTTGAGAAAAAAAATCCGTGCCAATAATATCACCTTAGCCCATTACCTTCCCATCTCCAACTACATGAAATGATAAAGTTATATTATTTACGTGACAAGCGTAGGTATGACCAACACAGCATAGGGATCCCAATATATCGACCACAGGGTGTTCATCATTATTATCATTATTATTTCAGAAATTACGGTGCATGTTAAAGTCCTTTCGCCTCTGGCCAATGAACAAATAACCTTCGATTGCGGAGTTTTGCAGTCATATGAAGGGAAACCGTTCCTCGGTTTAGGCCCTGACCCATTGTGCGTGACGCGTGCCTCCCTGGAAGCCATCAACGGGTTTATGTTTGGGAACCTGCCTGGCCTGGAGGTGTGCGTGGGCAAGCGCGTGTCGTGGCACGTGCTGGCCGTGGGCTCTCAGGCCGACCTGCACACGGCCTACTTCACGGGACAGACGCTGCTCTTTGACCTCCGCCGTGTGGACACCATCGCCCTCTTCCCTCACCTCTCCTACACTGCCCTCATGCTCACCGACACCACAGGTGAGGTCTCCTGTAGTCGCTCTCTCTACCCAGTGGCCAGTCGTGATCTTCTTCGTCATTTCCCTGCAGTTGGTCCCTTTCCACTGCCACCCCTATTCAAGTCACGAAGCAGCATCTTTCATTTTCTGCCCCTTGGCCTCTTTACCAACATCCATCCTCCCGCAACCGCCTACGTCGAGTTTTCACTTTGTCTTTCGGCTTTTCAGGATTGTTTTCATTTACGTTGTCCCCTCCCCCACTCTCTCTTTCTTTCCATCCTTCTGACTGATTCAGATACCGGGATAAAATGATTTGCTCTGTGTGTTCACAATAAAACGAGTATTGGAGCGGTTGCATATCTTCATTAGTATTCCTCAACAAGTATTGGAAATTCACATTTCTGTAACTAAATTAAAAGTTTTTTTTATTTTAACAGGTAGGGGCCACTGAGCTATGTAGCTCTTTTTCAGAAGTGACCTGGCCACAAATGATTGCTCAAAGAAGTGGCTTATCCATTGGAAATGTAAAGCAGCCAAATACTCTAAAGGAATGTTTCTAAATGTGGAAGGAGACACCGTAGGACCTGGAGATAAATTCAAGCGACCACAGGGAGAGAGAACATGTAAACTCAAATATACAAGCGTCAGGGTCGGGATCGAACCCACAACTTCCTGTATACCAAGGGAGGAAGTTAACATCTCGCCACCACAACAAGAGACCAGTGTATTCATAAGGCAGCCACTGTTGACTTACTACAAATTGGTACTTACTTTATTAACTCCAGAAGGATTGACAGAATCGACCCCTTCTGAGCCAGACACTTCACCACAGATGTACCTTTATAAAGTGATGAAGTTATATAGGGTCAGCATGCTGTAATTTACAACACTTTTGACTCATGACAAATTGCTACTTACAGTATTTTTATGTGACTGTGAAGGGAGTACTCTGTGACCTGAAATTCTTCATCGGAGATGACCAAATCCCAACAGTGTCTGAGCAGCCGGTAAAAAGCCTTGGAAGGTGGTATGATTCAAGCCTGAAGGACAAAGACCAGGTGCAACAGCTGCGCAAAGACATCAGTAGTAGCCTCCAGTCCATCGACAACACCCAGCTACCTGGAAAGTTAAAGGCTTGGTGTCTGCAGTTTGGTCTCCTACCCCGGGTGTTGTGGCCCCTAGCAGTGTATGAGGTTCCAATCTCAACAGTGGAGAAGATGGAAAGAGGAGTCACAGGCTACTTAAAGAAGTGGCTCGGAGTTCCACGATGCCTTACCACCATAGGCCTCTATGGAGATGGTGTCCTCAAGCTGCCCCTCACCAGTCTAACCGAGGAATTCAAGTGTGCAAAAACCAGGCTCCAGATGACACTGAATGAATCTCGAGACCCAGTGGTGAGCAACAACGCGCCGACCTTGGCAACTGGGCGCAAATGGAGGCCAGGAAAAGCAGTCCAGGAGGCAACAGCAGCCCTCAGACATGCTGACATTGTGGGTCATGTTCAGCAAGGGAGAGGAGGCTTTGGACTAACTAGCCGTGCTGCTTGGAGTAAGGCCACTGCACCAGAGCGGCGGAAGATGGTAGTGCAGGAAGTACGCCATCAGGAGGAGGCTGCAAGGTGGGCCAAGGCAGTCTCTCTTGCCAAACAGGGACAGTGGACTCGATGGGACAGTGTGGAGAAGAGGAAGATCAGCTGGATGGATCTGTGGGCCATGGAAGCGAGGCGGTTGAGCTTTTCCATCAGAGCAACATATGACGTCCTTCCAACACCAGTTAATCTTCACCAATGGTATGGTGAAGATCCGGACTGTGCCCTCTGTTCCATGCCAGCCAACCTCAGGCACATTCTCACAGGGTGTAAAACAAGCCTCACCCAAGGACGCTACACTTGGCGTCACAACCAAGTTCTTAAAAACCTTGCATCCGCCCTGGAGGACAAGCGAACTGCCACCAACTCCCTACCACCCCCAGCAGCATCACACCCCTTACGGACGACCTTTGTCCGCGAAGGGGCTAAACCACCAAAGAGCGGCTCTACACCAATAGAGCGAGACCAGCTGCGCTTGGCCCGCGACTGGAAAATGCTAGCTGACATTGGCCGGCAACTTGTGTTTCCTCCGGAGATCGCAACCACCACCCTAAGACCTGACATGGTGCTCTGGTCCCGTTCGCTCAAGAAGGTCTTCATCATTGAGCTCACAGTACCCTGGGAGGACTCAGTAGATGAGGCTTATGAGCGAAAACATCTGCGCTATGCCGATCTAGCTGCTGAAGCACGGCATCATGGCTGGAACACAGAAGTCCGACCAGTGGAGGTGGGCTGCAGAGGTTTTGTGGCAACATCTACAACCAGACTGCTTAGAGACCTGGGAATTAAGGGCCAGAGCCAGCGTTCGGCAATCAGAGCTGTATCGGAGGCGGCAGAAGGCAGCAGTCAGTGGCTCTGGATGAAGAGGAAAGACCCCAGCTGGGCCCCAAAGTGAGAGGGCCAGGAGGTATGCAGTCAACAATGCTTGACTCAGGGATGAGGACGCCCCTGCCATGCATAGTCCCATGGGATGTTGGCTATCAACAACAAGGCAACTCCTATGACTAATTGGGAATGGGACGCAAGCGTAGGATTGATCACCCTGTCGCTGGCCGCCTTTGGGGAGGGTGTATAGTATGAAAGGCCGAAACACCCTAGGACCCAAAGGTTCACTACTGACGATGCGCTCCCCAAATTTCACCAGGCTCACTGTTCATGAACTCTTGGAAGTGCTTGCACAAAGGATAATAACATCTCATCCTGTGTTCTTTGGAATCTGAATATAATCTAAAATGCAAGTATTGTTTCATTTGCCTTGTTATTCTGCCTTAGATGTTTCCACAATGGCGATTGCCCACATCTGCAGCAAGACCAGCCTGTAGAGTAACAGCTAGCAGTGGGCTTGTGACGGTTGATATTTAGTTATATCATTCTATCCGATTCCAGGCCATTTTGTATTTTCGGTGTATATGGTTTTACATTGTTCGTAAAATCCAAAACATTGTTTGATATGGCATGTCTCGCCATGGTGGCGAATTGTTAACTACATTGCCTGGTATACAGGAGGTCGTGGGTTTTATCCCGACCCTGACGCCTGCTGTATATTTGGAGTTTGCATGTTCTCCTCGTGGTCGCATGGTTTTTTCTCCGGTTCCTCTGGTTTTTTCCTCCGTATTTATAAACATGCTTTTAGAGTATTTGGCTGCTAGAAATTTCCACATGATAAGCCACTTCTTTGAGCTATCATTTGTGTCCAGGTTGCTATCTAGATCAGTGTGCCTTACCTGTTAAAATAAAAAAATAGTTTAGCTTTTAGTTTATTTCTGGATTCCTGTTAAAAGGCACGGTTTGCTTTCTCGCAGGTGGATTTGAATTAATGTGCCGGACAAATGAGCACTTTAACGAAGGCATGAGAGCCAAGTTTAGAGTGTCAGAATGCGGGATGCCACCTGGACCGGTGTTTGTTCCGCAAAAGGAGCGGACATATTATCTGGCAATCCGTGAGGAGGTCTGGGACTACGCTCCCAACCGCAGCTGGGAAATGAAAGTGCACAACACCACCAATCCAGCACTCAGGTAAGAACCCGTGTATACATCACAAGCGCATTGACAATTCCAACCCCCTACCGATTAGATTACTTGTCGGGGTTCCAGGATCGCAATTCGATTCAGGAATTCAGTATGTCGTCTTTTTAAATCCTTTATATTAAGTTAGCTTGCTTGCTTGTGTAGTGACATAAGAAGGGAGGGGCTGCTGTAGGCTCTGGGTTCCCAGGTGGGTCCAGACGCGTAAGCCTCTGGGCGCCAGGCACTGCGTTCCCAGGGGGTCCAGACGCTTTTAAGCCTTTGGGCGCCAGGCGTTGGGTTCCCAGGCGCTTAAGCCTTTTTGGCGCCGCCAACGGGGCGGGGGGGCTGTGTGTGCTCTGTGGGATGTCTGGTGGCGCACACGGCCCCACCCCTCGTCGGACCAGGCATAAAAGGAGAGTTCCCTGGACGATCGGGGCCCAGTTGTAACTCAAGACCCTGGGATGCTGTGAGAGCCAGCGCTGGGACTCTGGAACTCCCGACGCTACGACCTTGTGAGGGCGAGTCCAGAGCGTAGCCAGAGTAGAGTATCTAGGCTGTGTACCTAGGCTGTGTACCTAGGCTGTAACAGAGTATCAGGACTGTTGGAGTGTTGTATTGTAATAAAGAAGTACATCTACAAGTGTCTCCGGAACCCGTTACATTTGGTGTTAGAAGTGGCTATGGAGACAAGAAGTAAGCCACGTACCTTCAGTCCTGACGGCGATGAAGAGGAGCAGGCAGCGATGGGGCGGCCAACGCCGGCCGACAACAACGCCGCACCGCCGGCTGAGCAGCTGTTTGCTCCGCCGACCGTCCCCTCTCCAGCGTCGGGAGCAGAGATGGAGGAGGCGCTGCTTCGCCTTGCAGAGCTGCTCTGCGCCACCGCCTCCCTCCTGGGCGAGCTGCGGTGCTCGCGGCCGATGGCGGGAGGGAGAGAGGAGGCGCGGCGCTCGCCCGAGCCCGCCGCCGCCGCCATTCCCCCCCACGGATGTGAGGGATACTTCCGGGAATGACATCACTTCCACCAGAGGAGCAGTGACCGCTGGGAGCGACGTCACTTCCGGACCCAGCGTGTGCCAACCCGACGACGCCGCGTCATCAGCGCTGCGTCCCTCACCGCCGGGTGACAGCTGTTGGCAACCTAGCACACCGCGTCATCAGCGCTGCGACCGGACAGTGAGGGCGCCATTCTTACTGTAACCAGCGCCGGGGCTGCACATGGACCGACACGCTGCTCGCCGCCTGTGCTGCTCTGGCCAAAGGTTGGAGGTCGGGAGACCAGGCCCCTGACACTTCGTACATTTTACGCGCTCCGGATTAATGATTTTTTTGTTGATATTTTCTTCGTTGTCGTCGGGGAGTCGTGACTGTTGTTGGGTAAACTGTGTGGAGCTTCGCCCGTGAGTGTTGTCAATGTGTGTTCGAAACTTTGCTTGTGATTGTTAACAATGTATGGTTTATATTGAGCTTTGTTCGTGATTGTTAATGTATAGCTTGTGCTGTCATTGTTAACGATGTATATACTGTATGGGGCATTTATCTTGAGATGGTGACATGCTGCCAAGGATTGGAATTGTCATGCTGGCTCTCAAATATCTTGGGGTGCAGATCCTGACCAGAATGTCCCAGCGGGTGTTGCGTGTCTAACACGAGAGTTGTGGTCCCATCATGCTATGGCAGACGGCTTGACCTGACAGCCCGGAGATAGAGACACTCCGTGGCATGTCTAGCCTAGTGGGCTGTGTGCTCACATGGCTCGGAGAGTGTGGTCCCGTCATGCTATGGCTGACGGCTTGACCTGACAGCCCGGAGATTGAAACACTCCGTGGCATGTCTAGCCTAGTGGGCTGCACGCTCACAGGGCTCGGAGAGTGTGGTCCCGTCATAGAATAGCTGACGGCTTGACCTGACGGCCCGGAGGTTGAGACCCTCCGTGGTACGTCTGGAGCTGTAGGCTCGCCCTGACGGCCCGGAGATTGAAACACTCCGAGGCGCGTTGAAACAGTGGGCTGGAGATTCGTGGTGTTCAGGTGTAGTTATCCCGTTACGTTGGGACTGTATCCCTCAGTTGTTAGGGTGCATGTTGTGCAGGGAGTGAACAATGGGTCGTCTCAGATCGGTCGGTACAGCTATATGCTGCGATGCGAGTCTTGGAGAGAGGTTGGGTCTCAGATCGGTCGGTACAGCTATATGCTGCGATGCGAGTCTTGGAGAGAGGTTGGGTTTCAGATCGGTCGGTACAGCTATATGCTGCGATGCGAGTCTTGGAGAGAGGTTGGGTCTCAGATCGGTCGGTACAGCTATATGCTGCGATGCGAGTCTTGGAGAGAGATTGGGTCTCAGATCGGTCGGTACAGCTATATGCTGCGATGCGAGTCTTGGAGAGAGATTGGGTCTCAGATCGGTCGGTACAGCTATATGCTGCGATGCGAGTCTTGGAGAGAGACTGGGTTGAAGTCCCCCCCGATATGGCCGACGTGCGCGGTTTTAGGATGGAGATGCCACGTTGGAAAGGCGGGGTGTGCAAACGGTTGACATGTAATGTCGGTGGTGGTCCTCATTGAGGGCTGCTGGGACGCAAGCACAGGATGCCTTGGAGATGCGGTTCGCGCGTGCGGCCACCATTTATGCACAGGAGCAGGCAGATTTATTTTGGTTGTGTCATGTAAATTTTATATATATATTTAAAAATGTAGATACTGGAGCAGCCCTGAAGTGCGACTTCTTTGCCCAGTACATGGGTCGGCCCTGAAGTACGACTTCTCGACCCGGGACGTAGACAGACGTCAGGATAAGTGTGTGTAGAGGGATGCTCGACATGTTAGTCTTCGCCTTCTCTCCACCTGACGGATGGGAGGCTGGCAGAGTGGTGTGGATCCCTGCCATCCATGCGGTGGTTGTGATTTCGGTTCGATTACCGGTGTTGGTTGTGCATCCAACGCGTTGGAATCTGTATATTTGTTGTTGTTAATTCCCCGTTTTCTATGCGGATCCCGAGGAGGGCTAGGTGTGCCGCGGGTCGTTTGTTCACGTGTCATTGCTTCACCTTTTTGTTGATTGATGCTTGTATATAGTGTAGAGTTGTACAGGTTGGTTATGGTTTTTATGGTTGCTTTCTTGTTCTCTTTTCTTTTCCTGTTGAGGCTCGCATATTTTTTTTTCTCTCTCTCCCTTTCGTTAATTTAAACTTTCTAATTATTGACAGCCGGGACGGCTGGAGGCTACGTAGAGGGGGGTAATGTAGTGACATAAGAAGGGAGGGGCTGCTGTAGGCTCTGGGTTCCCAGGTGGGTCCAGACGCGTAAGCCTCTGGGCGCCAGGCACTGGGTTCCCAGGGGGTCCAGACGCTTTTAAGCCTTTGGGCGCCAGGCGTTGGGTTCCCAGGCGCTTAAGCCTTTTTGGCGCCGCCAACGGGGGGGGGGGGGGGGCTGTGTGTGCTCTGTGGGATGTCTGGTGGCGCACACGGCCCCACCCCTCGTCGGACCAGGCATAAAAGGAGAGCTCCCTGGACGATCGGGGCCCAGTTGTAACTCAAGACCCAAGACCCACGACCAGCCATCTGAAGACCCTGGGATGCTGTGAGAGCCAGCGCTGGGACTCTGGAACTCCCGACGCTACGACCTTGTGAGGGCGAGTCCAGAGCGTAGCCAGAGTAGAGTATCTAGGCTGTGTACCTAGGCTGTGTACCTAGGCTGTAACAGAGTATCAGGACTGTTGGAGTGTTGTATTGTAATAAAGAAGTACATCTACAAGTGTCTCCGGAACCCGTTACACTTGCGTGCTTACGACCGTGCAAATCTTTCGGTCGTTTTTAAATCCTTTATATTAAGTTCGCTTGCTTGCTTGCGCGCTTACGACCGTGCAAATCTTTCGATCGTTTTTTATTTAAATCCTTTATATTAAGTTCGCTTGCTTGCTTGCGCGCTTACGACCGTGCAAATCTTTCGGTCGTTTTTTAACCCACTTCCCGTGATCCAATCGAGCTGACATTTTCCACACAGACTCGTTGTGCATGACAATTAATTTTCGTTTTAAAAAATGTGCAAAATTTTACACTTTTTAGGATTTTTTTTTATATTTAATTACCTAATGCTGCCAGGCAATCATCTGACCCATAGGTGGCAGCCATCTCAAGCCAGAGGACGAGAGGACTCTAGCCGCCATGCATATAAAGGATTTTAAAAACTTTGTTTTTTAAATCCTTTATATTAAGTTCACTTGCTTGCTTGTTTGTGTAATAAACCTTCTTGAGACGGCTTCCGGAATCAGTCCTTTTTATTTTCAACTTCCACAGTTACACTTTACACACACACTCTCCGTTGCTGGCAGACAACGGAGAGAGGGCAGACTTCCCGCCAAGTCCCCACCGCGCACGTGGCACCTAGAGCCCCCGTACGCGCGTGACTCCTGCTCTTCTCGTTCCCACGTCTGCTCACGACCGCTCTCTCTCTCTTAATTCCTTCGTCACGTGGTACCCCCCAGCCAATCCTTCATAGACAGCGTTGACGGTTCCCGATGGTTCCCTGTCAATCCCGGGACCACGCCTCTGATCCGGCTCCCCATTAGCTGAGGCCCCGATTGGCCAGGCCAATCACCCCTGCTAACATGCCATGATCACGCCGAGGCCATGCTCCCTGGCTCATCCCTTATTGGCTACAAAGCAGGACCGGCAAGCCAATCCTCACGTGAACCCTCTATGGCTGTTATTACACTTGTGCACTTACGACCGTGCAAATCTTTCGGTCGTTTTTTAACCCACTTCCCGTGATCCAATCGAGCTGACATTTTCCACACAGACTCGTTGTGCGTGACAATTAATTTTCGTGAAAAAATTTTAGCAAAATATTACACTTTTTAGGAATTTTTTTTTATATTTAATTACCAATTGCTTAATGCTGCCAGGCAATCATCTGACCCATAGGTGGCAGCCATCTCAAGCCAGAGGACGAGAGGACTCTAGCCGCCACACATATAAAGGATTTATAGTGAAAAACATTGTTTTTACGGGTTAATTTTTTCACATTGTGGTGAATGCACCTCCGATTAGGTGACACTGCCTGTGGTGAGGCAATGTCTGCTGTGCATGGTAGGGTGCCGTGGTGGCGAGACGTTAACGTCCTTGCCTGGTATGCAGGAGGTCGTGGGTTCGATCCCGACCTTGACGCCTGTGTGTTTTGCATGTCTCTCTCCCTGTGGTCACGTTGATTTTTATCTGAGTCTGTCCGGTTTTTCCCTCCACATTTAGAAGCATTAGTTTAGGATATTTGGCTGCTATAAAATTACACATGATTAGCCACTTCGTAGAGCTATAATGTGTGGCCAGGTCGCGTCTGATAAAGAGCTACATAAATCAGTAGGCCTTACCTGGTAAAATAAAAAAATAGCTTAGTTTGCTTGCATTTGCTTTATTCACAATATTGGATCAATTGCATGAGGTGTCCATGGTAACACATGGACACTTCATGCATCCGTTGTGCGAGAACTCATGTTAAGTAAACCCTGTGCTCACTGATGAATCTGTTTCAGCCCAGCAAATAAATTCCTCGGAAGTGGAGAGACCAGAATCGGAAGTAGATACAAGAAGGTCAGATTCGTGGAATACACCGATGACAGCTTCAAAAATCCGAAAGTGCGTACGGCTGAGGAAGAGCACCTGGCCGCACTAGGTAAAGTTATCCTCTGGGTAAATAAGCACAACACTGGAATATGTATAAACGTGAAGACACCCACAAGCCTCTTAACCCAGTATCATCATTTATTTTAATTGAAAAGCAATAGGCACCAAAGCAAGCTAACCTCATCCCAAATGTCGACCTCAGCATTGTAACGTCCCATGATCACATCCTCACTTAGACCCATACAGCATTCACTTGCATCCGTAAAGTCACTCAATCATTCGCCATCTGACTACACGACCAAACACATTTACGATCAGAAATACTTGGCTGGTGAAACCGCGTTCCGAAAACCTCCTAAATGGCATTCATTACATACAGCAATGCATTTCACACAGCATCGCCACCTCAGCCAGGGCGATCATTCTTCTCTGATCCTCGCTGTACATGTAAGAGACTCGATATGTCTGTCAGTCACTTGCTTGAGTCACTTTCATCGTACAGCACGGCCCGTTAGTGGCAGTGCGAAAGTGCGAAACACCAAGCACAATATATATTGTTGCCACATGGCAAGATGTTCACTACCTCGCCTGATATGCAGGTGGTCGTGGGTTAGATCCTAACCCTGACACCTGCATATTTGGAGTTGCACGTTCTCCCCATGGTCGCGTTATTCAACTCCACTTTTGGAATCAACATCACACGTTTAGAGTATTTCGCTGCTATATATTTCCACACGATCAGCCACTTTGTTGAGCTATCATTTGTGATGTCCAGGTCGCTTCTGAAAAAGAGCTACATAGCTCAGTGGGCCTTACCTAGTAACATAAAGAGAGCTCTTGCACATCATCAAGCTACCCATTCCCTTTCGAACATGTTCCGGACATGCTCGTGAAGAGCTAGTTTCGCGGATAATTATATTGGCCTATGTAAAACGAATGAACGTAAATAAGTACTTAAATTAGCTATTAAATACATGAAAATTATAATAATATATCTCGTCACTTTATATCATGACTTTATCTCTCATCACTTATCTTATCACTTTCTTTCTCTCTCTCCCTCGAAGCAGTAATCGTGTAGAGTTCCAGATGCAATTCGCAGACAGCCACAGTCGCGGATAGTAAGTTCGTGGATAACGAGGGAATACCGTCATCATTTCCTGTAACACTTTCGCATTACTCATATAAGGAAGGTGTCAGCTGGACCATCGTCAGATCCTCTGAACGGTTGATTGTAAAACGTATCAAGGTGAATGGAGAGGAGTTATAATATTATAAGAACGTTATGGTAACGTCCCGTGCCTCGTCGTCGAGCTGTGCGCAGGCCCGCTGCTGAAGGGGCAGGTCGGGGAGCTCTTGGTGGTGGTGCTGTGGAACACGGCTTCTCGTCCCTACTCCATCCACTCACACGGAGTCATCAGCGACGTTCCCGGGGGCCTCCCACTCAAGCCAGGTCACTACCCTTTCCGTATGCATGTGTACGTACGTGACGCAGTTGAGCAAACTAGACAACACGAGGTTACTCAATGAGGAGTTTTAGCAGCAAATAGCTTTCCTATGAGTACATCCTTTTTTTTGCGGGTGCTTTCCTGACACGTGTAAGCGCTCATTTATTAGCCGATAACACCTTGATATATCGAGGACCACAGAGCTTTGGCAAATGCTTGCATCAGCTCATCGCGTGGCTGCCTTCCTGCTCACCTGTGGTTCCTTGCGCCTCTAAGTCATTCTCTCTCTGTGAGATTGAGCGAAGACTGTGCGCGTTTGAAGTTGAAATGATATCGTCACATGTGACTATATGCAATGAAAGTCAACCTGGAAGAGTCAGGTATAATTGTATTGATAAACCTGATGGATCGCCTCTTCTTATAAGCTGTAACAGCTAATATTTTACAAGATGTTTTTTTTTGCCATCATTGAGATAGATCTATATATATTTTTAATCATTAATAATATAATAGTGTTTTTCATATGTACACATTTTATTTTAATTATGCTAGCGGCACCGTGTCATGAAACCATTCTGTACTGTCACAGGGCAGTGCGGCACCCCTCTTTTTATCCAACAAAGGCCCACGGAAGGAGCTATGACATAATCACTCCTGAGGTCCCTTCACGTGACCTCGTACTCACACTCGGGATGGCACCCTTTCCCACATGTCCTGCTGTGGAGATTTTCTGTCACGTGGAAGTCAAACATTTGTATTTGATTTTAGGGACTGGTATTTTGCAAATGAAGTAAAAACGAAATGTAACATGGCATTTGTTGTTGTCGTCATTGGTGCCCAGGCTGAGATCATAAACTCGCTGCCTCGACAATCTGGTTAAATCACAGGCGGCTACTGGAATTCGCACCGAGGATCTCTTCTTCCTCTTCTCCTTCTCTTCCTCCTCCTGCTTCCTCTTCTTCTTTCGTGCGGATGATGTAGATGCAGAGCAATAACTCACAATGTCACATTCAGGCGGTCAATCCAAGACAACCGCATCAGGAGCAGTGGCTCAGTGCCATCTTGATCCATGAGCCACCCTGCCACCTCGGGGAAGGGGAAATCTTTTGCGTTTTGATTGACTGACTTTCCGTGGGAAATGTTCTGCGATGTATGCCAAGTCTCAAACACGTACTGGAAGAGAAGAGCGGCGTTGAGTCGACTCTGTTTGTGCAGGCGCATCCCCCTGTGGCGATATGCTTTGGTGGGATTGCGCTGCTCAGTGGGAGCGTTCTGTAAACCGAATCGCGAACTCCTACAAAAAGGCTACGTGGGAAATTTCCATCATCTCAGTTTCCACCCTGGTGCATTCTGCCCCGACTCGTGCATTACAGCCTCAAACTCATTTTACCGAGTTGCAACCGACTCCTTCCTTGTGTTAAAATGGAGCCTCGATTTACGTTGTGCTGTGGTTACCTTCGGATTCGTCAACTTGTTGCTTTCCAATGTAAATTTGGATACCGTCTTCCCTCAAGAGTATGAAATGCAGCCGAAAATACCCTTCTCATCTCCCTGCTCCTAACTCTTACTCCGCTTCACTTTCCACATGTGTTTAGGTCATTGAAATATAATTGCAGTATATTTATACAATTTTTTTTTAAATCCAACATGTAATTCTAAGAGACATAGCATTGTGCAACATAACCTATGACGTTTTAAACATGGAAACTGTGGTCTTGTTGCCTGCGTACTATATATTGCCGTGCTTCTGCGAAACGCTGTGAGGTACTGTAATGGGTAAATAAATTAATGGACTGTTGCCGCCCTTATCTACCCAATGCAGGAGCAAGGAAAGCGTACAGGTGGCAAATCCCAGAGCGCTCCGGCCCTTCACAAGCTGACACAAACTGCATCACCTGGATATACTATTCTGCGGTGGACTTCGTCAGGGTGAGCGCTATACATCAGGAGGTCACATCATGTGACCACATTTATTATATATTTTCACCACTCCGGATTGTACGTTTAGAATCTCTCTTTTAAAGTGCGCAGGGGTGGAGTGGTGGCGTGGTGGTCAGGAATCAAACTTAGGTCGACGGTTGCGTAGTGCAACACGCGAACCGCAATGCCGTCACTCCACCCCATAGAAAGACATCGACCAAATTAGCCCTGGAGACTGAAAAGCAATCTAGAATGTCATTGTCCATAACCACGTGACTGCTTGTGTGTGTCTGTTTGTGTATGTCGCCGGGTGGTGGTGTCACACGCCTGTAGTCCAGCACTGTGGAGGCTAGGATTGGGCGATTGCAAAAATCTTGTCGAACACCTTTGCTGTGGGCCTCGAGGTGCCAATTTCTTATCAAGAGCGGGTGAATACTGTGCGGCATGTTACAAATTTAACAATGAGTGAAACAGTTTGTTTGGATGTATGTATGTATGTATGCAGGACCCCAACTCGGGGCTGGTGGGGCCACTGGTGGTGTGCCGCTCTGGGCTGCTTGACGACTCGGGCCGCCGTGACGATGTGGCCCACGAGTTTGCTCTCCTCTTTATGGTCTACAATGAGAACCTGTCCTGGTACCTGCGGGACAACATCGACAATTTCACGGGGAATCCCGGCGCTGTCGACGTTACCGACGAGGACTTTCGTGAGAGCAATCTCATGCACAGTAAGGAGGCGGCACTGTCGCATATAAAACAAGAGAAATAACATGGCACCCAACATTTATAACAAGTAGAATTGCAAGGGTCTGTAAAGATAAAAAGAGCAAATAGGACTGTGTAATGTGGACTTTTTTTGTATTAATTATCCATTAAACCCAAACATTATTAAATATCCGCTTGAGACCTCAGAGATCAAAAGTAACAATGGGAAATAAATAACGTAATTAAAGGAAATCCTGGTGCTAACGTGGCATGGCAATTGACTCACAAAAATCCCATCTCGTCAAAATCTCGGGGAGCTCTTCTCAAATACCTTCTCAGGTTTACAATAAATAAAGGAGCTCGTCGTTGGAAAGTAAACAGTCATTGTCGTATGGAGTGTTCTCCGCTGTAGGAATGTCGCATTTTACTGCACACTCAGGGCCAACCTTGCTCAGACAATTGTTTGCACTTGGAAATTCAGTATAAAGTTGAAATGAGACAGTAATTTCGAGGGATTTTTAGTGAGATTCCTGAAACAATCAAGAGACAGTGCCAGAGTTCGTGAAACAATTGTGGATCCAAATTTATGCAGAGGGGGTTCTTTCCCAATTTGTCCAGAAATTATTTATACAGAAACTTTACAGGTAAATCAATAATAAGGCTTTGTCCTCAATTCTCTGTTGCATTTGTTCAGTTTTGTTCACTCCACGAATAAAAAAAAAAGAAACTCTCCGGGAATTTCAGAGTGGTAAGGCGAACATAAAATCAGAGATGAATAACTAAGATGATAAATCTCGACTTAAAGCTTTCGTGACAGCAGGAATTCATGTTCTTGGGGTCTTTCGGTAAAGTCACTTAGATATGTTCAAAGAAATAACAAACAATAACAAATAAAATAATAAAAAACCATGACGTTTCGATCACAACACAATTGATCGGCATCAGGAGGAAAAAAAGAGGGGGTTAAAATGGGTGTAGCCCAAGGGTCATAAACGAAGTGGGTGGGGCTAGTGATGTTCATGTGAGAAATTAGCATGTTAATGTAAGATCGGAGAGCGTTCTCCACGACGAAAGGTGTGGAGGTGGCTATGTTAATGTGAGAGATTAGCATGTTAATGGTAAATCGCAAAGCAGCAACGTCGAGCTCGGCGAGCGAGGTGGCTATGTTAGTGTGAGAAATTTTACCTGTTAATGTAAAATCAGAGAGCCGAAAATAACAACTAACTAGATGACACGTTCGTCATCAGGCCACATGGTCGACCAGCTCTGAACCAGTTCCTCAACCACATCAATTCCATACACCCAGCCATTCAATTCACCATGGAGGTGGAAAAGGATGGCAAGTTACCATTCTTGGATGTTTTAATCGAAAGGAGACCAGATGACTCAATGGGACACTTTCTACAGGAAAGCCACCCATACGGATGCATATCTAAAACCTGACTCCCACCATCATCCTTCCCAGAAGAATTCCCTCATAAAAACTCTACACCATAGAGCTCGATGTATTTCCGACCATCATCACCTAGCCAGTGAACTGAAACACGTACACCAAGCTCTCAATATGCATGGATATTCAGAATACACAATCCGTAAAGCTATCACCCCAACCGTTGAGAAAGAACCATCTGAGGACCCAATCAAAACCATCACCTTGCCATACATAGCAGGGGTCACCAAAAATATCTCCAAAATCATGAGCAAACACAAGATCCAGGTTCGATTTAACACAGTCCATTAAATTCATGATCTGATCCCATCTGTGAAGGATGTGATCCCTGACATGCAATACCCCGGCGTCTACAAACGAAGCTGTATTTGCGGCAGCAGTTACATTGGGGAAACTAAGCGACATGTCTCGGACTGTGTTCGTGAACACAAGGCAGGTCTGAAACACGGTAGGACCAATACCTCGGCCGTGGCTGATCATTGTTTTAACGCTGTGGGCACACATGAAATTGATTTCTCGAAGACGAAAGTACTTTGCAAACCCACTGGCTATCAACAAAAAATAGTTCATGAAGCCATCCACATATACAGACACAACTTCAAACGAGAAGAAGGGTATAAACTGAGCAATCATTGGAAGGACGTTATCAGCCAGTTTGAGTCATAACTGGCTGTGATGTTCCCATCCTACCACCTTCCGATGTTAGTTGTTATTTTCGGCTCTCTGATTTTACATTAACAGGTTAAAATTACCACACTATCACAGCCACCTCGCTCACCGAGCTCGATGTTGTTGCTCTGCGATCTTTCATTAACATGCTAATTTCTCACATTAACATCACTAGCCCCGCCCACTAGTTTATGACCCTTGGGCGACACCCATTTTATACCTTTAAAACACGTTCCTTCGGAGTGGGCAGGTAGGAACTTGGTTGGACAGCGCATTCGTGCATGACAGACAGATAAATAATCCCTGGTGGGCAGTGTGGAACCTGCTGTTCCTACCTGTATGTATAAAAGTTAACTTGACTTTAGGTAGCCAGGCAGACAGCCCCGTTAACTATCGCCCCCCCCTCCCTTAGGCCCCTCCCCCCTTAGGCCCCTCCCCTGACCCCCTTTCCCATAGGCCCCTCCCCTGACCACCCCCCACCATATTCTCAGGCCCCTCCCCTGACCCCCATTCCCTTAGGCCCCTCCCCTGACCCCCCTTCTGTTAGGCCCCTCCCCTGAGCACCCCCCCCATATCCTTAGGCCCCTCCCCTGACCCCCCCTCCCTCAGGCCCCTCCGCTGACCCCCCCCTCAGGCCCCTCCCCTGAACCCCCCTCAGGCCCCTCCCCTGAACCCCCCCCCCTCAGGTCCCTCTCCTGACTCCCCCCTTCCTTAGGCCCCTCCCCTGACCCTCCTCCCTTAGGCACCTCCCCTCTCCGTACCCGGCAGTAAGTCTCCACCAATCAAAGAGCTGTTTGTAAGGTCTCCACCAATCAAAGAGCTGTGTGTATTATATATTTATTTATGCACGACAGACAGACAGTCAGACAGACAGACAGCTAAATAATCCCTGGTGGGCAGTGTGGAACATTGTTCCTCCCTGTAACATTCTGCCTCAGCAGCTTTCCCCCTCGTTTTTCCTCCTGATAACGATCGCTTGTGTTGTGATCGAAACGTCGTAGTTTTTTTGCTATTTTTGTTATTGTTTTGAACCTATCCACGTGACTTTAATGAAAGACCCAAATAATATCAAAACTAAGATAATGTTGGCGGTACACCGGTGGCCAGCAGTATGTATATTAAAAAAATGCAGTAATTATTATTTATTTGCCCGCGATTCGCAACCCCAGCCAGAAAATCTTGCGGGGTGCATTAAACTCAGTTCTCGTCATGTTGAAGCAGTCAGTAGACGAATGTTATGAGCACCCAACCTGATGATTGGCTCCGTGTTCCAAAGATAGATTTGACTTCGTGCCCTAAACTTGATCGGACGGTTCCTAAATTCATTTCCGGAATAATTTCTTGGTGGACGGTGGCATCAAATATTATGACTGGTGGTGTCACCACACGTTCGAATGCAAAGCAGCTGCTGAATCAAAGGCAATTACTGATGGAGCATCTCCAGCTCACTCAAGCCAACAAGCACCAACGTCAGACTGTTTTATGAGGACCGGTGTGTTATGCTGCACCGGTGTACCACCAATATGTCCATATCAATCCTGGTTTTTGTTAGTATTATTATAGGATACTAACTCAGCCACAATGGATAGGTGCTCCAGATTCGAATGCAACATTATTTTTCGAGTGTTGCAACCTATGTTATACAAAGCAATGCAAACAATATGTTGCTTGCGACATTATTCGCAAGCAACATTTCACTGTTGAACCTTGGCTTCAGAGAAAGTCGAATAAATGACGTGGGATCTGACGCTGCCTTAAAACGTTGTTTTACACAAGTTGAACGCATTCTCTTGTGGGGAATGGCGGCAGCCATTGTGGTGCTGATGTGATTGAGAAAAAAAGACCTCAAAACTTAAAGGAATTCAATTTATCAACGCCTTCAACAAGAACTATGTTTACGGTTTACCTCTGCAATTTTTTTACGCACTTGTATGACTTACATTTTATTTTATACACAGACCAATGTGATTCCAGTAACGTGTGTGTAAATAATACGAAGTTACTTGCTATCGTTTTAGGCATCAACGGCATGACTTTCGGTAATCTGAATGGGCTCAACATGGGGCTCAAGGAACGCGTGGACTGGTACTTGATGGGTCTGGGCGGAGAACTCGACATGCACACCATTCACTTCCATGGCCAGACATTCAGATACAAGGTTGGTTGGCGGTGGGCTTCTGTTTTATAATACAGCACTGTGTTAATATCAGTTCTCCTATCTTCACACATATATACATCTGAATGGGCTCAAGGCTCCAGTAAATCACGTGCATGTTTTTGTGGACACTCCCACTCTGAATCCCTCCCCTTTCCCCGCCTCCTGTGAAAACAAACTCTGCTCTGGTTTCTTCTTCCATCTCTATCCCTCTCTTCTCTGCCCTCTCGCCACCAACCTCCCCCCTTATTTCTCTTCTCCCCTTCCTGCACGGCGCTCCTTCTTTCTTCCTGCTCATCTTGAGCCTTGCCATTTGTGTCTGTCTTGGGACTTCTATCCCGGCATCCATTGCCTTTCCCAGTCAGCTTGCCCTGTCTGCCCTTTTGCACAACTTTCCTTCCAGGAACAATAACAAAAGCCATCCTCAACTCTGCCTGGTTATGTCTATCTTGCCTCCCCTTACTACCAATTCTTTCTCTTCTCTCTTCCCTTTCCAATTCCGTTTTCTTCCTCCAATACATTACATGCTTGACTCCCCTTACCGTGGTGTGTAGCCACGGGCAAAACTTTTATTCAGATAATTTTAAAAACTGCAATCTACCAACACACACAAAGAAATCACACTGCACCAATACTCTAAATTAAAGTTTATTAATGGCCCAAATACACCCTACTTGGAGGGGGAATATTTTGCAGGAAGGGCGTAGCCTGACTCCCTACGAACCCAGTCACGCAAGTGTTCTACCACGTACGTCGTAGCTGTATGCACGGCGTCGCACGGACGCTGCGAGAGTCGGAGAGAGAAGGACAAGCGGAAAAACTTCACCTATCACTGCCTCGTAGCAGCACTCGCTGGCATCACACAGATGCTGCGAGCGGCTCAAGGAGGCAGGACGGCAGGGAGTGGGCCTTGTCGGCCCGGAGGTTGGAGACAACTGACCTCATCGTCCCGGGGCTCCCACCTTTATTCTATAAACTTCAAAGGCCCAGGGGAACGTCGCGCCGCACAGCCAATCATGCGCCTACCTTTCGACTTTAAACTGGTGCTCCGCCCCTTACCTGGAGCGCTATTTTCCAATACGCCTCGACCTATTGTCTACCTGCCCGCTCTCGATCCCGCGGAATACACCTCCGCGGGGGGTCCAGGGCTTTCCCTCCCCCCTCCCCGTCTGTGCCACCCACAGGCAATTTCCCCCCTGGCTCCCCCCCCCCCCCCCCCCCCCGTGCTGTGAGCGTTCTCATTGAGGTTAGCCCGGTGAGTTTCTGTGCGCCCAAACAATATTAAGCCAATTTAGGGGCACCGCAATGTAACCTGTCCTGTGAGGGTCGGCCAATCTCCTGGCACCGGGAAACCCTGGGACTCTCCCTCGAGGGGCCCTTCGGATTAAAACCCGATGTGCCAGGCAACCCCCCCCCCCCCCCCCCACTGTCAGGACACTACGTGGGTGCGCTGCGTGCGGGTGTGTGTTTAGTGCAGGGACTGGGAGGGGATCGCGGCGTTTGCGGAGTTGCTCCGCAGTCGTGGCACCACAGGTGTGATGTAATTATCTTCATTGCCTGGTATGCAGGAGGTCTCAAGTTCGATCCCGAGCCTGAAGCATATATATTTGTAGTTTGCATGTTGTCCCCGTAGTCGCGTGGATTTTTTCTCCGGTTTTCCCCTCCACGTTTAGCAACATGCATTGAGATTATTTAGATTATGTTGCTGCTATGATTGTCCAAATAATAAGCGACTTTGTTGAGCTATCATTTGTGGCCAGGTCGGATTCTGAAAAATAAGTTAAATGCCTCGGTGGGCTTTGTCTGGTAGGGTGGGGATGGTTTAGTTTTATTTGTTTGTGTTTGGGTGATTTGTTTACCTTTCTTGTACTTTGCACTCGTATCGTGTTTTTTGTACTGTTTGTTGTTGTGACGTTCTTACCCGCACCTAATCTGTGTAAAAGAGCTTTATATCTCATCGTATTCCTCCAGTATACGGTAAATATTTTTATTCTGGTATACTCTCCATTATGTTTGAAAAATTACCATTTGTGCATCACATACTCAAAACATAAATACCTGTGTAATTAAAGTCGTACTCGTGTGTGTGTGCAGGTGGCAGGTGGTAGGTAAGGATGATGTCTCTGACGTGTACGACGTGTTTGTGGAGAGTGGTAGTGTAGCGATTAGCACGCTGCACTACAAACCCGGCGAGCCGAGTTCACGGCCACCACCAGTGACGATTGTCTGAAACGGTCTTGGGCCTCCCCTAGGTCGATTCAGCCTCAAATGAGTACTTGGTGCGTAAACATTACCACTGTGGAGACAAAGGCGGCCGGGCGTGGTGCTGGCATCCCACCCCCTCATGTGCCGTGTCCCCCTTCATAGATGTTCGCTAATAGCACTTGCCCCAACAGTATGTTAAGGCTATACGGGGGATCTTTGTCTTTGTTTGCAGGTGGCAGGTAAGGACACGGTGTCTGACGTGTACGACGTGTTTGCGGGGACCTTCGTCACAGTGGAGATGACGACGGACAACCCTGGCACGTGGCTTCTGCACTGCCACGTTCATGACCACATCGAGGCTGGCATGGTGGCATTTTTCCAGATCAAGACCAAACCCTTAGGTCTGGAGCCCCGTGCGATGTTCGCGTCAAACTGATTTGCCAACGAAATAGATGTCGTGGCTGTTTTAAAATTGGCGATCATCGATTGGTCGTCTCGTGGTGATGCAAGTTGGGAAATAGTGATATAAAAAAAAATAAGCCGAATACTGCAAAGCAACAATGTAACTTGTGTCAAAATCATAAACTTATTTCAGTTGATACATAATTATAATAACGTGTTTTTACAAAGTGAGAAATACTCTTTGGTTCTTTCGGTAAAGTCACATAGGTATAAAATTAAATAAATCACGATGTTTCGGGCGCAACACAAGCGTCCGTCATCAGGTTTGAAAACATGGTCTGCTGCTAATGCAGACTGTTTTAAAATGACGGACCGTTGTGTTGCCCCCGAAACGTCGTGATTCATTTTATTTTATACCTACACGACTTTACCAAAAGAACCAAAGAGTATGGATTCCTGCAATCACGAAAGCTTCAAATCAAAAGTGAGAGATGTTCATATTCATGCATTCATGGCTTGAATATAAATGCATTTGTGTGATTCACAATGTGAGTATAACGAGTCTTCTGATATCAACGTCCGGATTGCTATTTGTGCTGAAATTTTGATTCCCCCCTCCTTGTGGCACTACGCTCGTGCCTATGGAAAATATCAGCAGGAGCATGCCCCATGATTCATCCCAAAAGCAATCTACCAAGTACTGAATATATAAACCTATTCCACAGTGGACCATTCTACATGACAGAATGGTTCACTGCGGGTGACGGCGATGCTGGCAACAGCTTGTGCGGGCTGTGTTTCCACACACATCAATTTGACATTCAGTGGCGTAGCTATCACGTGTGCCAGGGGGTGCAACTGCACCAGAAAACCACAGGCCAGAAGGGCCCCGGGGCCTGGGGATGGAGAAGGCATTTAATCGATTGCTTACATCAAGGGAACCTTGCCAATCAACGTGACGCTACTTTCAGAATCTATCACGTGGGTGAGTTGCTGGAGAGAGTGTGTGCGTCGGAAGGTTGTGACGAGGATTGTACGCAATTATTGGTGTTATGTGGTTATTTGACCCCCTTGCAAAGTGGCGGAATTCCACGAGAAAATCCCTGCGTATGTTCTGCCCTTTGGACTGCCACAATCAAAGAGTAATTACTGCTTTGTGCATGTTGCGTAGAAGTGCCACAGTATATGGAGTGTTAGCACGCAGCTGTGCAACCCACAGCCACGTGCATAAATAATGCATGTAAATATATAAAATGCAAATGAATACATTTTACGCATACATATTGTGTATGTATATGTTATACATATATGTTTACATGCTGTGTATATATATACTGTATGCACGCAAAACTAGGATTGCCGAATTTTCCTTTTTCTCAATAATGGACGAACTAGCGTTGAATGTGGGGTCAGGTGGACTGGCCAGAGGAAAAACATACAAAGACACATTTTCACAAGAATGGTAAATCTAGATTTGAAGAGTAAGGATGGGAAATTTTGCAGCAAAAAAACGAATGCAATAAGAATTACAGCAAACCAACTGACAACATAATTTTTGAGTGTTTTACATGTGAATATATGCACGTGCATTTACATGTGTGTATGTGGTATATATGTGTGTGTATATATAAAGCATGTTTGTGCTGTGTATACACCTTGATTGTACACAGCAGACAAGCCAGGGATGGGAAGACCCCATCTCTGGCCGGGTTCATTTTGAATGCCACATTGGCAGGTTATTTCCCATCCAGGGTGAGGCTAAGGCAATTTGTGGCATTGCACTGCAGCTGTGATTTGAACTCTGTGCGGTAATATTTATTTAGTTTTATACCGCGTAGTTCATGCAGTAACATCTCACAATTAGGACAAGCTGGACGACAGCCAAGCTCTGCAGTCTTCTGCATATTAAGTTACTTTTTCAGAAATTGAATCAGTATTACTCGTGTGGGAGGAAATCGGAGCACTTGAAGAAAACGCACGTGTGCGAGGGGGAAATACTATATCCCATAGAGAAAGGACATGATATTACTCCATACTTTGCTGTGTCACTTTCGCCTGCCGAGTGAGGGTATGGCTCCTCCTTGATGCCCACGGTAAGGGACCTTCACATAATTTGTGCGAATAGCTCTTGATGCATCACCACGCCAAATTTCCCACCACTGGGAGAGTAGCAATGCTGCCAGTCAGCTTTGTGGTTAGAGTGGATATTTGATTAAGAGAGATGGGGTGGTATCCATGATTAAATTTGAACATTTAAATGTCTACTGTGGGCAGAGATTTCAGAACATCAACGTGTACAATGTTTTGGGATGTTAATTATGGATTATAATTGTGATACTGTACATTCACCACGGACATCCTGAGCGATTTATAAAGTCTAATATGTGTTTTACATTAAGAACGAATGAATCAAATTGACCGTCATTTATTGTGTTTCAGTAACCGCGAACCCTACGGAGAAGACCGCAATTGGACAACACTCCTCTGCCTCTTCTCACACCGGCTTATATTCCCTTGCGTTGAGCCAACTGTGCGTCAAACTCCTGGTGGCCTGTCACCTGCTACACATTTACGTCCACGAGACATCGTAGGTTTTCAAAGCAAATTTGGAAATATTCCTATCAGAGATAAATATCAACATTTTCTCCCAGACAAATCTGAACAAACCGATGACATTTCATAATGCTAGATAAGGCTCAATGTTTCCGTCCCAAGTGCAATTGTGTTGTACTATGTGCTGTAATCGCATAGTTATTATAAGGTGCATAATGTAATGTATGAAAACGGCGGAACGCATCTGAGATGGTGTACACTGAGGAGATAAAGCAGCGGCAAACGGCTCGTGTGCAGGTGATGGGTGCATTATCACATCGCGGAATCGTGAGAGATGGGGGCTCGGTGAAACATTCGTCCAACAATCGGTTGGAATTGGCTGTTGATGGTGATAACTGTCACAGGAAGGATGAGATAAAGTAGCCTATTGTGGTGCTGCTATGTGTAGCGTATGAGACTCGAATCAGTAAATGTGCCTTCGCGGTGTTATTGCTTTGGTCTTGGAGGTTTGTGTGCATCTAACGTAGACTACCTGCGAATTGTATTTTGTGCAAGAGAGTGAATTTCACGTGCTTGTGAAGGAACGTAAACGTATACTCGGTCTTCTAAGCGGGGAGAGGCGTGTGCGTTTTAACGGAGTACTGAAGGTGCGCCCTGAATTTGCGTTCACGTTTTTGTATTTGCAGACATTGTGAATGTGTAAAGCAAAGTGCTGCTCTTCTTGTCTCACAATGGAGCCTCTTGTGCAAAATGAAAATATTAAAAATCTGACAATAAAAAAATGTTTTGTTCATTATAGATTTGAAGTTTTCGTGACTGCAAGGATCCATACTCTGTTTTTTTCGGTAAAGTCACGCGTCGGCCAGGCACTGCACACGTGCACAAGCTCCCCTCCCCTGACATCACAAAATAATACAGATGGTTATCTATCGGCTTAACTCATGCTAATCCCGTGCACGACCGTCCACACTGCTTGCCACAGCCTCCTCCCGACCCCTTGACTCCTTCCCCCCCAACACCCTATATAAACACGTTGTCTCGTAATAACTCTCTTCAGACGCCTCAGTAATTTTGCTGGAGCAGTCAACACCTGATGACGGTTGCTTGTGTTGCTTCAGAAACGTCGTGATTTAATTTATTTGTTTTCATTTTTAATTTATTTTATATTTTTTACCGATGTGACTTTACCGAAAAAACCAAAGAGTATGTTTTGTTCATATTTTGTTTTATAAACACACCGAATGTCGTAGAATGGCTTTTTGTTTATTTACGTTTTCAGAGATAATCATAAAGGCATTTACGGAAATATGCATTTACGAGCAGAAGATAACTTGAAAACGACACGTACTGAAGCTGTAATAAACCCCAGCTTGAAGCCGCTGTTTTGACATATCCTATGTCCTCGTATTGTCATCCAATATCAATTCAATGTGTTTCCCTGTCTTGATTTATATGTCCTACGTCCTCCCACTTCTAGCTGCTGTTTGTCCACCCAACTCCTGGCCCCTGTTGCCATCCGACCTGGTCGGTCTTTGCCTCGCAACGTCCCACTGTGCCTGTCAACCCAACCACATGCTGATGACCCCACTTGTTGATCTTGGTCTCTACGGTCAATGCCGGTGTGTGCAAAGGTGGCTCCACGCCTACAAAGGTGGCAGGGGTCGTACTTTGTCAGTCTCCCCTCCATCTACCAGCGCCCACTTGCCCGCCTTCCTCCACCCAGACCATCGTTCGCACTACCTATAATTCGTCTCAGCCTCCTGAACTGCTGCTCCATCGCCAAAAAATATTTCCTCATCAACAACACCATCTCTGACCATCATATTGACACATTCTTCTCATTTTCACCAGGTCTGAATTTCCACTAGCCATCACAAGGTCCTTCACGCTCCCTGTGCAACTGAGTACATTGGGCAGTGGACGAAACATTAATCACAATGCCAATTTCACCATTAAACATCTCCAACTCTCAAGAGAGCCTTCAAACCATGGGTGGCAAGGCGAGGTTTAAAACAATTAAGTTTGATAAGTTTAAAATAAAAACTCCGATATCCTGAAGGGCCAGTTAGGGTGAGCTTTTGAGATTTATCATAAAAAGATGCCATTTTGGTTTTTGCAGGGAGCCTGACTGAAGTAACAGACTGCGGAAGGCCGGAGCCCGGAAATCAGAAATCTTGGCATTACCTGAGATACTAGTGTCATCAAACGAACCCATTTTCTACCACGAGCAAGATCATGGATCAGGATCTGGATGAGGATTTATTCGATTCCGAAGAATGTGATAGTGATGTCGTAATTGTGATGGAGAAGAATGGAGTGGCCAACACGGAGAAAGATAGAGTGGTCGGTGAGGCATTGGCGAACGCAGGGAAGGCCAGAGGACGCTCGATGGGCCAGTTTTGGCACTACCTCACCGATGATCCGGAACCGCACAAGTTGAAGAGTACCGTCTGCAAACATTGTCGCACCAGATTCAACCATCACAAGAAGAGTGAGCAGGCGATGAGGCACCTGAATGCATGTGCCGCTTTTCGGAGGGCAATGAATGGCACCGAGATAGATGATCGTCCCGAGTGGTATGCGTCGAACAAGAAGCGGGCGAAGCCATCGAAGGCAAGCGGCAGCTCAACTCCATCTACATTGAATGCTTTATCGATGAAGCAAGGATCGATCAAAGATCACCTAATATTCAAGCTCGACTAGCGAATGAAGGAGAAGTTCGAGCAGGCCATAGCAATGCATTACTTTGTCTCGGGCACATCGTTCCAGCGGGTTGAGGAGAAGAACCTGGTGATCGCTGTGAAGACCCTTCGCCCAGATGCAGTGCTGCGAACAGGAAGAGGCTGGCCAGACCATTGCTCGACAGGGCGTACATCGACATGAAGAAGAAGGTTGACACCGTCCTGGATAATAAGACCGTTTGCCTGACATCTGATGCGTGGTCAAACATCAAGAATGATCCGATTGTGAACTACATGGTCACATCGCCGTCCACGACGTTGTTTCTCGAGTCGGTGTCTACTGGAGAGCAGGGCCACAATGCTGGCTGGATCGCCTCGGATCTTCAGCGTGTGATGGTGTTCCTTCCGAAGACTACATTCACTGGCGCGGTCAGCAACAACACATCCACCAACAAGAATGCGTGGGAACAGCTCTCGAAGGCTCACCCATACTATTTCAAAGGCTGTACGTCGCATGGTCTGCATTTGCTTGTCAAGGACATATTCTCTGCCACGAAGACGAGGAAAGCCGGCCAATCAGAACACAGATACCCGATCGACTATCTGTTTGAGTAGCTGCTTGAGTTCATCATGGGGTGCAAGGACACGGTCAAATTGTTTCACAACAGTCACGTTCTCAAAGCACAGCTGCAGGCTGAACAGAAGATCGCAGGCGTTCGAGTGTTGGTCCAGCCGGCTCCTACACGTTGGGGAACGATCAATGGCTGTTGCGAAACGCTTTTGTAGTCGGAGAGGATTCTGCATTCCATTGTCACAACTCGTGACTTCATCAAGGGGATGGCAGCTCAGAAATTCGAGCGCATGCCAATCAAGACCATCATTACGAGCGACGACTTCTTCTCTCTGTTGCATAAGTCCCTTGCCATTCTAATGCCCATTGACGCATTGATTGTCAAATATCAATCCGATTCCGTACCAGTCTCTGAAGTCTTGCCGGATTTTCACACCCTCCCTGCTGTGCTTGCAAAGCTGCACGAAGACGGTCATGCGAGCACTGAAGAGATCAACTACCTGATCAAGTTGGCAGAAAGTCGCTTTCAGTTCATGTATGTAAAGGCCCATGGACTGGCGTATCTGTTAGATCCTCGATTAATTGGAGAGGGCTTGAGCCTGGCTAATCGAGAAGAGCTGGAGAACATCTTACTGGAGACACCAATCTTCGATGGGACGACGGTTGATGACGAGAGGCGCTCTTTATGCAGCTCACCGAGTACGTCATTTCGGCGCAGCAGGAGAAGGATGCCGGCGGGTTTATATTCATTACGCTGCTCAAGGGACATAAGACACCTTTGCAGTATTGGCAGTCTGACGGTGTGGCATGGCCCGATTTTCAGAAGATCGGCGTCAAGCTGTTCACAATGGCGACATCCTCTGCAGCCTCGGAGCACAACTTCTCAACTATGGGCTTCATACAAAGCAAGCTCAGTAACAGCTTGGTGCCCAGTTCGGTGGAGAAGTTGGTCTACCTCAAGAGCAACTATGCGGCGTTCGCCGAATGCAGTTATATGTCCGAGGGCGACGACATGGACTCGTCGGAGGAGGACTGATGTAGAGGAGTACTGCGGGGACACAACGAGGGGCAACCGCGGGAAAGGGGCCAAGCAAAAAGGGGAGTGCCAGAAGTGCGAGAGAGGAGGGTAAGTAGAGAGAGCGAGACGTCTGCTAGTGGGGGAGCCAGGTAGAAGGAGGAGAGCCAGGTAAAAGGGCGGAGCCCGGGCTAAGAGGATAAAAGGGGAACCTGGACGGAAGGGGAGATGGGTCAGAGACAAAGGAGAGCCTGGGAGAGAGAGAGAGGAGCCTGGTAGCAAGTAGAAAGGCTCCTGGGCGGGAGAGGCAAAGGAGGCTACGTGTGGAAGAGTACAAGGTAGCCTAGATGAAGGTCGAGGGAGTCGGAAGAGAGGGCTAAGGGACAGGGAGTAGTGAGTACCCGCGATGGAACTAAGAGTGCGGATGTTGGCGTGAATAAACGGCAAGCAGCACTGAATATTCAACCCTGGTCTCCGTCTGAGTCTACAATCCCAAAGGGCAATACGAAGCACGACTCTACACCAGTACTGATCTGGGAGTATTGCGAATAAAACCATGAGGTTTATTAGGTTTATTAAGGTTTGAACTTTAAACCTCAAATTCGGATCTGAAAAAAAATGTTTTTTCCACCCCTTGCTTCAAACCTTGACGTCCAGTGAGTGTCTCTCACGAATAAAACTACCAGCGTTAACCCTCATCTGAATTCACCATCCTCCTGAGGGCAGCATCATTAGCTTCCTCAACGAACTTTCTGACCTACTTTATCTGCTTAACGTTTAAGCTCGTCTGCATTCTTTGTTATTTAAAACATAATATTTAACATAATTTTTGTTGCTGGCAGTGAAGCAACAATACATTTCAGAATATGGTAAATGCAATTCAAGTATATTAGTTTCAAAAATATGTCATTTGTTTTATGGTTAAGTCAGACTTTAATCAATAATGTTTAGCTAAAGAAGATGGTGGTGAATTTAATTGTGAATGGATGAAGGTAGACCCCAATGCAATGCTCATTGACACTTTAAGTGAAAGGGCGAATGCTTCACAGGCAAAGGCTATTGGTGAATGAAGGCATCCATACAACACGTGGAGTGCTTCCATGGCAATGTCACCATAGCCGTGATACATAAAAGCCACTGCAAGGCAGCAAATGGGGTATACGGGTTTTCAGTCAGTCGCTGTGCCTTACAGAACCCGACTGGGTTTTGCAGTAAGTCGTTCAGGAACGGAACGCATCTTGGCTTTGTTATCTACAGAGGCAGACATACGCATGTGAATAGCAAACCTCCTTCTGAAAATCGCTCAATACCAAAACGAGCCTTTGCCTTGAAGACTGCTGAACACGCCAAAATAGTAAGTTTTTGTTGATGTTGTTGTTTTTTTTTCATGCTCAATTATATTTTATTGGATTGATTTAGAGGGTTCGCTTAGCGATTGGATTATCAGTTTATTTTAGTGAAATGTATTAATTCCATAAATGAGTATGTAAGGTTGTTATTGTAGATTCATGCATGTTGTACTTGTCATACTATATTACTTCTCAAACTGTATTAGAAACAAAGTTTTGCTGGCAAGTGTGCGGTGGTGAAGTCAGTGGGGAGTGGTGGTGTAGCGGTTAGCAGCTCTGCGCTACGAACCTGGCGACCTGAGTTCGATTCCACCAGTGATGATTATCTGAACCGGCCCTGGGGCTCCCCTAGGTCGACTCAGCCTCAAATGACCACCTGGTGCGATGTGTAAATATCGCCACTGCGTGGTGGTGGACACTCACCCCTTCGTGTGCAGTTCCGGTCTTCATAGGTGCTCGCTAACAGCACTTGTCCCAACAGTCTGTTAAGGCGATACGGGATTGTTGAGTGGTGAAGTCACCCACGTTACTCAGCGTTGAACCGGGTTCGTGTGTGCTGACGTTACACCTCCCCCCCCCCAAGCACCCTCCGTGCAGCCCGTGCAAATGCGCGGATAGTGCTGGTGCGGTTTAAAAACTAGGTGTAAAATTACATTTACACGCTGGAATGTGTAAAGTGAGTGTGTAATCACGGAGCTTTATCTCCAATGCAGGGCAATTCGATGTTAAAATCTTCAGTTTTGCTTAAATTGTTGATGGAGATCACTGGGAACAGAATAACAAAAATAATAGAGGCCAAGCAACCACGTGAGCAAGCAGGGTTTAATCAAGGTGTAGCTACCATCGACCACATCCATGCTATTAATCAGATCTGGAAAAGACCAGAATATGGAAAGCATTCGACTTGGTAGAAATTGATGTAGTCATTCGAAGAGCAATAAATACAAGTAATGAAAACCGTTTAGAAAAATGTAACAGCCACACTAAGATTACATGAAGACTATGGCTGATGATGATGAAGCTTTAGAAACAATCATGTTCAGAAGTATCGTAAAGTATTTTGTTTGAAATTAAATACTTTAAAATGGATTCTTCAAAGTTTCCAAAGTTCTAATTTTGAGAATTAAGGTGGTTATTTGTTGAAAGCCGCTGTTTTTCCAGTCTCTGCTGCGCTGCCATGCGGGGACTGACGGTCGTGGCATTCCTGTTCCTCGTCTTGTGCTGCGATTCTTTTGGGAAAGTCGTCTCGTTTTATGGCTTCAAAGAATCCACCAAAAGCGGAGGTGAATGATGATAAACTCACAGTGACCGTCGTCATGCAAGCTGCAAAAGCATACATTTTAGTCCACGCTTTGAATCTGGTGTAGGTCATATTAACCGGGGTTATACTAGCAAATATATATATTTTTAAACTGGACGTTTAATTTTATTGACTTATGCACTAATCTAGTAATTTTTGCCCCAAAAAAATTTATGTAACAAAATGTGTGTTATGTCTTGCCACATGCTACGGACATCACAATAGCAAATGGTGCAAAGTGTAACTTTGTTCATGCATCATGTATACAGGATCGGATATATATTTTATATATTACACTGTTGTAACAAAGGCAATTTATTTGTATTTAACGTATTAAGGTCGGTTGTGTTAAACAGATATGGCCTTCATCCAGCAGCGGATAGAACATGGATGATGATGATGAAACAATGTATATGTCAAAATAATGGCATTGCACTATTCACTGTAGTATGTAAAAGTACCTATTCTTATAAAAAATACTGTATACATGTTTTTTGTGAAACTATGCTGCCATATTTTTGGGGTTATTTATTTATGAGTTTATTCATTTCATCACCTAAAATGCTTCATAAGTTGAATAGTTTTCTTGTTATTCGAGATACCATAACAAATGAAAAAAAAACTAAAACGTATACGTCTATTATGTTTTTTAAAATATGAAATCTATGTCAGCATCTCCAATAACTTAATAACTATTCAACGTTATTTTTGGTATATTCATTTTCGGACACCCTGTATAGTATTGCTGATTGTATGAACCAGAAGCAGATTGTTTCGAGGGAGTGCTCTTGCCAATAACATCTGGTGTCTCAGTAGTATTTGTTTAACGTGGCTTACTGTCGATGATGCCAAAAGGATTGAAACCAAATCACTCAACTGGATAATATTGATCTGGCAAGTCCATTGGCTGATACATGACGTGTCATTCTTCTTTATCTGGTGATATGGGGTGGAGGTAAATGTATTTCTGTATCGTATCACCGGTACTTTATTTCACATTTACACATTTGTGTTCGGTGATGAGGGTTTCAGCTAACCCCGTTCTCTTTCTCAGGAGGACAGCCGCCTGGCGATGTGACTGACATTTTGAGAGAGATTACATCCCTGCTGGAGGAGGGTCCCGTTGACAAGGCCTTCATGTCGCCTCTTCATTTCTATCCCATGCTAAGAGCCCGGATGCGCAGCCTGCCTGCCAGTGACGCCGACGAAAAGAAAGGCTCCACCTACAACTGGAATTCGTTTGGGTTGCGTTTTGGGAAGAGAGAATTGGATTTAATGAATTTAAGCAAATTATTGATTATTTTTACGAAGCGACAGTAACCTATTACTGGCAACATGAGAAGCAGAGACGTCATACGAAATGAGTCTTCTGAGAAATTGTCCGCTTATCTATGTGCTTCTATATCAAAGCTCGCATGGCAAAATTGTGACAGGTGTGACGTCCTAAGTAAACAGTGGCTTTATTGCCAGGTAACATTCACCATCAATACCACGACAGATGGAAACATTGTGACGTCGTGTAGGAAAATAAAATTAACACTTGTTTGCAGTATTGTACGTTGTGATGTTTGCAATAAAATTACTGTGATTAAACTACATTGTTGGGAAACACATTTTCAACTGGCATCAGGCATAAATATCCACTGCTGGATGAAGGTTTCAAGACACCACCATCCCTCAATGTCAAGATACAACAATCCATCTCGCACCTGCGCATGAGCTTGATGTCATCGATCTGTCATCTCCACCGTGGTTGTACTCTTGGGTGTGTACCCTCCTTCAGCTACCGCTCCATTAGCAGGCTCATGTGCCATACTTTCTTCAAGCGCACCGGGGTTGTCAACCAAAATAACGAGACATTTTTGTCGAATTCGGTAAAACTAAAAACATCTCAATATCAACAGCCGCAATGCACTGTGTGACGAATACGAGATGGTGGGTCCTTAATAAATAACATCACCAAGCAAGTCCTAAAAAATCCGCATGCGGCTCCAGGAGCCGCGGGTTGCCGACGCCTGTTCGAGCGTGCCCTGCCAAAGTCTCTCATTTGTGTTCGTTCTCTGACCCCAGTGTTCCTCTTTCTCTATCTCGGTGTAGCTCCAAACATCGACATCTCCGCGATTTTATCTGCATTTGCTTCAGCTATGGTTCCATTTTATTTGTTAAAGTGTCTATTATCGATCCATGTCATAGCAAGTACATTAATATGCGCACTGAATTAAACATCTCTCTAGCCTTGTGTCCAATCGACCAGGATACGACCATCAACTCGCTCCACTTCAGCCCAGCCACTGAAACATGGAATTGAACCCAGGCTCTCGAGCGGTGCCGGCTCAGCGTCTGACGCGGTCATTATAAACTCGAACAATTTTTATTTTATTTTACCAGGTAAGGCCCACTGAACTAATATAAATCTTTCTCAAAAGCGGCCTGGTCACAAGAGATAGCTCAATGAAGTGGCCTATCACGTGGACATTTCTAACAGCCAAATACTCTCAACGCATTACGAACTTCCGAGCCACTTAGGTTGCCACTACTACCACTAACTTAAGTTGCCACGATATGGCGACACCATGATACGATATCGTTCTATTACCATCATGGCTCATTTTTTTCACACTTTTATATTGATTGACGTCTTTTCTTCTTCTGGGAAGTGGTCGGACCCACCACCATGGAGACGAGGTTTAGTTGATGGCACAACATCTTGTGAAACTCCCTTTCCATGGGCGTCGAGGTGCCAGAAACCCTGGCTCGCCAGACGGCGGTACAGCAAATGTGGACTCCATCTGTTCCATCTTGCACTGGCGGGGTTTCTCCAGGTACTCCGGCTTCCTCCCAGGGCGTATGGAACACTCATTAATTGGCTCAAACAACGTTATATGTAGAGGACCACAGAGCTTGGGGATTTGTAGGTAGCGCCAGCTCACGACGTGGCCGCTGCCTCCCCGCTCGTCTGTGGTTCCATCTCGGGCTTCTGAGTCCTCAATGAAAGAAAGCGAATCCTATGCTGTCGAACAAACTCTACTATTATTACTCTCTGGTTCTTTCGGTAAAGTCACGTAGATAGAAAAAGTTATGAAAGAAAACACGACGTTTCGGTCGCAACACAAGCGGCCGTCTTCAGGTGACTTTACCGAAAGAACCAGAGATTATGGATTCCTGCAGTCACGAAAGCTTCACATCAAGATCAACTATTATTATGCATTACAGATTGTAATTATTAAGACTTCATGGGCAGGCATTTGTTGAGTTGAACTGCAGTTTAATGAACATTGAGTTATTTTTATTTCCAGTGGAAGTTAGAGCGAATCACACAAAAAAAAAATGGGGAACACAAAACACGTTTTGGGAATTTGATATAATCGTCACATTGCGAAAAATGGTAATTTATGGAAAATGACGCTAAGCACACAGGTCGCGACGAAGTAGTTACACTATGGGGCGGGTACAAAAATAAAAAATAAAGTGTTCCAATTAAGTGTGTTTTTATTGGCATATGAATAGTTAGTATACACTGAGCAACACACCCCTAAATAATAAAAATGTGACATGTATAATGTACTATTATGAACACATTCATCCCGGGCCTGATGACGTCACCAGATCAACTTCTTGCGTAAACACGCGCGACACCACGTGACCACCCTGGCGAAGACGGAAGGGTCACGCGCGTGACGTCACCGTACCGGGGGGAGTGGGGGGTCAGGCACGTGACGCCACTACGCGGCGGGAGGGAGGGGTCACGCGCGTGACGTCACCGTACCGGGGGAGTGGGGGGTCAGGCACGTGACGCCACTACGCGGGGGGAGGGAGGGGTCACGCGCGTGACGTCACCGTACCGGGGGAGTGGGGGGTCAGGTACGTGACGTCACCACGCGGGGGGTGGGAGGGGTCACGCGCGCGACGTCACCGTACCGGGGGAGTGGGGGTCAAGCACGTGACGTCACTACGCGGGGGGGTGGGAGGGGTCGGGTGCGTGACGTCACCGCGCGGGGAGCGGTGGGGGGTCACGCGCAGTGACGTCAGCACTAGACGCCGCCTGGAGTCGCGCGGGAGCCGAGGCGGTGACTGCACGGCGGCCCCCCCCCCCGTGACCCAGCGAGAGAGGCGAGAGACGAGAGGGAAGTCGTTCATCTCCCGTGCTCCTTCCCGCTCAGCGGAGCCATGGCGCTTCCCACCGAGGCGAGCGTCAAGAAGCTGCTGAGCAAGGTGCGAGGGGGTCACGCGACCCGGGCCCTGAGTGGGCGACGGGGAACTGAGAACCGAGCGGGGGGGACTGGGGCTCAGTGGCGTTGAGGGGTCGTGAAACCCCCGGGGTCGCTCGACTCGTGGTGGTTGTGCGGCCTTCTAAGAGGTCACCGAGCCTCAGATTGCGCGTGAGGCGCCGTGTTTGTGTCCCTCCCTCGTGTGTGTGGGGGTCGGTAGTGGTGCGGTTTGCGTGCTGCGCTATCCGAGTTCAATTCCTGCTCACGGCCAACACCGGCGATGAATATCTGACCCGGTCCCGGGCCTCCCCTAGGTCGACTCAGCCTCAAATGAGTACCTGGTGCGGTGTGTAGTAAACATCGCCACTAGGGAGACAAAGGTGGTTGGGCGTGGTGCTGGCCACCCACCCCCTCGTGTGCAGTGCCGGCCTCGTTGGTTGCTCGCTAACAGCACTTGTAACAGTCTGGTAAAGGCGACACGGGGGATCTTTGTGTGAGCATGGGGGCCACCCACTGCTGGTTGTGTCGGTTAGCACGGGGCGGGAAGCATCAGGCACCTGCGAGTCGCGATACGACTCGGGTCACCCCCCACACCCGGGTGACCCCTCAACCGTGTCACCCCACAGCCGGGTCACCCCCCCCCCCCACAGCCGGGTCACCCCCCCCCCCCCCCACAGCCGGGTCACCCCCCCCCCCCACAGCCGGGTCACCCCCCCCCACCCACCCACCCGTGTCAACCCCCCCCCCCACCCTCCCACCCGTGTCAACCCCCCCCACCCACCCACCCGTGTCAACCCCCCCCCACCCACCCACCCGTGTCAACCCCCCCCCACCCACTCGTGTCAACCCCCCACCCGTGTCACCCCCCCCCCCCTCCGCAGGGGTCACTCCCCACCCGTGTCACCCCCCCCCCGTGTCACCCCCCCCCCCCTCCACAGGGGTCACTCCCCACCCACTCGTGTCACCCCCCCCCCCCACCCACTCGTGTCAACCCCCCACCCGTGTCACCCCCCCCCTCCACAGGGGTCACTCCCCACCCACTCGTGTCAACCCCCCACCCGTGTCACCCCCCTGCTCCTCCTTCCCGTACACGGAGGAGTCGGGAGGATTCTCTTCTGGCTGTAGCGACACTCGCCTTGAGATGTTATCTGGCCTTTAGATGGTGTTTGACCAAGGTCCGCTAACCAGGCGTCATTGCTGGTAGCACGGCTCGAGCAGACGCGTATATCGTGTCTGTACTGTATGTTGAACTTCTTTCGCACTGTACATAGCGCAGAATCAGAATATTTATTTATATTGGAAGAATCCGATGGGCTATAAATTCATTTTTCGCAGATGCCCAAGTGGCGCGTTATACCACATTGGCACCTCTCACCCCGGTCCATGCACCTCCACAACCCCTTTCCCCAACTCGTGACCCGCTCGCCAGCTGACACCGATGACAGCACCAAGCAACCCAAGCTGAACAAACTCGGCAGCATTCAAGTGCAGTGTTAATAATGAAGTACAGTCTGTTCTCCTATAACGCGTGTTTTCATTACGCGAATTGAATATAACGCGATGAATGTATTAGGGAACACATTTTCTATAACGCGGATGCGAATTTTGATATAACGCGATTGAGTGAACGGAACTACGTCGCGCGAGTAGGAATAAGCGGTTGTACGGCTGCCTCGGCGTAGCATCCCATGCTACCCACAGGCTGAACAAATCACCGGTGTGCTGTACTACTAGTAATTAATTGGCATGTTCTGCTAACGTGACAAACTTTACTGTGTCAGGTGGTGGCGGGTTTAATGACACATTAACGCGATCTAACCCAAAAACCTGCATAAGGAATGACATATTTATAAGTTGGCAAAAAGCGTGAGTAGACCTCTAAGTTTTGTCGAGCTTGCCTCCACCGAGACGAGAATCCGCCAGGCATAACAAAAACTTCCAAACTTTGAACCACGCCCTCGGATTTTTGTTTTGCACGAAATGAGGAATTGAAACGACGTGCCAAAAAGATACCTTAATATGAGAAGCCTCTTAATGTTGAGATTGGTGCTTAAGTAAAAAAAAACCGGCTTTATATTAGCCACTTGGACCCACAGTACCAGCTCTTTAAGGATAAACAGCTTGAAACAAGTGGTTAGCACACTGCACTATGCGTCTGGAAACCCGAGTTTGATTCCCAACTACGGCTAGCATCAGTGGCGAATGATCTCTGAACCAGTCCAGGGTACCCCTTCACTAACCTTCGCTGACTAGCATGGTGAAGTGTGGTTGAATCTCGAGACACTGGATTGAGATAGATGTAAAGCATTATACTGGTAGGAACGAAGTGGACCAGACACCAATAGATTATATCGTCCGTCCGTTTGTCCGTCCGTCCGTGTAGCAACATCGCCCCCTACTGCAAACACTTGGCATGACCCTACAAAAACCTTTAGACGCTATCCTGGCTAAACAAGCGTAACATTCCCTTATAATTCCTTCAGATAGCTTTTAATTAAAACATTTAAATTAATGAGGCTTTCCTGGCTAAACACGTGTAACATTCCCCTATAATTCCCTCAGATAGTTTTTAATTAAAACTTTGAAATTAAATAAAAAAACTCAGCGCCCTAATAATTCCCTGAGATAGCTTTTAATTAAAACTTTGAAATTAAATAAAAAACTCACAGCGCCCTAAAGCCTACAGCTAGGCCTAAAGCCTAGAACTAGGCCTGAAACTCTCCCTTCGTATCGTACCCCCGCGTGTGTGAAAGGGAGTTAATGTTTAACAATGTTACATTCCCTCATGTTTTTAAATAGAAACATTTAAATTTAAAGCTTTTACATAAATCATTAAAACATTTAAATTAAAAATTAACTCGCAGCGCCCTAAAGCCTACAGCTAGGCCTAAAGCCTAGAACTCGGCCTCAATCTCTCCCTTCGTATCGTCCGATTAGGTGTAGCAACATCGCCCCCGTCTGCAAACACTTGGCAGGACCCTACAAAAACCTTTTGACTCGGTGGGGCTTTCCTGGCTAAACAAGTGTAATAATACATTATGTTTATATTCTTTGGTTATTCGTTCCTATCAGCCCACCCCGCAGGGTCCTGTTTCTAGCTCGTGACTACAGCACCACGTCACCCGTGTTGGGTCTCAACTTCCCATTTTCGCGCTGGGCTCAGCAGCTTTATTATTTATTAATATCATTTGATACTCGTGTTTATACCATTTCCCTTCCTTTTTTCTATGGAACCCCTGTAAACCCTCCATTCCCATGTAGCATATCTCCTATTGTCTTATCAGCTGTTCTATGCAACCCCTCGAAACCTTCTCTTCCCCATGTAACTTGTTTGCTGCTTTGGGTTGCCATTGAATAAGAGCTTCTGAGCTCGATGGGCCTTACCGAAAATAAAATGACATGATTTAGGTCCTAGAAGCTAATAGACACGTTCCTTTGAGCACATGTATATGTTGATTTTCATTATTTTCTGATGTTTATTATTAACTTCAGTTTTACAAAAGCTGTGAAACCTGTTCTCACTTGCCTCTATTTAATCGTTTAATCCCAGTCCATTTTAACTGGTATCCATGTTGTGATGTTCAATAGATCAATTTTGTTTAGCAGACTTATTGCACTAGACTCGTTTTGCTCGTATAATTATTGAGCTCAAATATGCAGCATTCTTGATCAAATTATTCAATAATTTCTAATCAAATTTTCACGTTGTGTTATAATAACACGTCATTGTCTGATCTCAAATGCTTACCATTTTCTCCATTTATGTTCGTGCCCGTTTTCAGAAAGCACCTCGTGCTGCCATGAATAACTTTCACCAAAGTGTGTCCCACACGACTTCTGATGGCTACCTTTGTTATGTCATGCAATCTCAGTTCAGCTCTCAGTTTCATTCTTGACATTTTTATTTTTTATAGGTATAGATTTCTGTGAGCTCGAATTACTGCATCAGTTTTTGCAGACTCAGTGCAATTTCATAGGCTGCAAATGATAGATATAACAAATGGTCCTTAATAAAGAAATGTTGCGTGAACAAATGGTGTGTGATATAACAAGCTTTGCTTGCTCACTTTCTTGGTTGGTTGGCCTCTTAAATATTCCAGAAATATTAGTGAAAAATTGATGTATGGTAAGTGGCTAAGTGGTCTGTAACTCCTTAAGGTTTGTGCCCTTGAAATATAATATTCAGGCATCATTTATTTAGGTGTTTATTAATTTCAGTGTAGATATTTATTGAAGTTCCACTCATCTTGCTCCAACAACTGGCCAAGTTTTTTGGATGATGTCCTTAGTTATGCCATGTGGCTCATTTATTAATTCTGCAAAGTGTGGTATTTCCGAAGTGTGTCAACGTGACGTCCTCCTCTTCATATGATATTTTGTATATCGCGATATGCTTACAATTTTAACACTTGTGTTTAGTTTGTCTTTCTTTCGTACCTCCGATTAACATGGTTGGCTACGTACGATGCAAAAGAAGTTCAACATACGTACATGCATATATAAAAATATATATGGTCTTACTCATTCTCCCTAAGGGCTACCATTTGTGAATTGTCAATCAACATCACTTTTGTGGTTTTCAAGCTCCCATTGCTTCTTATTTCTTCAATCTTTTTTTGTGGTGTTCTCTAGGATTAGAGCATTTTAAATACCGGATTGGATTTCACGTAACTCATTTTACTCCCACCTTCTCATCCCTTTTGTCAATCCACTATTGGATCAGGGCCTCACCATGGCGTACGGGTTATGGGGTACTTTGACCACATTTCACCGCATTGGTCAGTGCAGGTTGGTGAAGGTGGGGAGAACATAGGTGTACAGTACTATGGATTTCTCTGCAGTGCCCAAAACTGCCCTCCATGTGGTTGTGCAGCCTATTAAATGTTTCGCAACATGGTCGCCCAATCCAAGGACTGGCTCACCCCTACTTAGCTTCTGAGATTTGACCAGATTGGGCACATTCCAGCTGAATTGGTCATAGGACTATAAACATAACCCTGTCATAATTGTGGACACTCATTATAAACCCCGTGTAGACTAACTGAAGCAACTCTGCCAAAATATTGAACTGTTTACCAGCTATTATGTAAGTTCATTACAGCAGCAATCCTATTAATACCAGTGTTGTTAGGGAAGCATATTTTTTGAGGCACAAATTGATCTACAGTAGTTGTTGCTATGTGACTGATTCACAATAAGTCCATGATGAAACATTTAGCTTAACCTAACCATATGTGTGTGTCCTTCTACACTATTTCCTAAAGTTCGTTTTGAGCGCAGAAGGCAGTATTCGCTGCGTAGTAGTCTTGAGGGTTATCGTGACATTGCATTCATACGATATTTTTTGTACGATATAAGATCGTTGATAATTGTTTAGTCCATTTTGCGCAATATTGTCACATCGTGGTTATCTTTGCTTTTAACATTTTATGAAATAGATTGTATTTTTCTCTAACAGTACGAAATAATAATAATTAACGTTGAAAATAACAACATTCTAAAACAATAGCTCTTAGTCGTTAAATGAGTGCTTTAAAAAACTTTTCCAAATAAAAAAAATGGCAAAGTGGTTATATAACATAGTTTTATTAAAAGCGTGTGCGCTTTCAGCGTTGTAGATTGTATCATTGTAACAATTACATGGCTTATGTCGAACTGCAGCTGAATAACTTTTAAGAAATCTATAGTCGTATTTGACTCATCAAAGCACAAAATCAAGACGCAAGTATTGTGAAATATAATTGCAAAGTTAATGGAAACCGATCGTGGAATAAACGTCTTCTTGTGAAATTTTATATCGTATCGTGAAAAATGACATGGCAGCAACTCGGGTAATCATCCAGTATATTTCAACAATTAAAAACTCAGAATTACATGGCTTTAGAATAACATAATAACAATTGCTGCAGCATAACCGAGCCTGCTGTGAGGGTGGTCATTTTAAACAATTCTGTCAAGTAGGAACGAGGTCATAGTTTGTAATGTTCAATGTGTGCTGCGGTCTATCTTAAAGTTATCAGGCTTGAGTGGCGCGTTATTACCTCTGTGCTCCTATTATTGGATAACATTTACCTAAAGGAATGTCACACACCTCTTCACCGTCAACATTTAAGGGACATCTTGCCAGCAAAACTACATCATAATTGGGCGATTAGTTCAAGTGACTGTTGAGTCGTTTTCAACTAAAATAAACTTAACACGCACAGGTTTTGTTTTTATGATGAGCATTAAGAATGCATGTTTCTGAATGTGATATATGTAATGCGTTGCAGCAGAGCCCTCCTTATTGCTGAGTGCATATTTTCTGGTTCTATAGCATGCATACTTTGGCATGCTTGCCTGAATATGCTTACACACACATTCTGGTTGCTGCAGACAGCATTAACGGAGCAATTTAATGAAAAAAAACCTTTAAATGTATTTTAATAAATATTTAAAACGGCTCAAGTATCTTTGAGCTTAAGTGTTGGGTGTACATGTTGTCTTGACAACAACAACCTACCCCATCAACCAAGACTTTAACATTGTACCTCGCCACGAACTCAAGTCTCGATCCCCCTTCTGGAATCGTGCTGTCGCCACCCTATAATCTCATTCAGATCTGGAAGAACGCTGGTGAACAGAGTGGAACTATACGCACGTTCATAATAAACACCGCATTCAATACCCAAACATTGCACGTCCTGGTTTTGACATTCCTCGAAGACACCGGCGTAGTGGTGTCACGATCAACCGCATCAGAACATCAACGGCTTGATGCGCACATCTTCATAAATGGAAAACTAAAGACAAGCCACAGTGCAACTTTGGCAATGCAATAAAAACGGTGGACCATATCGTAAACCACTAGTCTGCTCTCCTTCAATAGAGGAATAGCGTAACTACACGAATTGTATCCTGAAACTAGCAGAGCACGACAGTGGTACTTAGCTCCAAAATTATATTGCCATACGCAAGAATCGAATATTCTTGAATTAGCATATAGTAATAACATGTATTACTATATCAGAAGAATCAGAATCTTTTTTTACTTTCTATACGGGTTGGAACAATGTGGCAAAGTGATCAGAACACTTTGCGATGAGCCTGGCAAATGGAGGATAGGTAGTGGATAATATCTGAATCGGTCCTGCACCCCTGTCTGCTCCCCTTCAACCCACACTAACCAGCATGGTGAAGTATGGTCAAACAACGATGATCGTCATATGTTGTGCAGACATCTTTGTCCAACAGTGGATTGACAAAGTGCTGTCAATCATTATTCTTATTCTGGTACAGATGACTATTAATTGTAGTGTTTTTGTGTTGCAGTACAAGTACAAGGACATGACAACCAAAGATGTCATGAACGTAATTGCAGTTTATAAGGATTTGAAGCCAGTTGTTGACATGCATGGTATGTATAAACCCATCATACACGGCATTTAAAATGCTGTTCAATGCGCACATTTTCTGAAACTGGTGATTTTTCTTAAATGTACAATCATTGTAAGTGATGGAAACACACATGTCAAGTCGAGCATTGTGGTACCCAGTGCAAAAATATACGTTGTGGTTCGAGTGGAGTTTTAAATTTAAAACATTGTAGGAATTTGCCTTGCTTCCAGGACATGACACACTTTCACGTGATTTCATGGCTTGAGGGTTATCAATGCTACAGATTACTGAAACAAGTACGGGAGTCTCACTCGCAATAGAGCTACAGTGAGGGAAAAAAGTATTTGATCCCCTGCTGATTTTGTACATTTGCCCACTGACAAAGAAATGATGATTCTATAATTTTAATGGTAGGTTTATTTGAACAGTGAGAGACAGAATAACAACAAAAAATCCAGAAAAACGCATGTCAAAAATGTTATAAATTGATTAGCATTTTAATAAGGGAAATAAGTAGTTGACCCCCTCTCAATCAGAAAGATTTCTGGCTCCCAGGTGTCTTTTGTACAGGTAACGAGCTTAGATTAGGAGCACACTCTTAAAAGGAGTGCTCCTAATCTCAGATTGTTACCTGTATAAAAGACACCTGTTCACAGAAGAAATCAATCAATCAGATTCCAAACTCCCCACCATGGCCAAGACCAAAGAGCTCTCCAAGGATGTCAGGGACAAGATTGTAGACCTTCACAAGGCTGGAATGGGCTACAAGACCATCGCCAAGCAGCTTGGTGAGAAGATGACAACAGTTGGTGCGATAATTCGCAAATTTGAAGAAACACAAAATCAATCTCCCTCGGCCTGGGGCTCCATGCAAGATCTCACCTCGTGGAGTTGCAATGATCATGAGAACGGTGAGGAATCAGCCCAGAACTACACGGGAGGATCTTGTCAATGATCTCAAGGCAGCTGGGACCATAGTCACCAAGAAAACAGTTGGTAACACACTACGCCGTGAAGGACTGAAATTCTGCAGCGCCTGCAAAGTCCCCCTGCTCAAGAAAGCACATATACATGCCCGTCTGAAGTTTGCCAATGAACATCTGAATGATTCAGAGGACAACTGGGTGAAAGTGTTGTGGTCAGATGAGACCAAACTAGAGCTCTTTGGCATCAACTCAACTCGCCGTGTTTGGAGGAGGAGGAATGCTGCCCATGACCCCAAGAACACCATCCCCACCGTCAAACATGGAGGTGGAAACATTATGCTTTGGGAGTGTTTTTCTGCTAAGGGGACAGGACAACTTCACCGCATCAAAGGGGCGATGGATGGGGCCATGCACCGTCAAATCTTAGGTGAGAACCTCCTTCCCTCAGCCAGGGCATTGAAAATGGGTCGTGGATGGGTATTCCAGCATGACAATGACCCAAAACACACGTTCAAGGCAACAAAGGAGTGGCTCAAGAAGAAGCACATTAAGGTCCTGGAGTGGCCTAGCCAGTCTCCAGACCTTAATCCCATAGAACATCTGTGGAGGGAGCTGATGGTTCGAGTTGCCAAATGTCAGCCTCGAACCCTTAATGACTTGGAGAAGATCTGCAAAGAGGAGTGGGACAAAATCCCTCCTGGGATGTGTGCAAACCTCGTGGCCAACTACAAGAAACGTCTGACCTCTGTGATTGCCAACAAGGGTTTTGCCACCAAGTACTAAGTCATGTTTTGAAGAGGGGTCAAATACTTGTTTCCCTCATTAAAATGCAAATCAATTAATAACATTTTTGACATGCGTTTTTCTGAATTTTGTTGTTGTTATTCTGTCTCTCACTGTTCAAATAAACCTACCATTAAAATTATAGACTGACCATTTCTTTGTCAGTGAGCAAACGTACAAAATCAGCAGGGGATCAAATACTTTTTTCCCTCACTGTATGTCACATGTTGTTTTTAAAGCTTTTTTTGCATGGGTATATCCTATTCTCTATGTACTACATACAGATGTACGCATGCCGTGCAGTGTCATGCACTTTAAGCCTAGGGACCACTGCCTTAGCATTAACAAGGTCCAAAGTTTAGTAAAACCCAGAAAGGTACCTTGGAAATGTTTATAAATAGCTTATTCTTTACATCCAGAGAATATATGAACACATATTAACGTGTGACTTTCAGTAGGATAAAAACAATTTGTAAGTATATATTTTTTAATCTGGTTGGTTAATTTTCATCACCTTTTTCAAAACTACAATATATTGCACTTGTTTTTGTGCAATCGCAAATGTGAATGGGCTCCAAGACACCTTTTCTAGGTCCCATGAGCCCAGCAACATCCTGCTGCCATCGTTATCCAACTGCCTACGCTTCCTGCCACATAGTAACCCCCCTCCTCCCCCAGCCACATCTTACTGCCCTGCTCTTCCCATATCTCTCTTCTGTTTTTATATAAAAGCCCCTTATTGCTCTCGCTAAATAGAGCTCTTTTGTGGCCTGTAATTCAACGCCTCTCCTTCACCTGTGACCTGCGGTTCTTTTCTGTCATAGGGCCTTAGTCGCCAGGCAACGCGGTGCCCTGTAACCTGTTTGCCTATGGGTTTCTGCGTTTGTTGTAGCTTAGTGCTGTGCCATCTGCCTGCCTGCCCCTCTCAGGTGTCGTGGCCATACTGCTTCGCTGTGTTTAGAGCGTTGTAGGCAAATGTCCCACTGACTCGCCCGCCACCCTCCTCCTCTCATCACTGCTCCTCTCTCTCTACATTGATATCTCCTGCCACTCCTAACCAATCTATTAAGGCCCGAAGATAAAGCTAATCACAAATGATCACATGCTTTGTGTGGTGTAATTCACTTTGTATACCTGTGTAGCAGAGTGACTCACCAATGCACCACGCGCATACTCAAAGATTGAGCAATATGGATACAGTACTTAGAGTTTCCAAATGTGTCTTTTTTTCAACCTGTTGCTGTGATTGGCATGCATGATAATATAGGTGATGCATTCCACACACTATTTGAATTATTAATCATAGTTGTATACATTTTGGGTTAACATCTGAGTTTATTTTCGTTCTGAAATCCGAAGAGGTTTATGTATTCATGGATTAAAAGTTGGTGGGGAGTATTTTTTAACATAGTGGAATGTAGTGCGAGGAATAATCTGTGATAGTTATGAATTGTAATTGTCGCATTATTTACAGCTGCACCAAATAACATCTATAATTTTAGAGTGGTTAAAACAGAAATGTAATGTAATTGGCATTAAAAACAATCCAGAATGCTATTGTTGTTATTTATGTTTTGTTTAAATACACGCATTTAAATACAACTAGACTAGCTAGTTAGTAACTGGCTGTTTATCACAGTACATTTTGTAACAACTTGAATATTGCTTGCTAATGTGTGAATGGGTTATTTTTTATTGTTGTGTGTGGCTTGAGTTTATCTTATTGTTTTTTTTAGTGTTCAATGATGGCACAGCAAGGGAACTTGTATGTCTCAATGGAACCATACCTGTAAACTACAGAGGTAACATTTTACACTCCCGTTATTTCACGTGTTCAATCTATGCACTGCATTTTTTTTATTTAGGATGTTTTCAATTACAGTTTATTCAAGTTTCATCCTATATCACCAAGCAAAGGCATTTCACTGATGCAGTCCCACACCCTTTATGACATCAAGTAAAACAGGTTTATAATTTTGGTAAAGGTATGCTTGCTTGTGTAAGCAGCCTAGCACTTCCCTATGCAGTTAAAAACGTGGTTCCTTGTAAAGTAGAAACCTATCCAACTCCCGTCGTGTGGCTGGCACCCCGCTTGTTGGTGCAGGTCGAAGTCAATCTTAACTTCTACATCCCCCAAGCATTTGAGGAAGGTTTTCAGCAAAAAGAAACTAGACCTCCCCATCTAAGATATATTAAAAGAACAGAGACAAACGGGCAGAATAAATACTTGATTCGAATCGAGATGCATGTTAATAATGGGGAACATGCCACAATTTAGCGAGTTCTCTTGTACACGATCGTCCTGAAGTGGACACCCATGGGTGAGGCCTACAGTCTGACATTGTCCTTCATAACCAACACCAACAATGCTATTGGAGAAGAAGTGAACACGCATACTTGGAATGTGTGGCCAAATTCAAACAGCCCCGTCTCATGCTCTTGGAATTCGTAACTGTTACAACTTCAAATATGCTGGCTCGTTCTTAATAAAATCCTACTCAAATCCCATGCGTATAGCCAACACAAATAGTGGCTTAATAGACTCAAGGTGCCTTTGCTAGGTGACATCAATAACTACAGGGCAATTTACTTTTCAGTAACCTGCAAGGGAAAATGTAAGTTTAATTGTCATAAATAGTAATTCTGCTACTTATTTATTGGAAAATATGAAGGTGGCTTAACGCCAACATGTCAACTCATTTGCTTCTCCCCACCTTGGTGCTTTCAGCTGTGGCGTTTTGGCTATGATGAGACTCAACGTTCGGTGCAAAAGCATACATATGTCTCACTTCAAAGACACATCCATATGCCAGATTAATTTTTTCCCTGTTCCACCTAGTCGGAAGCATAGAGTATAGCTATGATAAGTATCGTGCTGTTATCCTCCAATGGCCATGTAAACACATTTTGATAACTATGGCAAACATTGTACTTGTGTTTTTACAATACAAATATATAGTCTTGTTTAGTTTTCGGTGGTGGGATGCACAGTTGGTGTAAAACGTTGACACGAGTTTCTTTCTTGCAGGAAGCATCTACAACATTCCTGTGCAACTCTGGCTGTTTGACACACATCCATACAACCCTCCCATCTGCTTTGTGAAGCCCACAAGCACGATGTTGATTAAGCAGGGAAAACACGTGGATACCAATGGCCGTGTGTACCTGCCCTATCTACACGAGTGGAAAGCTGTAAGTGGTGTCTTGTGTCTGCTGCAGTCTGTTTGTTGTTAAATGTGGTTGTATTACAATTGAGATTTGCATGGGAGTTATTTCTTTAAGGTGTATTCTTTGTATATTTCACCAATACTGTCCTAATCGTATTATGAGTAAAAGCATACAGTAAAAAAGAAATCTGACACTCCCCATCTCTCATCCTGGAATGACCTGGACATGACAGCAAATACCTTTAGCAAATATCTTTCAGTTGTCAATGTACCCCCAACAGGTTGTTTAGATGATGTGTACATTAATATATAGGGCTCTTTGCGCCTTTTTCCCCAAAATGATCCAGCAGGTTTCAGCTGAACGCAATCGATATATTTCCTGTGCGTTTATTGGTTACCAGATCAAACTAATTGACTACAGGTGGCTAATCAGATGTGCTGATTGTATTCTGACATGAGCTCCCTGAGGCATGCAACCACCCCAACACAACGCCATTCCTATTTGTGGTAGCATTGCGTGTCACATTTTTTAACAAAGCTTTGTGTAAAAAAAAAAAATGTGAGTGTCTATCGTCATTTTTAGCCTCGGGCAAGAAAGTGTTGCTGCTCCTCAAATTCTATAAAGAATCGCATCATGTGTGTAATTTTAAATGTCTGCTGGCTTCCCTGTTTGCATTTTCTATTTCCTCTACCTGCTTTAGTCACTAATTGGGCCTATCCCGAGCCACCTTTGGTAATTTATTTCCATTACACATGATTCTTATACTATATCCTCTTCTTTTTGATTTAAAGCTTTCGTGACTGCAGGGATTCATGGTTCTTTCGGTAAAGTCACGTTGAAGGGAAATAATAAAATAATAAAAATAAAACAAAATTCTCACGACGTTTCGACTGCAACACAAGCAATCATCATCAGGTGTGAAAACCACTGCAAGGATTTTTTAGAAAAAAGTGGCGTTTTAAAAAAAAAAGACCCAATAATATATATCCTCTTCTGTTATTTTCTTGTAGCTGTCCTCACTTTTGTCCAGGTTTAATTATTTTGTCAGTGACTCTACGTTTATGCTGTATTTGTGTATTTTGTGAACATGCACGAATCTTTCCTAATAATATGATGTATATCTATTTAAATTATGCCTTCAAAGGCACGATTTTGGTGTAAAGGGATATGCTCGTATTTGTACTCTGGATATGTTGTATTTAAATGTAATCTATGTTTCCAGAATGCGTCGGACTTGGTGGGCCTGATCCAGGTGATGCTGGTGGTGTTTGGGGAAGAGCCGCCTGTGTTCTCTCGCCCCTCCGCTGGCCAGGCCGTGGCCCCCATGGGCCCTTTCAACCAGGGCTACCCTTTGTACCCAGCAGCTGGACCGCCCATGGGTAAATGGGTGGTGGTTGGAACGCCGTTTTTTCTTCCTCCTGCTCGTTCCTACACTTCACATGGAACCAGCAACTTGCAGATGCCAGAGATATATATGCTGGGCTCTAGATTTCAAATGAAATATAAAGTTTAGCAAAATGTACATATCTAAAATAGTTTTGGAAATGTGTTGCTAAAGTGTAGAGATATAATGATAATACAATTTACTAATATCCTTAACGGAGGTTGTGTATATGATCAGTTCATAGGAGAACTAACCACCTACTCTCACTTGTGAATACAACAGATAGTTTGTGAGGACTATTTAGACGTCATCTACCATCTTCTTTCGGTTCAGATATATTGTTTTGCTCATATTTTGAGCCCCACTTAGCAGCTTTCTTTGTTAACTTCTTGATTTCACAAGGTAATTCAAACATACACCATGGCAATGTAGAAGTATACCACGTGTTTGAAGCAATGCACCAATTTGTAAACGAGGACAAATCACACTACGTAATAATATTTTGATGTATAATGCGTCTATGTTCATGTAAATTGCATGTCACAAACACTGAGGAATTACAAAGCTGGAAGACAGCCAGGCGCAGTGAACCGGAACCAATATTGCCCAAGATCTGCAATACTCTTTATATATTAGAATGTTATTAGTCAATTAATGAGTGTTAATATTTGTACACAATATTTTTTTATTTTACCAGGAAAGACCCACAGAGCTATAAAGCGCTTTTTCTTTCTCAGAAGCGACCTGGCCACAATTTATAGCTCAACGAAATGGCTTATCATGTGGAAATGTATAGCAGCCAAATACTGTACACGCATGTTTCTAAATGTGAAGGTAAAAACCGGAGGACCCGACGAAAAATCCTCGCGGCCACGGGGAGAACACGCCAACTCCAAGTGTACAGGCGTCGGGGTGGGGATTGAACCCACAACCTCCAGTATACCAGGCGAGGTAGTTAACATCTCGCCACCGCGGCACCCAATTGGTTAGGGTTATAATGGGATACTTCAATGAAAAGGTAGGTAAGATGGCTAGAAATGAGAGGATTATTGGCAAATTTGGCATTGGAGAGAGGAATGAAAGGAGATCTGTTATGGATTTGAAGCTTTCGTGACTGCAATGATTCATACTCTTTGGTTTTTTCGGCAAAGTCACGTAGGTAAAAAAATTAATAAAATAAAATAAATGAAAATAACTCAATTAAATCACGACGTTTCGGAGGCAACACAAGCCTCCCTCATCAGGTGTAAAAAGGCACAGCAAAATAACTGTAGCGAGAGTTATTTGTGATGAGATATTGTTATATAGGGTAAGAGGAGGGGGAGGAGCCAAGCAGGACGGGCGCAGGATGGGGGGGGGGGAGGAAGGTGATAGAGGACGGAGCCCCGGATGGGGGAGGGGGAACGCAGAGCGGGGGAGAGTCACGGTTGATGGCGGGGGGGTCCACTCATCACAAATAACTCTCGCTACAGTTATTTTTCTGTGCCTTTTTACACCTGATGAGGGAGGCTTGTGTTGCCTCCGAAACGTCGTGATTTAATTTAGTTTTCATTTATTTTATTAATTGTTTTACCTACGTGACTTTACCGAAAAAAAACAAAGAGTATGGATCTGTTATGGTTTTCAGCCAGCAGCAGCAACGTGAAGATATTGATCACCTTTTGCAAATGGTCCACAGAGGAGCTGATGTCGAGAAATAAATGAAATGAAGTGGAATGATTCTCGAGGGCAATCCTCAGAATGCCAGGGATATCTCTGTCCTCACCACATTGAACACAGGAACTGTTCACACCCTGGTGCCTGTGTCAATTCAACGCCAGTATTTCCAAATGCATAAAAAAATGCATGATAGGGAACAAAAAAAAACAAATCAGTGCAGGAGAGAGGAGTGGTTCAACTGATTGTAAATAAAAACATTCAACTCCTTTAGAAGAACAACGATAATATGGATCATAATCGCTTTAAAAAAGCATGTTACAATCAACGTAGCACTGAAGAGAAGGGAATATGTGAAAAAGCAAACAAAAATAATCTATTTAAAACCATGGTCCAGAGAAGGAGCTTTATTAACAAGAGTTCTTGATCATAACAAGTGTAAATGTTGACACCCTGTTGGAGATGTCATCACTTTATTCTTATTGTTATGTAAGATAAATTTCATTGCATTATAATCCAACATTGCCCTTCTGTTTATTTACTGTAGGACCCTATGTGCCAGGAGCAGGCGCCTACCCATACCAGCCGACAGCCAAGTAAGTCTGCCAATCGCTGTATGTTTCTATTTATCATTGATAATAGTTGTGTATACTAAAGAAATCAGTAAACAATCCTTGTGTCATCAATCTTGAAGCTAAGATTTATTTAAAAAAATTTACCCAGGGGATATTTTTAATAAATACAAATGCTAAGTGGTTGACTAATTTAACAGATAATCAGTGGTGTCATCACTTAAATTATCAAATATTCCAGCTCTATAAAAAATATACAATGCACCGTGATCCAAGTTCAATTCCCAACCACAGCTAACATCTGTGCTATCTAAACTTAACCTGGTTCCCACCCCCGTCCACCAATCCAAACCGACCAGCATGAAGTACGGTCCGACAACCCTCAGGATCCACACGGCAAACATGGAGAAGCCACAAGTGGATTATATAAAAGCTGTAAAATATTTTATTTTGTATGTGACAAAAAATAAGACTTTGAATTGAAAATGAAGAGACCATTTGGACACTGCAAATCTAGTGCTTTACCTCCTTTCTGCCAAATACTTTGAAAAACAATCAACAGCTTTGTTTAATTTACTTAGTGATGTGTCATGCCATCTGTACATTACGCATGGACAGCAATAACTCAATATACAAAGTAGATGCGTTCCTGGAGCTTCGTTCATATATCAAAACTTCGCATGTTGAATAACTTATAACAGGACTGTGAGGATGCGTTCCCAGCCTTCGTAACTTACCATTCATATTGTAAACAAAGGCATTTTTTATTTCAAATAATATATTTTATACTGTACAGTATTAAATAAAAAACTGACATAATTTAAAGAAATAGTGTACTGTACCGTAAAATATATTCACACTCACCGGTGTGTAGTCTTCAATGCTGTCATAAGGTTGCATTACCCACCAAACACCATAACTCCATAACAGAGTGCGTTGCTGTGCGCTGATTGGCCGAGACAAATGTAAACATTCTATGACCCGTCGCGATGCTCAACGCCCCAAGAAACGTATCTTATTATAATTTGATTCTTATTCATATAGTACTGCAGATGGATGATAATGTTATTTATTTCAGTGTGTTTATTTGTTATTTTAGTACATTTTTCTTTCCATTTATTTAATGGTAATAAATCCCAAGTTTGTTACACTGAAACTTCGTATATCGAATATTAGCTTATCGAGGTATGACTGCATATGTTACATAGTTTGTTTAGGGATTCAGAGCAAATGTGCTGGTGGTATATGCAGTAGGATTTGTGTTGGTAGTATCTTAATTTTCTTGAAAAAACTCCACATTTGACTTCTATATCTATATTATTGTCTTATGCAATGGGAAAAACAATGTCCCCAGAGGCACATTTTTTCTTTTTTGAAACTAGTTACTGCTATTTAAACATGTATAACCCACCAAATGTGAATCGGGACCTTTGTGTCCTGCAAAGCTATTTAACAATGTGAGAAAGAATTTTAAGCTTCTCTGTGTCACCATTGTGATGAAGCTGTGTGTGATTTTTTGTTTGCAGTGCCAACTATCCTTACCCATACTCTGGAGGCTCTGCGTATCCAGCCCCACCACCAGTCCAACCCCAAACCAGCCAACCACATTACGGCGGTCAGCCAGTTCCTGGAACGTCTGGTAAGGTGCCAGAACATCATTGTGGTCGCAGCTGCAATGCATACCAAGTCACATGGTGGCAGCGGCAGAACACAGTGTTTCTTTATTGCGTTGAGGCACGTGGAAATACGCCACAAACCTAAACCCGTCTTATGTGTGTACATAATGTATGCGGGCGATTTAATGTTATATCTTGCCTTGCACTGATTAAAATGTATTGGAATTTTCTACAAGCATAGAACGGAAGTTATTCACAGTTTTTCTGCTTTCACCCGTTAGCATGCCACTCCTTGTAGGCCTGGCACAGCAATTGTAGACTATATATGAAGCTCATCTGCTTACAAGTGAAATGTAGCAGTGTTTCTTTCATCAGACTATTTTTAGCTTGTAAGAAATGGGGTCTGCTGCATAGGATCCCTGCAGATAGAAGTCCACAAAACAAGTTAATCTGGATTAGACACAAAAATCAGTTTGATGTCTCTTAGTGCGTCTCTAAACGTGCTCTTGAGTTTGACTACGGATGGCCTGCTTGCTCAGAGAAGTAGCAGTTCCGAGTTAGTGATAGTGTTGTTTACCACATGTGCTCCATCAAGAAATCATTGTTTTCCGTCTTTCTGAATTATCAATATGTGTACGTAGTCACATGAACAAGACTGCCATACAGTTGTGTACATCTCTTGCACCCATGTCTGATTCCCCTCTTTTGTCGATCTAAGGCTTGCTGGATGACCATAACTTTTACAGGATTGTCAAGGATTTGGGTTTTCCACAGTGGACTTGTTGACATAGCAACCGTTGCTGAAATGAAACTACTTCATATGAATATCTCAGAATTACGGGAGACACACAACTTGTTATTTGTTATAAGCCAAGGAAATGACGAGCGTTTCAGCACGGAGATGTTCACCCTTTACAATGCGCAGAGAAGGCCGAAGATGCACGTTGCAGAAAACAGCTGAGGTGCCATTCGCAAGCATTAATTCACCCCCGATGTCGTTGCGCTCAGCCATGTCCAGGGACGGCACCATCTCGGAGGAGCACATCCGCGCGTCGTTGGTGTCGGCCATCACTGACAAGTTGCGCTGGCGCCTGAACGAGGAGGTGAGCCGCGCGCAGGCGGAGCTGGAGGCGCTGCGGCGCACCGAGGAGGAGTTGCGCAATGGGCAGCGATCGCTGCAGGATATGGCCGGACGCATCACCCGCGAGATTGTGCGTAGCCCCTCGCAGCACGCACGCACGCACGCACACCAGCGCGGGCTTCGCAACGTTCTGTTTGTTGTTGTAGACGTGCACACAGTGATGAAACAAGGCGCAGAGTCGATTGTATGCTGTGCAACGTCGAGGTAAGGGGTTGCCAACCTGCGGCTCCGGAGCCGCGTGCGGCGGCTCTTTGGCTGCCCCTTTGCGGGCAGCCGTTTTTTTACTTAAATGTTAAATGTAATTTAACGCAAAGAGAATAAACAATTTATTAAATATGACAATGAAATGTACAACAGTCCAACTAGTATTGTTAAAGAATAACTAATGAGGAAAAAAAAACTAAATGGATGGCAGGTTTCTCCGTCACCTAAGTCACAAAGTGTCATCTGCTTTATACCTGCTGTGCATGTGCACAAGTTGCTCTCTGCGTGTGATGCGGCTCTCAAAACAAAACAACGTCTCTTCTCCTTTTAAAGGTTGCCAACCCATGCTCTAGGTAGATTGTGGGTTCTCGGTAGATGTACAGAAGCTGAATTAATTCCCACCATACATTTAGGGTTTCTTCATGTTTCTAATGAATGTTGCACATTTGCTATTGTGCAGGTGTGTGAGACTTCCTAAACAGGTAAACACTGCCCTTCACATAATGAAGAAAATGTAATTCCTGGACTAGATTGTCCCAGTGTGGACATTTGTTTGCAATAAAACTCTGCAAATATAAAATTTTATAATGATTAAAAACATTGCTTTTTTAAACAAATAGTTGGTCATGCAATATGAGAAAAACGTCCTAATTTGTTTTAGGATGTGGATGTATTCATCATAGTTGATGTTTCCTGACCTTCAGGGTGATGTAGATCAAAACATTGATCTGCTGAAGAAGAAGGATGAAGAAATCACATCAGCTCTAGAAAAGATGGAGTCCCAGTCAGAATCGAGTAACATTGACGAGGCTGTGGTGACAACGGCACCGCTGTACAAGCAGATCTTGAACCTGTACGCAGAGGAGAACGCCATTGAAGACACCATATTCTATCTGGGAGAAGCGCTGCGCCAGGGAGTCATTGATTTGGACGTGTTCCTGAAGGTAATTTCACCCCTTGACAGAAAGTCGTCTTTTCGCTCATTTAAGACGACAAAATGTCTACAAAAGGAGATATTTTGCTGCAAAAAAAGTCTTCATCATTATCAATGTAAAATGTAAATTACAGATGAGCATTGCCTAAATAATCGTACACATGGAGGTGATACTCAATGGCCAGTTGTGATCACAGTACAGATGCACAATGATTAAGCCCATAATAGGTATAGAGTGGAGCTCCAGAATAGGGACGAGGGCTGTATATAGGTAATGGTGGAAGTGGGTGTTGTGGGGCGTGGAACAATAATTGACAGGTAGTGGCGTTACACTGGTAGTTCAGAGGACTGTGCGTGCTGAATGGAAATTAAATAGATCCTTCTGTGCAACTTTTTATGAACACCGGCATAGGAATATGCATGCAACAGAGTCATGTCATCATATACATTCAGGCTGTAGGGAGATTGGTCATTTTCTAATACTTGTCAGTGAATGCGTGGACGTGAAAGCTTTACTCCTGTTTTGTTTAGTTTTTCATTGAAGAAAATTTTTCTATTTTACTTGATGTAAAACATCATGGAGCCTTTTTCAAAATAATGTTTTTAATGTTGGCCCTTTATTTTTGTGAATGGACTGGATTTGCTGGACAAATGTATCTGCATGAGGGAGAAATGTTGCAATAAATATCCAGATTAGTATGTTTAAACATTCTGCTGGCTACATTGCTTACTGCAGGTATTTTAAATATACCGTTGAGACAATCCTCTCAACGCGGAAACATGTGATGTCGTAAAATATAGCGCTCTGTCCAGTAAGTGGATATTTAGCTCAACTTCACTTGCAATTCACTGGGTTATACAGGCACATGGTACGAACCCGGTGATCATTATAGTTGAAACGGCTCGTAAAAATTTGAGGTTGCTGTGCCCAAGTTATTTTTACTCCCTTTTTACTACCATTTTCTCTTATATGTACGAGGATATTCATGTTTTCTCACGAAAAAAGTATAAACAAAATAATGCTTTAGTGTGACTATGGACTCCTGTTACCGAGCACTGCGAGGGTTGGGGATTGCACAAATGGTGTAAAACTCCTATCCCATCGCGTCGTTGAGCCCATACCCTGGCTCGCTGGGATAATGTAGAACAGCAAAATGTGGACTTCAGCTGTTAAATCTGTATCGGATCGAGTGTTGTTGCCCCATCGCACGCGTGGTTTTGTCACCGGGTTCTCCGGTTTCCTTCTTAAAGTAAACACTCATTAATTGGCCGAAAACATCATATTTAGGGGATCGCAGAGCTTGGGCAATTTTTGAACACCGGCTCACCGCCTCGCTACCTTCCCGCTTGTCGGTGTTCCTCGCACTTCTGAGTTGTTATCTCTTAGAGAGTGAGCGAATACTGTGTGCGTGTTATGATTGAAATTCTGCTATGAATGGCTACGTTGTTGTGTGTCCCCACTCCCTGTTCAGCATGTGCGCCTGCTCGCCAGAAAGCAGTTCCAGTTGAGAGCACTCATGCAGAAGGCCAGGAAGACCGCCTGCCTCACAGACCACTACTGACACGGATATTTGGGTTTACCTCTGTTGAACTCATTCCCTCCCCCTTCGCTAATTGTACCAAACCACAGCGTCTACGGACAGTATTTCCATTGTCGAGTCTGCTGACAGTGCCCTACGGTGTCGCTTATGGATCAAATAAAATGTAATAACTTTTGGTTCGTAGGACATATTTTGGAACAAAAATATTCACGTTTAACATTGGCCTAAAGAATTAGTATATGTAATTATCATGTTCTGAGTAGGGTCTCTTTAAGCTCAGAGATATGGTGACTCATGGACTGTGAAATAAAAACAAGCTGGTGTATGTATATGGTGTCGCGAATGAAGATACTTAATGTTGTTTTAAAGAGTTTGCTTGGTAATATACGTAGTTGATATGCAAAATTCATTTGTTGTATATTTTTCCCCTAAACCTGTGTCCGCAAGCGAGGATTTGCTACCTTTTCAATGTTTTCCTGTTCCAGAATAGTGCCAGTACACTAATGATGCAACCCGTTCAGCTTAAAAGACTGGTTAGTGGTTACGTTTATTTTTTTGTTATTTCGATCTGTGCTTCGTTACTGTAATCAACAATGCGTGCAGCGGGTGCGTACAAACACAAAGATTCAGCCTCATACCAGATCTCAGAACCTAAGCACCAAACATATGTTAACAGAAACTAATCATAGTTTTTTGTCGATCGATTTCTTGAGTCTGAGAGAACTGAGAAGTCAAGAGTTTACTTTTCTTGCTGATCCAGGACAGTTATTTCAACAATCTTTACAATATCTAACATTTTCTACAGTTAATGAGGAATAGTAACATGCAGATGTTTACAAGCACACTTTTATTTATTTTGTTAACTCCATAAATTAATCAACATTTTTGTTATTTTGGGTAAAATATTTCTCACGTGCTTTTCCCTCCTGACATGTTCAATTGTTTGGACATGAAATACACCTGTGATTGAGAGAGCGCAAAAACAAGGAAACAGTTTCGCTCTTGTTGCTTTTCCCTGCTGATCCTTCATCACAAAATGTGTTTTATGTGAAGCGAGTTTAAAATATAATAACAGCACTCAATTCCTGCTACTATATAGAATGTGTATTCTGTAATATTTTCAAGTTGCACTTAATGCTAAAATGAATGGTTATGCAGCATAGAAAATACATTTTTTTGATATGTATGTCAAGGAAAGGTGACGTGTGTACTTTTACCAAAAAAACAATAAAATATAAAATAATTTACCAAAGTATTAAATTGCGACGAAACGGTGGTCATCTGCACGCCTCTGACGTATGGGGTCGAGCACCATGAGCCTCTGGTGGAGCGGTGTTCACTTCATGACGTTCACTTCATCACGTTCACTTTCAATAACTTGCCGCATTGAGAGATCAGGGGCAGATGAGCTCCAACAGTTTTGAAGAACGAGTGATTGAAGAAGGACTTGAAGATCTTGATTTGAAGCTTTCGTGACTGCATGAATCCATACTCTGGTTCTTTCGGTAAAGTCACGTAGGTATAAAATCACGATGTTTCGGGTGCAACACAAGCGTCTGTCATCAGGTGAGAAAGCATGATCTGCTGCTGAGGCAGACTTTTAAAAGGTTTGAAATGGGTGTAGCCCAAATAGCAGCCAATGATAATGTGAGTGGCAGCGAGCCCGGCGGTGATTCGTTTTCCACAAAGGGCTGCCAGGTGAAAATTTGCATGTTAAAGAGATTAGCATCTTCTTGGTTCTTTCGGTAAAGTCACGTAGAAGGGAAGTAATAAAATAATAAAAATAAAACAAAATAATTCTCACGACGTTTCGGCCACAACGCAAGCAGCCGTCAGGTGAAAACCAGGTCTGTCGAGGCGCTGTCGCCTCGACAGCTTGTCTCCATGGCCACTTCTGACGCCAAATGTAATGGGTTCCGGAGACACTTGTAGAGGTAACTTCTTTATTACAATCCAACAGTCCTGATACTCTGTTACAGCCTAGGTACACAGCCTATGTACACAGCCTAGATACACTACTCTGGCTACGCTTTGGAACTCGCCCTTACATGGACGTAGAGCCGGGAATTCCAGAGTCCCACCACTGGCCCTCACATCGTCCCAGGGTCCTCCGATGGCTGGTCTTGGGTCTTGGGTCTTGAGCTACACCTGGCCTCGATCGTCCAGGGAGCTGCCCTTTTATGCCTCGTCCCCAACGAGGGGTGGGGTTGTGTGCGCCCTCAGATATCCCACAGAGCACCAACAGTCCCCCACGTTGGTGGCGCTAAGAGGCTTAAGCGTCTGGGTTTCCTGGGAACCCAGCGCCTGGCGCCAAGGGAGCAGCGCCTCCCCTCTTATGTCACTACACTTTTATACAGGTAACGAGCTGAGATTAGGAGCACACTCTTAAAGGGAGTGCTCCTAATCTCAGCTTGTTACCTGTATTAAAGACACCTGTTCACAGAAGCAATCAATCAATCAATCAGATTCCAAACTCTCCACCATGGCCAAGACCAAAGAGCTCTCCAAGGATGTCAGGGACAAGATTGTAGACCGACACAAGCCTGGAATGGGCTACAAGACCATCGCCAAGCAGCTTGGTGAGAAGGTGACAACAGTTGGTGCGATTACTCGGCCTGGGGCTCCATGCAAGATCTCACCTCGTGGAGTTGCAATGATCATGAGAACGGTGAGGAATCAGCCGAGAACGGTGAGGAATCAGCCCAGAACTATACGGGAGGATCTTGTCAATGATCTCAAGGCAGCTGGGACCATAGTCACCAAGAAAACAGTTGGTAACACACTACGCCGTGAAGGACTGAAATCCTGCATCGCCCGCAAAGTCCCCCTGCTCAAGAAAGCACATATACATGCCCGTCTGAAGTTTGCCAATGAACATCTGAATGATTCCGAGGACAACTGGGTGAAAGTGTTGTGGTCAGATGAGACCAAAATGGAGCTCTTTGGCATCAACTCAACTCGCCGTGTTTGGAGGAGGAGGAATGCTGCCTATGACCCCAAGAACACCATCCCCACCGTCAAACATGGAGGTGGAAACATTATGCTTTGGGGGTGTTTTTCTGCTAAGGGGACAGGACAACTTCACCGCATCAAAGGGACGATGGACGGGGCCATGTACCGTCAAATCTTGGGTGAGAACCTCCTTCCCTCAGCCAGGGTATCGAAAATGGGTCGTGGATGGGTATTCCAGCATGACAATGACCCAAAACACACGGCCAAGGCAACAAAGGAGCCGCTCAAGAAGAAGCATATTAAGGTCCTGGAGTGGCCTAGCCAGTCTCCAGACCTTAATCCCAGAGAAAATCTGTGGAGGGAGCTGAAGGTTCGAGTTGCCAAACGTCAGCCTCGAAACCTTAATGACTTGGAGAAGATCTGCAAAGAGGAGTGGGACAAAATCCCCACCTGAGATGTGTGCAAACCTGGTGGCCAACTACAAGAAACGTCTGACCTCTGTGATTGCCAACAAGAGTTTTGCCACCAAGTACTTAGTCATGTTTTGCAGAGGGGTCAAATACTTATTTCACTCATTAAAATGCAAATCAATTCATAACATTATTGACATGCGTTCTTCTGGATTTTGTTGTTGTTATTCTGTCTTTCACTGTTCAAATAAACCTACCATTAAAATTATAGACTAATCATTTCTTCGTCAGTGGGCAAACGTACAAAATCAGCAGGGGATCAAATACTTTTTTCCCTCACTGTACAATCATGGAGTCATTGGTTGTGATGCAAACATCCCATATCTCTTCTATGTGGCCTCTCATCTATACTTTATCACATGCTTTGCTGTAGAGTTTGCTGCATGGCAATCACACTTTTAGAATAAAAATAGCTTCAGAAATGCAATTTGCCAATTTATTTGGAAACCAATTTCACTGGTGACTAGGCTGAGACAATGCTGGGATCACGGCTTCTACCCAGATTCAAAACCAGGGCCTCAGCGGTTCTAGCTCAGTATTTTGACAGAACACTCTGCGTGATTAATTGAATGGTAACTTTGTAAGAAGAATAGTCATGATTTGCCATAGAACACCCCACTCATGTCATCCAGTCATTTCTCCAACACACGAAGCAGGCCTGCGTGATTGTTGAAGTTAACAAAACACGTTAATTAGCTGTGTTCAACACAATTCAATGTGCATTTCCCCCCTTCTTTGTATTTTTTCTGTCCAGCCCAGTTTGTACTGAGTCACGACGAGGTAAGTGTTTGCCAGAATTGGGTCACAGGTGCTAAAGTTCCCGTGAAGGGAAATGCTCGAAGTAGGCGCTTGGTTTCTCTAAGTGCAACACAACCTTTGTACACGCAGTGCTGCAGCACACACAACGCAAACGTCCAATTATTATTATCGTGGAGTTGTATGAATGGAGGGTGGGGCACTGCAGAATGTGTTTTTCAGAGAGCACTTTTTTGAGAGATGGAAGGACTTTGTTTGCTTGTTGTTGAGTTAATCATGTTTTCTGAGTTCGTTTGTTGAACTTTTACACCGTACGTAGCCAACCATGCAAATTAGAGGTGCGAGGAAAGGACAAAACACTAAACAAAAAGCAGTTCTAAAGAAGTGCGTTTTCAATCTAGATTATTTAAACGTGCACAGCTCCAGTGGCTTCCTAAAATCGGAAGGAGCGCGTTCCAGATGGCCGTAGAAGCGTGTTTGAAAGCGCGAGATGGGATGACTGTCTTGTTATTATTGAAGACTATTGTTGGGGAAAAAACGTAAAAGTTAAGCTGCTGATGTTGATACGATGACAATATTATACATATATTGTACACAACTACACTCAACATCGTGGAACCTTTTGGCAATATCAAAATAAGAATAGGGTTGACCCTTTCTGGCAATAAAGCAGGTGTTAAAATGTTCAAACACCAAATAGATACATTTGGCAAGGCATCAAGTCTGCATTAACCAAACGTACTTGTGGTGAACATGCAAACAAACATGCTCTGATAGTATAACGCAGTCTTTGACACTGATTGGCGTATACCAGAGACAGCCTTTTGTTTGGCCTAGTCTCACCAGTGTCAGACCAGAGAACGCCAAAAAGGTCCCATGATATAGTTGCTATAAATGTCTGATACGTACACCCCCCCCTCTCTCTCCCCCCCCCTTGCTCCTCCCCCCCTTTCTTACCTATATAACCTCTTGCCACGGCAGCTCTCTCGCCCACTGCATTGGCATTGCTGCTACATTGGCATTGCTGCTACATTGGCATTGTTGCTGCATTGGCATTGTTGCTGCATTGGCATTGTTGCTGCATTGATTGGCATTGTTACTGCATTGGCACTCGTGCACCGCCCATGCTCCTGGTGCTGTTGATACACTTGGGCGACACCCATCCCCAAACCTTTATAAACAGTTTGCCTTTAGAGGCTGACTCCTTTGCCTGATGACGACCGCTTGTGTTGCCATCGAAACGTCGTGATTTGTTTTTATTTATTTTTTGTTTCTAACTACGTGAATTTACTGAAATAACCTAAGAGTACGTACATTGTCTTTGTACACTTTTATTATTGTTGTACAACTTGATGTAGAGCTCTCACAACCTATCAACTTTCTCCTTTTCTCCAGGCTTAACTGCCTCTTTACTGCCCTTCAACTCCCTTAAC